AGGCATACATATACACATCATTTTAATTAGAAGTTGCGTCTACTATTCGATTATGATACGCTCATGTTGGTGATGATGATGATGATGATGATGATAATGATGAAGTCATATAGGTGTGGTCTAGTCTTGTAACATAGTGTCGACGAGCCTACATGTAGGTGTGGTCCTGGTCATGGACCTGGCGTACTGGCACGCTAGACCTGGTGCTGGCACACTGGACATGGTGCTGGCGCGCTGGACCTGGTGCTGGTCACAACGCTAAAATGTGTCTATATTGCTGTGGTAGTGCTACGGTATTGCTATGGTATTGCTACGGCATTCTATGAAAAATATACTCCTTGAAATGCCGAAATGATGCAGCAGTCCCAAAAATACCGCATTGTAGCAAGACTACCGTAGCACTACCATACTAATCCCTGCCCCATTTTTGGTATTGTATGTATATGTGGCTACCAGAGTATCCATTTCTGTACATCTCGCCTGACGGCCTAAGGAATACGTATACACTTGTTGACCCGTCCCAGCTATAAATAGAAGCCCTTCTCTGCCATCCCTTCACCCTACCGTTCCTCCACCCCACCATCCCTCCATCGCACTATCTCGCTGCCCCACAATTCCACTATCCTACTAGTACCTCCCCTTGATACTAGTAACAAAAACATCGCATCTCATCAATTGGGTCCCCAAGAAAGTGGCTAGTATCCCCTAGTACGAAACTCCATCCTAGAATCAATGAATCAAGAGTAGAACTAATAGAGGAATACAGAATATTCGATGACTACTACCGGAGGTGCTAGCAGTAGCACCAGTGGGTTGAAACCTGGGAAAGGTTCCTCTACCTCTGGGAGGAGCGGCAATGCTGAAAGCATGGACATCGATACCCCCTCCAAGAGCGACTATCTTGCTCCCTTGGCTCCTCTCTACGAAACTGCAAGGAAATATCGAGCCGCCACCATGCCCACAGTTGGAGGCAAACGGACCGTTGCTGCTGAAATGAAGGGCCTTCAGGAGGACCTTGAATACACTACCAAGTTCAATCAGAAGTACCTTGAAATGATAGTAAAGTTAAGGAGAGAAAATATTGAACTGGAAGTCGACCTCGCACTCTGTAAGGAGGACTTGGATGCTTGCAGGAAGGAAATTAGAACTCTCAAGGCTCAGACTGATTGGATGGAGGGCTTGTTCAAGAAGCCGTGAATCAAGAGACCCTAATTTATGTTTGTGGCTCACTATCCCTTCCTCTGTCAGTAAATGTTGTCACCCCAAGAAAAGCAAATATGGTGTAGCTTTACTAACAGATCTCGTTATCTCTCTTGTCAAATAACAGATCTCCCATCAAAATTCAATTCCTCTATTATAGGGTGGCGGCATTGATAAACGAAGTGATAGCATCGATATCTCGAAAAATCCACCAAGAAGAGCCTTGACGGAGGATGTATTCTGGGTTTCTTTCGTCTAGCATGAAATCTTTTCATACAGATTTGGCACTTTAAATAGCTTTTTCGGTAATAAAATGCTATTGGCACGTACTTAGTTCTTTATTCTAAGGCAACTCTTAAATGTGTGTGAACATAGGAATGCATGGATAGAGGTTAGAATTCAAATATTACTGCGAAAATGAAAACGGAAACAAAACTCCTTTAACTTGATCATACATATGTAGTTCTACCTGTCGAATTAGGAGAGTTTCAGATCTAAATAGGAATTTAAGTATTAGAATGATCGATTCCGCCACCGATAAACAATGTGAAAAATTCCGTTAATTGGCCGTCAATATGGGGCGACTGATTGCATATTTCCACCATGATGCCTGATCTCAATTCTTTCCGTCATATTCTCAAACGTGGTTGGCTAGGATACACATAATTATGTATATACTTAAAATCACGATATGTACTTGATAGATGTACTCTCATCATGTATGCATTCGCAGGAGTTCTGTTATATCTGTTCTATCATTAGTAGCTACGACGGTATTATATACGCCTGTCATATCTCACAACCTTGGCCGAATTAATTTATGCTGCAACTCACTGGATCGGTGAGAATCTTTCTCTCATGGCTTTCTGACTACATCCCCCCTTGACAACACCAGCCTCAAATGGATCCAATAAACCGTAATATAAATTTCGTGATTCGATACTCCCTCAGCTTAGGCTTGAAAGATGTATATAAACTATTAATGAGATTTACCCCGATCTTGTAACATGGCATAAACGTAAGCCTGCGTACCATATATATGGATATGAGAAGCTGGAGATATGGTTCTTTTGTATCACTTCTCTCGGGGACCTGCGGAGCTGAATTTCATATGGACCCAATACGATATAAGCGGTACAAAACTTTCCGAGGTCTCTGATGCTCTCGCAGCTTTTCACACGAGCCATGAGAGATTTCCGAGTATGAAAAGACTTCTATATAGATCTAGAAAGCAACTTTTTGCGCGTAATGCCCTCCCAAGATCACCAGCAGCACTGGATACCATAATGTTCATTCCGCCCGGGCCCATTAGGATTGCTGAATTTCGAGAGCTGTCGACTCAGGTACCGGATGTTGATTCGTGTCCTTTCGTGAGGTAGCTCGCCAGTTCGGAATAACGGTTTCTGAATGATACATAGAGTACACATCCTTCTGCTGCATGAGATACAGAGGTTGGCGTTAATTTCGTATGGCAATTCATCGTGGATTGGCTTCTGCACAGTACTGGCCGGTACGCGGGTAGTCGCCATAGAGCTATAGCCCTGTGCGCGGGATCGCTATTGTTTGGCTCCAATTCACCGTGCTGCACTGCATGATCAGCTTTCAAGTCTCTCCAGTATGTAGTGGGGCCGATGGCATACCGATACTTCTCGCGTCGTCCGTTGTAAGTTGTTCTGTCGAGGACAGCTTCAGACTGCATTGTGCTTGTATTATGTGCGGTATAATTGTCTGGGACCTCACCGCTGCAGCTGTTATTACTCCGGTGAATAATTAGGCCCCTAGAAGATAAAAGCCATGTTGCACCTTTTCGGGAGCTAGTTTTTCCATTAGTTCTACCTTAAGCTTGCCTCTCTCCTTTGGCCATGACGTGACGTGGTGTGCTGCATATATCTGCCGTCTCTTCATATATATTGCGAGTTATCAAAATTATCTGGACATTGTTGCAACAAAATTTTCAACTTCAACTTCGCGTTTCTCCACAACCACAAGGACAGAGTACAAAAGATTTGATTTTTGGGATTACCTATGCATCTATTATCTTATGCTTCAATATGAGCTCAATTGAAGTGGTTTCAAGATTTGGTTATTCTAGCCAACTTATGTGGTTGCGACGCGGGCGTCCGGATAATTTTGATAACGCACAATACTTGTCTGATATATGGCCAGGTTTAGTATTTCTTCATAGAATATCACTCGATGTTTATAGTTGACAAAGTAAATTAATCATTACTCCTGTTTCCCGAGACAAACCTTCTGCATGAACTATGTGAATTCGATTTACTGGCCTGCAGGATAGAGTGGCGGAACGGATGGGGTTTGCATTTAGAGCCTAGTAACATTTCGGGCCGGGCTAATCTTATGCAAGTGTATCGAAGGATGCCCTTGCTTAATTATGGCTTACTAGCTAGAAGCAACGTGTTTAATTAAATTTTTGTTTACGACTTTCATTGAGAGATTCTCCCCCCTGCAGTGCCATATCGCCTGACCGTCTCTATCCTTGGCGAAGCGTGCATGTGATATATATCTAGACCTGAAATCATGGATTCCTCCTCCCCCTTCTCCACAACTCAGCGACGATACTCTCTCCCCTGATGATACTCGTCCCGATCTCCCTAGTGCTAGCTTCTCCACGTGGTCACCCTACAGAACAACATACGGCAATCATGGAATACGAAGACCAAGCCGCTGGTAAAGCCTGTCATCGCAAGAGATGCAGTAAAGGAGCGCGCTCGAGTCTCAAACTATTTCCACATGCCCGGAATCGTGTGACTCGTCCCCCGAGTACAAACACAAAAATTCCGGCGTTCCACGCATCTGCACGATATCGTTATTTCCGCCCGGCCGCTAGCTACTACCGTCAGTCTACAGAAGCTCTATCAGCGTTATGACAGAGCTTTATGAGATCACAAGGAGAGTCATTACGAGTCATTCGTATCGTGCTTGAAATAAGACAATATAGAACGTTTGTACCACCCTGAGAATGGGATTTATGAGTGGTGTGAATGCTAACTCACCTTAAAATTAATATAATGAGCCCTTATATTAAGAAGAGCCTGGAACACTGGATTCAAATGATTTCATGGATGGCCAAGGTACGATTGGCGCCTAGATTTCATTGTAATAGTCAAGTTGGCTTATTTATTGGTTGATTCTTTAGGGAAAGACTCTTCTTGAATATAGTATAGCATTTACTATCGATCCGGGGGTAGATTGGATTTAAAGCTTCGACCACTGGACATGTTTACCACAGGATGTGATCAACTATATACCCCCCAAAGAAATATTCAGATACAAGTTGGCGGGATAAAAAGAAACCACGGTATGAGCTTTCAACCCCGGGGGAAGAGGGTCATGGCTATATATCTGGCTCTTTTCCCACCGGAGACGTGGGTTTTTTATCGTTCACCCGGTTTAGCCCTTATTTGAAAAAATACCCAAAGAGCCATTTCTCACTGAATAGAAAGTAATTGCCCAAAGCTCTGAGATTCATCTCATTGGCATGTGGTATTCTATGGTATTGATACATGTAGTTGTATTCTACACTATCAGTACTTGATCTCGAGGCACTCAGAATGGAGAAGTGGAGCGAACACGGACTACATGTAGTTTCATTAAAAGTACCTTCCATTTTATAGGAATAGTTAAAAGCATACCTTAACCTACTGAATAGAACTGGAAAACATGGCGATGCATATACAAGGACACATTGATTATAGATACATTAAATCCCCAAGTGACTAACAGAAATCTGAAGATGAGTGAGGCAATCACAAAGTGTACAAAGAGAAAGAAATCTAGGTTCATTTGCCCTTATTTTTACAAGGTTCACAGATAACGAGATCGCAATACTTGCATTGCCAGATGGCATAATGCGGTCCGGAGTAGCACAAGTGACATCTCCATAGCATTAGAGTGCTTGTGCTCTTTTTCATCTCGAAATCATGGTTGCATGGAGTGCTAGCCGTCTTCATGTTGTAGAGTGCTAATATAATAGGGATGTCGTAAAGTGATTTTGGTGATTGCCAGCTGCGGTATTGGTTATGGATTAGACAGTTGGGGACTATTGCGTTGATCCTTGGCCTGGGGTTTATAAAGACATGAACTAAGGACTTTCCATGGAAGGTAATGTCGTTCAGATGAAGACTTCAGGCATACGTACGCGATAAAGCGTTGTTTTTTGCGCCGGTGAGCGCCTCAAGTCCTCTTAATCCTATAACGATAGAAAAACGGGTAGCTTCCCATAGTATTAATAACAGGTAGTAAAATTCTATCACGGTCATCAGCGTACGCACTATACTAGTCAAACTATATAGTGATGGATTATAGATCAATCAACGAGTGAACGCACCAGTTCACCAGCTTTCTGCACTAGTTTGTCATTTTGTCGGAGGTGGGTTTTAGGGAAGATCGAGTAGACGAACAAAGTCTATCATACGTCTTAGCATCGAAGAATTTAATTGAAAAGAGGAAAGCTTTAAAGTGGGGAGAAGGTCCCTCCCATGGTTATAATTTTGAGAACAACTTGCCTTATCTATAGACAAAGGTATAGATACTACGTACTCTAGGGCCACATCTAAACTTTGATATAATGAAGCGTCGATAACAAAGCTTCAAATACGTTTAATGATCGCCACAACATAGAATAGCTCATCATAAGTATCAAGTTTGTCTTCTGCTTAAGCTAGGCTGATTTTATTACTTTCCTCATCATACGTACGCGTATGTACATCATGTCTTCCCTCAACCCAACATACAGAGAAGAAATGTCCTCGATGACATTCAAGCACAATGGTCTAAAAGGACAAGGAGTCCCGAGGACACTGTCTGTTCTTGCCTCGAGGAACCCCGACGATAATTCTTAGCATATAGTAGACCTATATAATCTGCCCGATTAGGATGATGTCAGTTGATCAAGGATAGAATAAATAATATGTATGTTCTTTAATTGAAATAAACACCACTTTTGCTCTATCGGAATCGTCATCGAGGATACTGGCAGTGTTAGACATCGGGGTCAGATAAGAACAGAGGTCAACGAGGAGGAGACACCTCGAGCGTCCTCGTGGACCACCCGGGCACCCTAAATGGCAGTAAATACATCAAATATGCATTATATCGGGATAGGACCGGATAAACCATACGCCGTAGTTGACCTCAATATATACAGCCACTCTGCAAAAGTGTTCGTGATTTAGTTTTAATGTCAGTGCGCAGTGTGGCGCACCCGTGGAGTTGATGTTATTAATGTTGAGATTCAAAACAACGAAAAATAGATAATATAGTTCGGGACTATATATAAAAGAAAGTAGGTCATTAATCACCTTCAACATTGATTTCGGGCGCCATTGGTCACTAGGAAAGTCTTCTATTGGGGGGTTTTGATGGTCCGCCACGGTTACATATGAAGAAATGTCTCACTCCGAAATCGGAATCACGAACACTTTTGCAGAGTGGCTGTATATACCATGAAGAGTCCTTATAGGCGCCGGCCCGGGTAGACTCCGTCGCCAGAATTTAACGGAACCCCGCCAAGGTACATGTGCATATGTTGCCTGAGTGGAGCCGGAGCGACGGAAACACCCACCCACCTAGGTTAAGCCCTACCCAATGTCGTCATCCAATGTTCCCTTATAAAGGAACCGATCCCCCTACCTCCTTCAGACTCGGATATTTCTCTGACCTTCCTGGTGTCCTTCTTCCATCCTTCTCACGCGGAAGGAGTAGATTTAGTTCTTACCCTCCCTCCGGTTCCCCTTGTCGGGAGTGGGGGCTGTAGTCACTTCCTCCCCTCTCATGGGGAGGAGAGTTAGGTTTCTTTGGTCTCTTGCCTTTATTAGAGAGGGGTAAATATTCGTTTTCGAATTGCCCCCCTTATGGGCAAGGTTTACTCTTTTTTCTGCGTTCAACCATTCCGGATCCTGTCCTCGCTTGTAGAGAATAGGTGCCCTTCTTTTGTATTAATTTCCTAGGCCTGTGTCCCCGTTTAATTTGTGCCGTCCTCTCATCTTCATACGAAGGGGTGGGGTCTTTGTATTTGCGTTGATTCGTTGCGATTCTAGATCTCTTATAGAGGAAAGGCTTAAATTCAGCGAAATAAAGCTAGCTCGAGTACTCGGGCGTTCATTAAATGGTCGGATATCGTTGCAACCAAATCCCTACTAAGAATTCCGACCATTTAATAAACGCATGAGTATAAATTAGATTACAACGCTGGTCTGCAATTGTAACTGGGGAAACCCGTAGACTACTGAAGCTTTAGATATACGACCAGAAAAGAATTGAATAAACCTCTGTAATTAATGCAGGATGCAATGTGAAATCCTACATAAGAAGTAAGATGAATATCCTTCATTAATTAGTAATGTTTCATCCGCACGTGCACGCACAGGTGGTTGGCTTCTATATCATGTCGGTATCCTACAAAGCGACGATCCACACAACGCTCTAGATATAAAATTAACTCCCTAGTAGAGAGTATGGACACATTCAATTGTTTTATAGAGCTAGAGATGTATGCGCTACTGTAATGGGTAAATCACATATTTGTATCTGTCGTATTTTGACTTTTCGATTACGGAGACTCAGTTGAGTTGAACAAAATTTAGCATGTTACAAATTATCCGACCACCTAATAGTCCTAGCCTCAATTATTTAGGTAGTGGTGGCTTTGAGAGGGGTATACTTGCGATGAAATTAAGTATTGTCTCTCGCGATCATAGCAACCATCGACCTCCCCATTTCCTTTATAGGCCCACCAACCACCACCATAACCATGATAATTAAAGCAGGAGATAATTTACTTTTGAGCATAAAAATGACTATGACTTTAGCACACTTGGTTTTAGCTATTGGTTGCGGTTTTATAGGGTCTCAAGTTTGGTGGGGTTGACTGGTTGCCAGCGCAGCGCAATTGGGACAATACTTAATTTCACCGCAAGTACATAGTGCATGTTCACGTATACACTTTCAATACTTGTAGCTACATGTACTTGTACTAGCTGGTATAAAAATTAGATATCGTTTAATCCCCACATTCCCTCAATTTCTACCCAGATAACCTCTCCTTACATCCCATCTTGTCACATGTATTTCCATGATTCTTCCACACTCTCCACCATGCCGGCTTCTTTATCCTGGGTACTCCCCTGTAGTGTATAGAATCTGCCTGGTTATGTTCCTGAACCTCCTCTTCATCGTCTGTCGTGATTTCCTCCTCCCAATGACACCCCACATAGCAATGGGGGAACGTATCTTTGGCACTCTCCGCCCATTCATCATTGCCTATATCATCCCAGCGCTGACGACAACACTGCCATTCGCTCACGTCTGCATCGATCGGCTTGCACTCACGAATAAAGTGCTCCACGACACAGTTTCCTAGAGTATTATCGGATGCATTGAATGTTTTATGACAATACACACAATGGCGGAGTTCTGGAGCAGCCTGGATCTAATGGATAATTAGTATCAATGCTCTGTTTAGTATCATAGCCCAGCGGGTAGTTGGCATACCTCAGGAATTGCCCCCGAAATTATCAGCGCCTCTAGAGCAGAGAGGGATAGAGATTTCATGTGCTCTTCCAATTTCTCAACAGTGGGGTACTTTGCCGACAGGTCGTCAAAGACGGGATTATGATGTTTTGAAGGGCCCGAGCTTGTCGCTGAGGCTGAGTTAATTATTGCTCGCTTCTTGGCCAATGGGGCATCAGAGTCCGATTCAGTTGATGTGCGCTTTTCAGCCGGAGCCATTGATGAAAGCTAGAGAGAGTGGATTAATGGCTGAGACGCGATGGGTCGTAAACAGGAATTAAGAGGTTGTTTAGAGTAGAGTATTACTCAGTGGCCCGTGCTCTTTGCATGACCTCTTGACGTGTCAACCTGATGACATAACCAGCCTTGGCGTTGTAAGAGCACCCGAGTCGATTTCTATTTGCTCTATTTGAATTGGTTTATATCTAAACCTTGAGGTACCAAACCCTAACCCTAACCGATTTCATTCGTTGACCAAGACAAGCTTGACGAACATGGATTCAAAACGGTCAAAACAGTCAAGCTGCGAGATCTTCAGTTCTTTTAATTTCTATTGGCCCAAAGTCCTCCCTATTCATCAATTGGCACAAGCGACGGTGAACGACTGTGGACGTTGCCAGTGGTTGAACAAAACCTCGATTTTATCCGCCGGGAAGCAGCAGGTTCCTGTGCATTACACAGAAACTCCACATGTAGGTACACCCCAGCAACCGGTAGTACCCCCGCTCTCTTTAGAACCTCAAATCAACAGCTACCTTTGGCACAACCAAGTTTATTATAACCCTAACAAAGTTAGAAATGGAAGGTTTAGGTGCGGCGGCGAGCGTTATTGCGGTTCTCCAGATCACCACGCAGGTGGTATCGTTAGCATACGGGTACACGACGGGTGTCAAACGGGCCCCAACCAGTCTCCAAAGACTCATCGACGAGTTGAAATCTCTAGTCAAAATCCTCAGCGCCTTACAAAGCACCGCACAAGATTCAAGTTCAGCTGTTCTCGGGCAGTTGTTCAACCCACTTCTGAAATATGGCGTGGAGATGAAGAGTTTGAATGAAAAGCTGGAGGCAAAACAGAAAAAACTGCAATCGAGTTGGTGGGGTGCGTCGCTCGTACGACTTCAATGGCCGCTTGCGGAGTCGGAAACCGTTGGTCTCATTCTTGAAACCGAAAGATTTAAGCAGAGTTTGAATCTTGCCCTTAGTATCGATCAAACGTAAGTGCCCCCCAGAGAACGAAGAGTGATATAAAGCATTCCTGGTCGCAAGAGCTAACGAAAATCAAGTTCTTCCCTGAGAACCATTGAGGATAGCACGCGAGAGACCAATGCGACTATGAGAGCGCAGGATATGGACTGATCCGGTAAGGGTTACTAACAGGCTATTCATTTGCTTTTCGGGCCAAGCTTAAGGTGTGAACACATTTGAACAGTTCAAAGACGAAGAGCTCTTCTCAATTGGATATCCCCATATCCCTACGACCAGAGACATTCCGAGATCTGTAGCAGGAGAAAGCCAAATACAGGTAATTGGATTCTAAAGTCACCGGAGGTGCAAGATTGGCACAGGAATTCTGGCCTTCTTTGGGGCTATGGCATCCGTATGTTCAACGTCGCTGGAGGATTGTTCCTTGTGGAATGCTGATCATGCTTTGAGCTCACAGCTGGTGCTGGAAAGACATTTTTGAGGTATTTGCCATAAGATCATGTGCTACCTACATCTCTAACATCGCCAATAAGCTCTCTTATGATGGATAGCCTAAGATCTGAGGCGAAGATAAAGGAATACGGAGTAGCACACATCTATTTCAATTATAAGGAACAAGAGCAACAGACACCGGTAAAAGCCCTTGCTAGTCTAGTTAAACAACTCGCCTGCCAAACCAGCTACGTTCCCGACGCCCTTGAGAAGCACTACGATAAGGATCATGGGAAAGCACCTACAGTTGAAGAGCTATATATAGCACTCCTTGATATTTCAGAAAGATTTACGAAAACGTTTCTCGTATTCGACGCATTGGACGAGTGTGACTAAGTGAATCAGCGGAAAGAACTCTTACCGTTGTTTCATCGGATTTGTGCTCATGGACCTAAGTTACATATATTTATAACAGGACGTGATTATTCGGAGGATATTCAATGTTCCTTTGAGAAATCATCAAAGATAAAACTTTGGGCAAAGGATGATATTGAAAGTTATGTGGACCAAACAATATCAGAGTACCCTAGAGCGGAACGCCTGATAAGGCGAGGACGTATGGATTATAGCAGCAAGATAATCTCTGATCTGATTGAGTGCGCGAAGGGAATGTAAGTTTCATAACCCTGTGAACAAATAAACACAAAGTTTACTGTTAATTATAGGTTTCTTCTTGTTCACTTCCACGTCGAACATTTATGCCAACAAACTACTATCCGCGAGATCCTAGAAGAGCTTGAAAATCTGAAGTGCTCAGTCTTAAATGCAAGAAGCCCACTCCGCCCAACATATGATAGAGCTATGAACATCATAAACTCCCAACCACCAAACTGCATTGAACTAGCAATCAGGATTCTCTCATGGCTTGTCAAGTCTAGGAAGGTACTTACGGTTCATGCCCTTCAATTAGCCCTGGCGGTTGATCCTGACCGTACTGGATTTGACGAGCTGGATCTACATGATTTGACAACAATGCTGGATGTGTGCGCAAGCTTGATTACGTACGATGAGAATACTACTACTATACGATTAGCACATTACACTATACAAGAATACCTCCTAAATCACCCTAAGATACATCGGCATGCAGACCTAAAGGTCGCAATGTCCTGCCTAAAATTCCTCTCAGATGAACGATTCATGAGGTTGGCAATTAGGTGTATTGCATTCGAAATATCCTTTCTGGTTCTATGCCTACGATAATCTGACGTTCCATCTTAATGAGTGTGAGGAAAGCCTGACGAGGGATTCAGTATTGGAATTTATTAACAAAGAAGGCTGTGTTACCTTATACCTAATCAACACGAGGAGGGATTATATTACGGGATACGTTGATTCAAACCCATTATCTATGGCGTGTCTACTCAATCATAGTTTAGCTGTCCGGTCACTTATTGAGCGGGGTGGGGTCGTCCTGTGCGGAGATGGGGATAGGGGCACTCTCTTACACACTACGCTTAGGGATGAGCGAAGAAGATCTTTGGGCTTTACTAGACATTCCTGGTTGGAGCGTAAGGCCGAGATAGTGTCTTTACTTTTCAACGCTGGTGTCGATATCTCTGCGGCTGATGACCTCGGCACCACAACAATTCAACTTGCAGCCGGCGTTGCGGGAGGTCTGGTTTTATTATAGTATCTCATTGAAAAAGGCGCAAGCATCTCAGCAGAGGACAAATATCACCAGACAGCACTCTACTACGCAACGAGAGGTGGAAATTATGACTCTGTAAAATTCCTGATCGAGCAAGGTGCCGATGTCAACATTGCGGGCATGAGACTCCTTCACTCTGCAGTAATTAATGGCAATTATGACCTGATTAGAGTATTTGTGGAGAACGGTGCGGATATCAACATGGTCGATATGCAAGGCTCGACAGCTCTTTTTCCTGCAGCAATGAGAAATTGTCATAACTCAGTTCGAGTTTTAGTAGAGAACGGTATCAGTATAAACCATAGCAATACTAGAGGGCGGACAGCACTTTTTACAGCAGTTCTAGGTAGCCACTATGACCTACTTAGAACCTTAATGAAGAACGGCGCCAAGGTAAACATTACGGATGATTGTGGTCAGACAGCACTTCATTTTGCCGTATTTGGAAACTATCATGACTCGGCTAGATTTTTAATAGCAAACGGTGCCGATATCAACATTATCGGTTGGCTTGGCCGGACAGTACCCCAGTTTTCAGCGTGCTGCGCCGAGTATGACAGATGTAGATTTACTTCCAAAGAGCTGTACAGGCGCAGGGCTCGTATCAACAATGTCGACCATCCGGGTAGAACTGCACTCCATTGTGATAAGGGATCTAGAGAGGACAATAGAACGGCTGATCTTGTATCTTTGCTTAAACAAAGAACCGATATCTCGACCGGGGACGAGTGGAGTCAGAAGCCCTCCGTACCACAGCAAACACCGCGCATTATCCCTCACTTCACTACTTACTCAACAACGGTGTCAGTCCTTCTACAGTAGATATTGAAGGCTGGAACGCACTTCATCATGCAATTTAAGGTGATGGGTGCTCGGAATACATGGTTCGCCTACTAATGTCTTATGGCGCGAGCCCCTCTGCACCAAACAAGCAAGGAAAAACCCCACTTGATTATGCGCTAGAAATGACAGAAGTATACTCAAACTATGTCATTAACGCTTTAACCGAAGAGTCCGAGAAGAAATTATCAATCCGTCTCCTCAAGGATTCTTAATAAGGCAAAGTATATTCTGAACGGGGAAACATGTACGTGTATATTATTCTTCTGATATTTGCGAGCAGTAACCTGACATTTGTAAAAGGCACTATTACCTTGGGTCATACGTTCGAAAGCCAGGCAAGGGTTAGGAAGGAGAAGGGTTACAGTTTCCTTTCAAGTTTTTCTTCTCTATTTTGTATCGTCAATCAAGGTGGCTGTTGTGGCAATACCGCAAAAACTCGAATAATTCGTTAGCTCCGTGAGATCAAAGTTACTTCTATGGGAAACATCTGATGAAGATCGATATCACCCAACCAATCACTCGAGATATAATCCCTGGGCGGATAACGAATTATTCGAGTTTTTGCGGTATTGCCGCAGGTGGGAGTGCGTGGGAGTGTGTGGGGTTGATTACATGTATGAGGGTGCATCTCACCTCACTGTAAGGCTTTGGGGCGTGGCAATATTTAGATAAATAAGGTTTAAACGGAAGGGATATATTCGCATTTGATCGGGATAAATGGCAATATCAACATTGGCGTACCATCATCCACAATTCCACAAAGGTAAAGGCTGTGTATACTATTTGAATACAGTCACTATAGGTTACAGATGCACGTACTACATGTAACCAACCAGCCACCGACAGAGCCATTATGATCAATGACTTGCGATTGCAATTTCACATATTGTACACTCACCAAGGGCATGTATATAGAAGGAAAGATCAGATGATGTACCCTGATTAATTGCAGAAATTATCGATAACGTTTTATAGGAGCTGCAGCATAGATCTGAGAATATGACAAAATTAAGTAAATGTATGGTGTAACTCGGCGGCGGTCCGGGGAACAATTTAAAGAGATTCAGTATTTCCAGCCTTGAGATTGTTTGAAGCCTTTGTTATTTAGGCATAGGTTTTTATAAAGATATTCAAATGTAGCTACCGGTTGTGGATATCGTTTTGAGATTCAAATTCTGTTATTGTTGAAACCTTTGTAGCAAAGCATGCACTCCAGACAAGTATATATCTTGGCTAAGTATATAGGATAAAACACACAATCAGCATCGCTCACTAATGCAAGATAGAAACCACTTCAAGCATTCTCAGCCAAATAAACCAGAAATAAATAGGAAACGCAGTATCCAAAGGCTCGCTATCACTAGCAAATGATCCGTTCGGGCATTTGAAACACGCCCGTTTTCGATCCTGTAGCTAGCTTTCGGAGCGAGTCAAAGGCGCGAGCCAGGACATGTAACATATGTCAATGCTACATGATGTTAAGGCTAGCTTATCTTCCATCTATTTTTTCCTTGCTTTCTTTCATGATAAAGGTGAACACGTTACGATGTAATCAACCTCCTTATGTCCACTTTTCAGTGGCCAGGATATTGATTTCTAGTGTAGGATACGGACAACGAGTGATCTACCGCCCATATATTACTCCTGGCAGACATTTAAACCCAATGCTCCTGTATGCAATTTTACCCGCAGTACATGAGTATATCGCAATCTTACCTAAAAATGCTCAATACGGTCCACTGGTGCCTTCTAGGGACCTTACTAGCCTCACTTCCTATGGGATCCGTCCACATCAATGCCGTTCCCTTGGACTATTCCGGTGAAGAGAAGGGTCATGACCTACTGGATAGCTCAGTTGCCCAAACATCCTCACCTCACGATACCCCCAGAATCAATTTGAAGGATCAAGGGTTGTACTTTTCGGTGCGACAGAAAGATTGGCAGAAGGTGGAAAATATGGATTGGCAGAAGGTGGAAAATTTGGATTGGCCAGGGGAGGAATACATAGACCGACTAGAGGTGGATAAGATGGACCTCAGGTTATACTCAAGCACTACAACTATGACAAGGGTGAGGGTGGTAACCGTAATAGTTCCCCCGCCGGAGGATCACTCGGTCTTGCCAACACCACAACCCGCAATCACAACCGAAGTACCTGGTGTTGACGGCACAACGATAGTCGAGAACACTTGGTTACCTGCCAAAACCCCGACAGTTGGCAGCACAATGGTAGCTAACAAATTATTTGTGCCATGGGACACGAAAAAGCAACCTTCCACTTCAAATTTGGTGACTCGAACATCTATCCTCTATGTTGTATGCTTCATCATGGCTGTTTCTGTTCTCTATGTCATCGGCTATGGCCTCTACACTGCCTTTACAAGGTGCAAATCCTGGTTTACGTCTTTTTTTAGGGCCAATCATGATGAACTTCCCCCGGTACAGCTGGAAGAGAGTGCGGGTGTTAGTTGGACCGATGGGAGTAATATAAGTTCCCCCCAGCCGGGGGTTCAAGAACCGGGGGAGCTGCAAGAATCTTGGGCGGAAACTAGTATTGATACGAATATACTGGGTAATCCAGAGGCTTCAGGTACCGCGGCGATGATATCGGCTACGGGAACAGTTAGGAGACATATAAGGAGCACTATTCGAGGGGATGAGGTGCCCCATGAAATCGGATGATTAAGTCGAGGAAACCCATGTCGAAGTCTTTGCGTATTGGTGATATATCGATATCAATGACTTCCCCGAAATAAACCATCCCGCCTACCGAACACGGTGGCTTTCGAATATAAAACACGTGTCAAAGCTCTTCGCAGGAGAGTATAAAGACTTTTGTACATTAGTGTTGCTGGGACTTCTATTTCTGCTGTTCAACTGTAATTAAACTCGGTATTTTTTGAAAGAGTCCCTATCACAACAACTTCATTATTATTCATACTGTGACTGAGAATTCACTTCCGGGGTGCTTATCTATTTAACGTTGTAGTATAACGTTTTGATGACTCTGAGATCAAGAATCTTTTTATGATGCAACCAAACCACGTGAGATCGAAATCAGTTTTTAGGAATGAACAACCAAAACCATGGTTTGATTCACCGTTGTGGCGCATGCATGCTGCCTTGATAGACACAAATTGGATGACTAATCGGGATGAGCGCAATCGATGGAGGAAACGTTGTCTAAAGGCGGGCGGAATTACGTGGCCGGAAGAGGTGATTTATAGCGTAGCGGCTCGCTTCATCTTGTAGTTACAGGTGCTATCATCATCATATGTTATTACACCGGTTTATTCCGCCAATTATTTAGTTTTGCATCATATCAATTTATTGAGCGTGAATACAAAGCGCAGCAAACAATATCCAGAGTCAAACGAAATTCAACCATAGCATAAGTCGTTTCAACTAGATTCAGGGTTAAAGCACGCGGTGCACACTCAGTGGGACAAGTTCAAAATTCGGTATTAGATATGTGGGTAAAGAAGGGTGCCCGGATACCTGTAGGTACGGTTGAACGACACTGTGCAACGGCAGGTACCCATGACCATGCTACACTTACCTATATTTACACGCCCGATATTAACTCTAACGGATATAGCAGCAGTTTCTAAACATCTCATCGCACAGATACGGGGGGGTCAGCAGCAACTCTCGTCCGGTGTGGTGTGGCCAGGTAAGTACCAAGTGCATGTGCGAGAAGCTGAAACATTCACTGGTCTAGTTGAGCCCTAGCGGTAACCGCAGGACAACACGCACAAGTGGTCGAGTGATGTCTCGTGAATGCCAAGCATGCTTATCTCCATCGGGCATAGTGCCACCAACCCGGCGAGTGATTTGTTATGCGAGAGCCTCATATCGCACCTCCGAGGACATGAAAGTACGTCTCCCATACATATTCGGTGTTGTTCTGGTTGATAGAAACGGGATTGGGAGAATTGCAGTCATTCTAAGGTCGCAAGCCTCCTATACGGGCCGCCATGTGGACGAGTGATCCTTCATGAAGCGCGTTGAATTCGCTCATCATTTCTTGGGGGTGCTTGTCAGATGTGGGTGTGCTGTCAGGCCTTCTGGCCTTTGGTATACTTATAGTGGTTGACAGGGACCAATATTTTCTCAAATCCCTCTGCATGTGGTCCTACTTGTTGATATGGATCTATGGTATTCAGTCGACAGCTTATCTCTTAGACATGTTGGCATATTGCCGGCGCTCAGAGATAGTTCATGGGATTGTTAAATCAGTTGAGATTTACGTATGCGCCCCAGTCTATCCTCGTGCGCTCGTACCCCCGAAATTAATTAACATAGTAACTCGTATCGGGTTATTATTCATCAAAGTCAAATGTTAGTCTCGTGTCCATCCCCTACTGACAGCTTAGGAACGAGCCTAGTCAAGTTTATATAAAATTCGCCAGCTGCAGTGTAATGCTGGAGAATGGGGATATCATTATGAGAACTGAGACACATTCTGACTCTAACTAATCCCGATTTCGGGCTAAAGTTATGATCATCATGGTCCCTAATATTTAAGTCAACGTCTTTAAGTTATGAGGAGAATTAAATAAAGATTGGACCACGTATGAAGCCAAATTATCCCCTTCCGTTTGAATTCGAATCCAAATATCACAATATTGAGCTCCAGCGAACGGATTCGCACCTAGCAACTTCTACCGGTACGTTGGACTGAGGTGATGATCACTGTAGTCTGAATTCTATCATGCTTTCCCGAACTGCGTAGACACGATTTTTACTGATCGGTTGGCTCATCTAGGCCATGCAGCAAGCACACAGAGAGCGCGGCAAGGCCGGAATCTGTTTCTTTTATGTGATTTAGTTAGGACCTCATGCCAGTTGGAACTGAGTGAACGAAACACGGCGTCGGCCGGGATTCCAAAAGAATCTAAACAATCGAAAAACGGTACCGGTAAGTAAACAATACGCGATAATGAATCTCGGCAAGCGCAAAAGGAAGAAAACAATTGGTCTAGGCCACCTCGAAGTCATATGTACATGATATCTACGTGTACCTGATTTTTGTTTCAAGGGGCAAGGCTGGGCTGCAGGCAGTGATTGGCTATAGCCCCGCCAACGTTCAGCATATGACGTCGGGGGAATATATAGGTGCCCTAATCACCCGCCGCAGTGGACATGGTGGTGGTATGGTTCTGGAGTCGATAACACGCTACATAAATACCTACCATGTTCACCGTCATTTCCAGACAATATCTTTTCGGCCGCTACCCTCGCAATAGAGCGTGATTATCCGGGGTAGTCGAAGGACCTCCAGTGTTCTTGTGCTTGTTTCCATCGCTAATTCATCATCTTTATCATCTGGCTTCCGTATCGCTTGTCACTCTGCGATCAACGACCGAGTGATCAATTCGAACGGGGAAATAAGCCGCATTCTGTCAAATCCTCGCCTAGATTATTTATCAATATACCACTGAGATTTCTCGTTTATTACGGGTATAGGATAAGTACGGTATATTGAGGGTTTGAAAAACAAAGCAACTGGCCGCAGTGGCGCATGCGCTGCGCTGCGCACTGCGCACACATTCCATGCATGCATCCGGCTGAAAGTACATGTGTCAAGCAGTACCCCAACACTTTAAAAATTGATAGGTACGGATTCGTTTCAAAGATGGGCTCCTCTAGATCTAGAGAAAGGTGCTAATATTGGTTTGTGAAAGAAAACAACCAACGTATTCACAGCCTTACAGTACCAGTTAGGCACTCCCGCAAAAACGTGGTAGAATACGTGTAACGAATGAATTCATATTACATATCTAAATCGAGTACGTATTTGAAACACTCTCTGAATAACAGGGGCTTACCGTTTTCATATCATAGGATGCAGTTTCAATCGATTTACACATGCCCACTCTGGTGTTACAGAAAATTTCTCTTGTACAATTGAGATTACCGCAGAGAGAACCTATTCCAGGCTAAATAGTCGTCTATCTCGATGTGTTGACCACACTATCTCCAGATATCACGAGGTTAGATTATAGATTTGGTTCTCAGGTGTTAAATTTACCTGGTAAAGCACCTTGTCTGCCTGAGTGTGCTGGGAAAGATAGAGTACGTGTTCAAGTCCCATTTACTGCCTTGGTTAACTCTAAAATATCAGGTCCTTTGTCCCGGGGGGGGGGGGTCTGCGCGCACATATATACACGATCGCGGAACCCATGATCTAATGGTCCATGCTGCCAATCTACTCATATATCTCATCGTTGAAAATAAGGAGACTGTGTGCGTTCATAGCACCAAAAAAACTTGATTAGAACGTCTCGTCGATAATTACTTTTTCCCTCGAACTGGGGGAACTCAAAGTCGCAATCCCAGCATAAAACATGAGCGCCGGGGGTGTTTCTTCTACCCCATGCACTACAGCTTACGCCAGGTTCAATTTAGCTGTGCAAGGCGGATCCTTAGCTACTAGCACCTACACAGTTCATACCGCAAAACTTTTGAAACCTTTGAAATTCAATTGAGCGACCGGTCAAATCGAGCGACCAGTCAAATTGACCCATTTCAATTGATGGTACAATATTGGCTACCTGCCGACATGAAGGAGAAGCCACGAAGACTGCATAGTGTGGAAGACAAGTTAGAGCTCCTTTCTCCCCTTGTTCAGCCTAGGTTCAGATAGGTGTCTAATGCATGACTTCTCACTGCTCTATGTAGTTAGGAATATGAATCGGAGCTAGATCTTCAAGGGAACATTGCTTTCGTGGGGGTTATCAGGGCGAACATGTGGATCTTGTGCGCCTCTCGTGAGATGTCGACCACGTTTTCAGAACTTTAAGATACATCAAAAGCTCCACCGAAAAATGAGATATGATACGATCACTCTTTGAATTCAACAAATCTAAACTCAGGTGCCTATTGGGGTATTATATCTTCCGATGATGACTGAACAATCATTCGCCGATCTGTACTCCCATTGGCTTCTAACGGTTTTCACTCAGTTCTCCACCTTTTACGCCAATAAATGTTCATGTCAATGAGTAACATAAGAATGTGTAGGTTGCCTTGTTCAATTTTATGGCAGCAGAAGTCTACGCGCCTGGCGTTACAGGTGGGTTCGAATAATTGGTGAAGGTTCCTAAATACGTGACTCTTTATAGTCATCAATCATCACTTTGGCAGCTCACGAGGCTATTTATGGACAACAAGATGCACCAATGACTGTAACTACAAACAGATCTGTGTCAGGTTCGTGTGGTGCGGAGTTTATTGGATTAGGTTCATTGAGGCATGAATGCATCACTCGCAATCAGAAATGGGAGGTGTATCCGGGGACTGTGGTAGATAGTACCCTTATCTATAAAGGGAGCAGTATCCGCCGCACCTAGACAGAAGAATTATCAATCAATACATAGTTACTCCAAGAAAGTCTTTAGTATATTCTTCCCCTCGGTATTATTACCACCACGTCTATGTCTGGTAGCTTCGATTTCGGGAATTTCGGCAGCGGCTACGTTGTCGGGGGGTCTCCCCACAGCAGTATCCACACCGAGGTGGCGATGGGTGATGACGGAAATATTCCAGAGTACAACTTGGGTCCTCTGGCCATACCTGTTGACTTCAGTTCTCCTCAATTTCACTACAACACCGTAATGTCATCACCAGATATGGGCGCATTACACTATTCACAACGCAATTCACCACTCATCCAGGCGACAATGTTTCCCGCACTGAACATAAGTCAGTCGGCTTACGACCAAAACAGCTATTATGGGCCTCAGAACGTCATTAATTCCAACTTATGGAGGCCTCCGGCTGAAGCACAACCGATTGCGCCTATGCCCACTACAGAGGCCGCGAGTCTGGCCACCGGGACATTGAGGAGGGTTACGGGCGGTGGATGTAGAAACAATTGCGAGGGAAGGTTCGAGTAAGTACATCTAGATATCTGTTTCCTTGCAGAATCTGACTGGATACCATAGAGGGGAACATAAATGCATGCGCGACAGTAAGGGACTTTCCGTTCGATGTGGTGCAAAGGGCTGCGAATCAGTCCTCACCTCCCGAGGCCGCTTCAACAGACATTGGAACACCAAACATCGAAATGGAGGAATTTATGCAAAGCAGAAGCTTAGTTGCCCGGTCATTGGCTGCGGGAGAGTTGGTGACAGAGGTTTTGCACGCCAGGATAATCTTCGGCAGCATCGTCGGAATGTCCATAATGAGAATATCCCGAAAGAAAGGCGTCGATGCACGGGAACCGTTACTATTAGTTGATATTCCTATTTACCAACCGTTGGAGTTTGGAGTATTTAAGGGAAGGTTTTTTTTTGTCTGTAACGAGATATCTAGGTTAGAAGTTTTAGCGCAAGAAAATTGGACTCGATTTAACCCAGGTCAAATGAAGTTCAGGATTGATTGATTGATTGATAATCCATTGATTGTATGCAATGAAGTTCGGGACTGATCGCACTGTGTCAAATTAGTATTTTCTTGTCGATTAGCTAACTGTAAATGTATTCTTGACCAGAATCTATTTCGATTTCACTTGAATGAATTGAGTTCTCGGCATACCCGAAGTTTTATGAAGTGCACCGCCACACACGCCAACAAAACACTGAAGCTCAATATTCTACCAGGTTTGGGTCCAGGGACTATGATAGACTCGATGGAGAGAAAGGAACTGAAACACAGACAAGATCTTAACACCATCGCAGTGGAGATTTGCCTCGTAATAGGTCAGCCTTGGTTTCAAAAACCTTTGTTTGCATACATTATTCATGCGCCACACAACTGCCGGTAGTTGTGTTCAAAATTGGCCTAGCATTCAATGAAACAACACGACAGCAAAAAGACGTCAGATGCAGGCACAATGGACAGCGTCACTAATCAACCTGGCGCTCATCGAACAAAAATTCTTCGCAGCTCGAATCTGCCTCAAGACAGCAAACTGTCTGTTGTGAGCGCCGTTGTTCCTGATAGACATGACGTATTCCGGGGCCATGGTCGGGGTACATATCTTCCAACCTGGGAAAAGAAAGAAAAAACAAGGCGTTGAAGATGTAATACTGCCCGCGAAGATTGGTAAGATCAGACAGCTACCCCGGCCGGCCGCTACGTACTCCAAATCGTGGTGAATGGTGAGTGTGGGAGGAGCCCTCAGGCGCTCTATATTTCGCAGGAAAGTCAGCCGTGAGCGGGACTACTTTTCAATCTATGTGTAGGGCGTACACATGTAGATGTACCTGATCTACCTCTATATACGCGGTGATAGGCTGATAGCTTTAAGCCTCACAGAGCCTCAACCTTATTTTCACGCCATCGGTTCGTCTTAATTCTGCGCTGCTGAATCGAGAAAGAATTAGCGGAGGAAGCCTGGCTACAGCATTGATCTAGGTAGATCTATTGATAAAGATCAGTCCCAATTCTGTAGAAAGGGGGAGACTCTCTATGTCTATGTTCGCGCTCGGCCTGCTATGTTTTGATTATGCATGAGCCTTCCTTCATATATATAAACTCTATTATGAGAAACCTAACCCTAACCACAAGAGATATAGTTACGTAAGATTGTCTAATTATTTTTATTTCCAATAGCCGTCCGAGACTTAGTATCCTTCTTGCTAGGGTTTGTAGGTTTAGGGTGTGAATATACGGACGAATTGGCTGATATACCGAGAAGTCAGTCTACGGTCTTCTGTAACGTCGAGTGATAATACATGATTTGAACGCCCGAATTGCTATTATAAGCGTCAGGTGTTCCTAATTCTGGGCCAGAAACGCTTAGATTGTGCATGTGTCTATTTTATCCGAACTCGCTATAGGAGCATCGAAAGACCTCGAAACACAAACGAAACGAATGATCCTGTGCGCATAGTGCGAGGTTATGTAAGACAGATTCTGGCCTATAACACAGCTAGTCAGACCAGCCAGTCAATCCAAAGGACTCAGCAGCGAGACACCCAAATTATCCTCGAGGTCAACCTATTTCTGATTAGGATAAATGAACCATCTCTGTTCTTGTCTCCAATGCATTCCGGGGGTCTTTATCGGTTGGGGTATATATTGAGGTATCCATGTAATCGAGCGGATTCTGCCGCACCAGCGCGGGATCGACTATTCATATTGAGAGCAATTAATCGTAAGTCTTTAAACATCAAGTTATATCCCTATAAGGTCAGAGTGTTAGAGTACACACCTTCGGCCATTAGTACACCTCCAACTTGTACGGGTGCCTGAAAGTTCAAGAGAATGACTCGATCCAAAAGACAGGCGCGAAACGGGTAAGAACTTATAGTTCCCGATGACCTATTTGTTCGCATAAGATATTGGTTACAGATTCAGTGAGGAAGCCAAGATAAGGTGGAAGTTCACAGATTCTGTGGTGAAGCTAGCTTGAGATGGAGCTGGGGAAAGGTGTGAGGGCACTTTGTGTGTACTGGTTGTAATCGAGCTAGCTAGATTGATAACGTAAGGATACGTAGCTGCATGCATACATGCAGTGTCCCCGTGCCTTCTAGAATTCTTGTCTCCGCCTCCTGTCCCCATAACTCGCTAAGTAATTAAGCTCACCCCCGCCTTTCGCGGCTTCTTTTTCGCCTAATTGACCAGTCTTTCGACTGCAAGCCCACTTCTTGGGATTCATAGCCTTCCGGGATCGCACTTGTACTTTACATGGATCGATACCTGCAACAGTGGCTTTGACCTAACCTGCTGACATGTCTCATCCCATGAGAGTATCAACACATACTCGGGGCAGGCAAAAAGTACCGGACAATGCAAGTTTTGTCTCTGGGCTCTTTTTACAGTAGTTCACGCCTAGCACGCGCACCCATTGGTGAACCAAAACCTGCATTGTCCGGTACTTTTTACCTGCCCCGAGTACAGCTCACCACAAGCCTTTCTTCTCTCCTTACAGCAAATGAGCCCCAGCAGAGCATATCACCGTCAGGAACTCTCTAGATATATTCCCTAGCGACGAGATGTGCAGAAGTAGTAGGTACAAATGGCGTGAGGAGGGAGTTCCAGGCGAGCTCGGCGATGCTTGATGGTGGGTGAGACCCCTCCCCCACGCTAGCTTACCTTCCCTCAATGATAGGAGACCTTAAAAAAACCCAAAAGATATTCACACAATCTTAATTATCGCCAGCTTTCTAGTCCACATGATCTATCAGATGTTGCGGGCTGGGAGGACCCCGACCGGTTAGGAAGCTAGTGCCGTATATACACCACCTCAATATCGCAAACAAAACACCAGCGATACAACCAGCTTGTTGATCACCCAGGTAGCAGCGCATGCTGCCAATTATCCTCAGACACGAGTATCTCATCTCTTTCTTTCTCTTTTGGTCGCTCTACTTCACCTGCAAACTAATTAACAGCCGCAGTGATATACTCAGTAGGATTAGGTTTAGTCGCGTGACGGCCTACCAAGCCTCAATCTTCAGTATTGTTGTGAAAGCGATACCACATGAATAACAAATCGAACTGGGCTAGAGTTCCGTACTATCATTGGTCAAAACGATCAAAGGTTAAGATCTGGACTGGTTTGAGGCTGAACGCAATCCCAGGGGAATATTGGCCGGCCCGGTTGCTTGGTTATTGGGATTTTGCGGTACCTAGAATTATATATGCACCCAAGCACGGCTAGCCGACAGTGATCAGATCAACATACGGTGCTGTCGGTTCGTAAAGTACACTTTCTAATTAACCCGGCCGGCCGGATAGCTGCCTATTAAAAAGCCTAGCTGCTGCTCCTCCGGCATAGGATGGGATACTTCGCGGTGGTGGTGGCGGAGCAAGTGGAAAAAAAATATTTATGTTGAAGCAGACACTCTCGGCATTACTTCCGTGTTATCTATCTGCGCAAATTCCGATCGAGAGCGAGAACACAAGTCAAGTGTCGGTTTTCTGCTTTCGGAAATTTAACGCGGTCGCATAGGATTGTCTGTTATTGTTCGTAGGTAAAATGGTTCTTATAGAAAAAAGGTGTAGGTATTCCAAGTCGGTGTAGTATAGTGGTTAGTACTTCTCGTTGTGGTCACACATCTCCGAGAGGACCCATGTTCGATTCATGGCACCGACAATACCAAACTCATTTTGATTTTTGTCTCTTCCACCTCTCGCTCTCAACTAGTTACAGAAATAACAACAGAATTTTATCGTCTTCATTTTTACCCATGAAGCTATTCCACCATTACTCCTCACAACCGAAGTGGTAAGCGTCACCAGTTGTCCAACCAGTGGACTAACCTCCCTCTACAAAATCAAACGAGAAAAGCCGACGAAAAAAGGTTCTAATAAGATAGTATAAGCCTATTGAGCTAAATCACCACTAAATTTTCCATCGCATTACACCAGGAGATAGGAGAGGGGGTGAAGGCGGTCCATTCAATCAGCGCCACATGCTGCACCGCCACAGCCACAATCATTATTGACCCTTCAAACGACAGCGCTCCGATGGCTAGACGGGAAAGAACCAACTTACCGCTGTCGAAGTTGCTCGTGGCTGTTAGTTTATGATTAATTTTCAAGTAGCTCATCTCCTATATACCCCCCTTATTGTATTGCTGAAGGCTAGAAATGGGGTAACTGGCTGGTTGCGCGCAGTGGGGGGTGGTCTGCCGGTGCTATGGGAAGCTAGATAGGTCTTGTGGGATGTTGAGCTGTTTCCTTAGGTGGAAAGACTGTGATTGGGGTGTAATATAATGGGTATCTTAGAAAACAGGAGGATTGAGTGGTATGTGCATTGATAGCTGCTTATCACGAAGTCAACCCTAACCCTTGTTTTCACGCACAACGTTCAGTTAAACTCCAAGTTTTCATTTATAAGCTAAGATAATGCGTGCAGGGTAATCACGAGGCATCACGTATTATCATTCTCGTTGACCGTGCATACGATTAATGAAGTAATCAATCAAAACCCCCGTTGACCGTGGTTTGAATCTTAAGGTATCTTATGATTATTTATCAACATGAAGTGCATGTCGGCACAACCTAAAGATGCAACGCTGAAAACGTACTGCTTTTTCCGCATCAATAGTTTTCTCAGCACAGTAACCGCAAGTAACAAAAATAATAAAAAAGGATGCGATAGCACACAGATAGCACACAAGTGCTTGGCCAATAATCTCAGCTGCTCCTCCGCCAATATTTGTAACAGCTTCATTATCCGCTCATATTATCCCAATCTCTTCGTCCACGACACCTCTCATCGCAACTTTCTTCCTTTTAATTGTATCGCCGCCTTCATCCACTGGCTGACTCCCTGTACTTGCCATGGATAGCCGCCTGATCTCCGTCAAAGCTGCGCTTATCGGGGCACCCACTCCACCCCCAATGTGATAAACATTATCACTAGAGATGTATGCCGGCGCTGGGTGATTTGGTCCTTGATCTAGATTGGTCTCTTCTACTGCTGAGCCCCTGCCTTTTGAACCATATCGTCTATCTTTCCATTCTTTGAGAGCATCAAAGGAATCTTGGAGAGTGAGGAATAGATTGCTTACGACTAGAAACATGATTACCGCGAAGAGAGTGAGTAAAGTAAAAAAGCCAATATAAGCAAGAGTGTCTCCCATCCTGCCGAAGGCTGGCCGTGTGCTAGGCAGTGCTAGTGGTGCAGCGTGAGGTGGGGTACCAGATGTAGTCAACGAGGATGCTACTCGAGGTGCATCGGTTGCTAAGGGTGTATTTTGGCCCGAAGCTGATAGTCGCGGTGTCCCAAGGCCCGTAGGTGTTGCTAAGAGACTACTAAGCGGCGGTGTGATCACACCTCTTCTTACTAGAGGACCTTTGTAACCTCCAGTTGTATCTTGCTCAACATCTCCAACATATTCAGGGTGAGGTGTAAGTGGGCATGTCATATGATACTTTACACCGTGCTTATCAAATTTGCAATTTTTCCATAACCTCGGTGGACCTGCGGAAAAATGCGCTGGGAATTCCTGCCCGACTGGAAACTCATCATCGGTTTGATGACTTCTCAGAATCTTGTTGTTCCTTTTGGCACGGAGATTCTCCACACTTTCCTGGCCATGGTCGTACCAATCAGGAATCTCACATAACACTTTCGAGCCTGATCCGTCGAAGCAACGGAACCAGCGGTCAATAACAATCCCTAATTGAGGATCTTCAGTATCCTCATATTTACTTTTAATATACGAAGTATCCCTTTTCTGGCTGCTCCAGATAAGTTGCCGTCGGACATGCTCCTCATTCTTCTTATCGTAATTAAAAAATCCAATGTGGCCATCTGTACTTTCGGTGGAGATGCCCTGGAAGTCTTCATCGTCTGGAAATGTGAAATTCCCCGAGTAAACTTCGAGGTAGTGTCCGAGTAACATTTCGAATAGAACTATTGAATTCATATTCTCCGATCCATTTTTTTGTTTTGCTGCCTCGCGCAGATTAGACATTACGCCTTTTACGACGGGTTTCCAGTCAAAACTGGCAATGTCAAAATTTGTATCTCCGATAAGTTCGGATAACCTGACGACCAGCAATTTTGCAGCACTCTTCGGTACTTGGAGCCATGCTTCTTCTGACCCCTCTTCCGAATTATAAAGTGCAATTAGTGGAGGGATTGTTAGCGAATAAAGATATTTAACTAGTTGGTCTTGGTAAGAGTCCTGCTGTGCGCGAGCTGAAGAGCTTTCAAGACCGTCGTCATCATCATCATCTTCACCTTCATCATCAGAGACAGCGATGAGGGCTTCGGCCTCAACTTCAATTCCACAGTTAAGCTCAACTTCTGTATCATATTTGTTCTCGTGATACCAGCAATATAATACTCCTTTGAGATCCAAGGCAAGTAGCCCATCCATACGCTTCTGGACGGAGATTTGACCCTCAGAAGTAGGGTGCATACTTTTGTTCTGCTCCCTAGATTTGAGCAGGAGGTTCGACGAGAGAACGGACCGGGGAGAAACTGATTGGGTCCCTGTTTCAGTTTCTGGCTCTGATAGTGTTGACGTAGATAATAGACGGAGATCATAATTGTTGTCGACAGGATACATTTGAACAAAATAATTAACAGTATCGAGTCCAGGATTCGGAGTCATGTTGGGGCCAACAGATATCGGTAGCCCATTTAGTAACTCTGAAATGAGCAATTCATAGGTTGAATTATCTAAAACCTTTCTAGACGCACGATTTGCCCTTCCACATCTGAGCCTTCTAGCCCCCGATGTATTTCTTATCCTGCATGGGTATAGACTCGCCGCTGGGCTCTCGGTATCAAGGGGCTCGTCGACATTGGTATGATGCAAATGAGAATCCCGGCCAAGTAAGATAACCGATCTCCGGTGAACCGGTGTATCATGACTGACAAGGGTGCAGCCCAAGTCTGTGACGCCATCAGCGGTAGTTGGTTCACAGCTTATCCACGTAGTTTCAACATCAGGTTGGTATGGTGTGAAAGGAGAATGGCTCTCTCGATTTGAGATTGATTTATGTAAGCCATGAGATTGCGGCAATGCGCGAGCGGAGGTTTTTAAAACCGAATAAACTAAGATAGGAAGCAAAATCTTTCGCCAACCGACAAAAATGTCCATCTGTTGGTGAAGAAAACCATGTGCGTTTAGCGACATAAAATAAGTAGGAGATCAGCTAACTAGGCTTATACGCACTTTTACGCGAAAAACGTAATCCAACGAGACACAGGTAGCAATTCAGTGATGAAAATGATATCAATTCACTGGGTAGTGTTTGGAGTTTTGTATAAAAAGGATAGGAGCTTAGATAGAGAAACAAGTATCGTGCGAGCTAGGACGTCGAGAAGAGTCCTCGTAGGTATTGCCACGTTGCAAGAGATCAGGACCACACTTTGAACCTGGCCTTATCCCGGACATCAAATTCTCTGTTTATATACACGTCACCGCCGATTTAAAAGGTCGCGTGCGTGAGTACATGTATTGATCGGGAATCCCCATATATATATCAGATACCCTCTCGGACAAATACTTGTAACACTTTAAGCTTCAGAAAGGTGGTCCGAGGACGCCGATCTTTAATGATGAGTACGGCGAGCACTACCCTTGATATTTCAAGCGTCTATATATACCTGGCCTACTGACGGAAGTCATTATAAGCGGTGAGACCATGATATTTGAATACTCTCAGTGTCGCTAATACTACCTTGTGGTATTTGGTTTCTAGTTGTATCACAATATATCACTCGGATAACTGTTTTTGAGCTTTTTATGAGTCCAGTGTGAATACCTGGATTTGGAAAGAAGCCTGGCACCCAGATGTGTCTGATACAGAACAACATATTATTTGTAATGGATGGCTAACATAATAGATGACGAAACAATGGAAATACCTGTGTATACGAAATACAAGGTATATTTCGGTTTCCAACCAATTTCATGGTTTATGAAAACTACAGGTATGCTGCACAGATTTTACTCGAGTATGGCATCCCTGTGAGCCTTTTCTATTAGGACAAGGTGGATTAGGAAAGTGCTAAAATTCGCCGCAAATTTCTCAAGGCCCAACCGTAAGGCTCGACAGTTGAGACTGTGAAAGCAACAAACAAAAAAAAACTGGGAGTAAAACAACTGAAAGTATGATCTACTACATGTAGTTAAGCTTCCATATCTGCCACATGGGAGCAGGGGAGCTAGATGTCTGTCTGCCAGGAACAAGCAGTGTAAAAACCGCAGTACCCAGAGTGAAATTCAGTGCGAAGATAAAAAAGAATAAACCCGCAGATGGTAACGGGGGATTGAGCCCGCATATGCACGGGTGCGCGGCTGGTGAATAAACTTGCAATGCCTCCTACATGTATGCTATACTCGACTTCGTTCCATAAGCGGAAGGTTACACACACAAATGAACTCAAAACAACATGAACCCATAGGGCTAGGGTTTCCATAACCAACCTATCTTGTTTCTTTCATATTTTCAACGAAGCATTTCTCATCGTATGTGGGAATGTCTCTCGAGCATCCATGAGTGATTAAATGTGTAATGAGAAGGAAACAAGGATTAATCATAATCCTTGGATCATGGAGCACTTTCTCATCTTATTCTCTTACGTAATCATAGCTCTGGTCTATCGAGTGATATATGGTGACGAAACGTTGCTAACTTTGTCGAGTGATATTACATGATTTGAGCCTTCAATGACAATGATTAATTCTCTAGGTATAGCGTTGTCGGCACTAGAAAAGTCACAGCATACAACTGTAGGAAGCCCAATGAAGAGCTTTGCATTGATTCAAGAAAGAATACATTTTGCTAGCCAAGTTGCACGATACTCGGGCAAGACGAAATCTTCTTCTACTTTCACTACAAAGTGATACAGGTGTAACATGATACTCAGGAATATTTCCTCAGGTGGTAAAAAAAAATGTAGTTATGTATACAAATTGGCATGCACAACCTTCGCCACTTGATTGCACGAGTACTCTGAGTGATAATTTCTGATTAACTGTATTTCACAATTCAATGAACTACAATTGCTTTAGGAGATCTTAACTGGAATACTTTGAGTTGGTTGACGAGTAATTCACTCTCTCTGGTACCTAGTACTGAATGTTGTATGTCGGTGCGATGAAAAGCGCGGTAGGCTGGATAGAATTGAGCCCGTAGATCAGGGGGAGGGACCGGGAGGCATAATCATATCCACAATGCTGGTCCGTTGGAACTCACAGACTCATGACGGTCACTGGTTTAAGATTACGACGGCTGCCCGAGGTCCTTCCGGGCCGCTTTCTGATTGAGTACATGTAAGCGGAGCCACCCCTCGACTATGTACATGTATCTACCAATGGCCCACGACCCTCTTTCTCTTCCTCGAGAAAGGGTATAGACAGGAATGTCCCAAACTATATATCCTGAGCAGAGGCCCATCTTCCTCCTTCTCCTTCTCCTCCTTCTCCTCCTTCTCCTCCTTCTCCTCCTGCTCCTCCTGCTCCTCCCTCTCCCCCATCGAAATCATCGTCGAAGGTGCCTTATTGTATTTATACATTTTACTAAAAGCCCATCATCCTCTTTTAATTTTCATCTCCTTCCTTCATTTTTATCGTATGACTCATGACTGGGCTGCGTCAATTCAAATCACTTCTGGGAGAACGTGAACCACCGCTTGGCCACACATTTCTCGGTGGTTTTCTCCCGGATCGGCCTCCAGCCCTTCCATCGAGGAGGAAAAGGCGAACTTGTGCCTTATCATAGGAGTGCGGAGTAAGAGGTGATTAAATAAAGCCGGTATGTATATCCATCCACTTCTTCTTGTTCTCTGAGATCAAGAGATATGCAAATCCAAATCATCATCTCCATCAGCATTTTTTTCTCCGGATCAACAGATCTGCTAATATAAACTAGCAGCATTTAGAAAAGTCCACTCTGCTGGGGGTGTGGAGCAAGAGGTGGATTAAATCCGGTATTTATATCCATTAAATTCTTCTTCTTCTCTGGGCCTAATAGGTTGGCTAATGAAAATAATTAGAGATCGATGGGATCGTCATCCTGGGGGTGTGGAGCAGGACCTGGAGAATAGGTATTGATATCCATGAGCTCTTTCTTCTCCGGGATCTACAGATCTGCTAACGCAAATCATCAGAAATCGAACGGGAACCATTCCCCTTTTCATCTGGGAGTGCGGGGATGGAGGTGGATCAAAGGTATGAAACCTAGTATCCTCTTTATCTTATATCTTAGCTAATGGTTTTTGTCCATCTAGAGAATAACGAGCGGAGAGCAGAAACGCACCTGTTACTTGCGGGCAACTTTGAAGAGGTAACTGATTAATCTTTACCTCCAGCAGCTTTATCATTTCTAATTTCAACAGCTATACTAATCGATACCACCAGAGGTTACACGAAGAGGGGAGGAATGTCACACTTTGTGTCTGGTGCGGATCGCGGAGGTAAAGAGGAAATCTACGGTATTTATCCCAATCATTTGTTTATTTCTCTCTAAGCTCAACTGGCTAATTAAGTGAGTTTATCAAGACATTCAAGGGGTCGAGGATTTGCATATCACCTGGGATCGCAGAGCAAAGCTGCAAAGGAAAGCCACTCACCAGGTATTTATCTCCAACAACTGCTAACTCTCCAAACTCTACGCATTTACTAATTCAGACCAAGTTGTAAGCATTGCCCTATATATGTGGGGCCGGTGTCTAGTGTCAAGGGTGCTACTGGGTAGGTCCACGGGCAAATCTGTGCCCGATTGTCCAGAAGTCGAAGTTAGAAGGGCATCGAAGGTATTTATCTCTTGCAATATAAGCTGCTACTTTTCCTCGCGCAGCGAGCTTGTTGAATCTAAGAGTTAAATAAGCTAATGAATATATCTAGCTTTCACACCCAAGCTCCATAGGAGCGGCTGCTTGCTGCTTGTTAAACAAGCAAAATGGATCAGCCGATGGCTCCTGGCGGGGAAAGGATGACATCTGGTCAGTAATAGAATCCTACGTGAAGAAAAGGAAATCAGCTAATTTATTTAACAGGGTGAGAGAAGTGTTACGCCTGCACACCGTTCCCAGTTGATGTGGCCAGGAACGGGAACACATCAATCTTGAGAGGTTAGTAGTGGAATAAAATTATGTCAAGGAAGAATATTGGCTGACTATTTGTTTAACAGATCTCTCTACCTTCCAGCGGACATATGTGCCTAGGAAAGGACCGGGAGCACATCAATATGTGCAGGTTAGTAATGGAGTCGAATACATCAATGTAAAGAGTCGTTCTCAAGCTAATCATATAATAGGGAATGATTTTCTACCCAGCGTTGAATTCGGGCTGGGGCCAATAGCACTTCCGATGAAGTTATGTGGGGAACATGTTGACATGTTCATTCCCATGGCTGAGGAACACTGTTGGCCCGTCGCGCGCATATATTCTGTGAGAGAGACCCGGTTGTCTGTATATCAGTAGGACTTCCGGAGAAGATTGGTGGGGAACATACGGGGATGTTTCTTTACCGCATGATCCCTGAACGTGGTGGGGCGGGTCCTCAACATGACTGAGTCCCCTCTCCCGGAGAGAGGGGCTCAGTTGTGGGTGCTGTAAGAGAGGTCCGATTGTCTATATCCGTAGCCGACAAGGGCGGTCCCTGGACCGACTGTGGTCTTACGAGTTTAGTCTCGAGTGGTTTCCGGTCGGTGTCTTTTCAGGGCCGGTTTCTGGGCAGTCTTCCTCGCCCCGTTTACATCTGGTCGGCCGAACATGTCACCGGCATTGACATATTTTTAGAAAAATAGAAGATCTCTTCATGTAAGTTCATGTCGACCAATCTGTTTTTCGATATAATTCTGACATTTTTAAGGTGCTGGGCGGAACAAAAGCTTGGGCAATCATCTTCGGTGATGTCGAACTGAAGGTTTCATCACCATCTCGGTGCGCCCTTTGTGCTGATGACTCGGGGGCAAGGTGGAAGACCTATGGGGTAGGGGTCGGCGGTCTCGGGGGCCAGTGGAAGATTTGTGGCCTGTCTGGGAGCAATGACCCTTGTATTTTTACATAGGATTGACCTTGTATTTTTACATAGCATTTGGGGGGGGGGGGGGGGGGGGGGCTAATAATGTGGACACATTTGCGGAGTTTTTAAATCTTGACGATCTTTGGCAGAGCTAGAGATATGTAGATGATCTTGATTATTCGTGATTGGTAATTCGGTAGAAACATTGTAAAGACCAGGATTTATGGGGCCTGGGTAGATGTAACCTGCTTGACTAATTGAGCTCAGAGAGCGGATATCGGATAGGGAATAAGTGTAGTTCAATATTATCCTATAATAAAATCCGCTGCACAATGTGCATTCGTGTATATCTACACTTACGCACAGCCTTGCCGGCTAATGGCGGGAGTGACCTCTAGAAATGAGAGTGAATCCTCGGCACGCGCATGTGGTTGTATGATTTTAGTTTAACTACTGCGCCGGCGGGTACGGACTTCATGATGGGAATGTATCTCTACGATGGGGGGGATGCGGATGCCTGATCGAGCCAAAGGAATAATATTGAAATGTAGGATACCAGGAGAGATCAGGTACGTAAGCTAGCGCAAGGATTGATTCCATTCCCCAGGTGTAAGCCGTTGTCAAGGTCCTACCCTCAAAGCCTCAAAGTGTCTCATTGAGCTGACATTGAAAACTGTTCATCAAAAATTTAAAACACCTTCTCTAGCCAACATCTTTAGTGGCCGAGACTTTACACATGGACAATTCCCGGTGTCGATGCCCGAGTACGCTCATGATCATTACTTAGCGATAGTCTTTCCCGAACCCATCAGGTAGCCGGAGAATAAGGTTTCCGGTGAACAAAGCTTCCCTGATGCTGATGTTGACATGCGCCAACAAAGAAGGGCAGCAGGAACAAAGAAATGCGCTCCAATACCTGGTCCTGAGAAACAAAGGGCCTGTTACTCGACCTATAGCTCTATATCAAATAACCAACACTAGTACCACTACCAGTCTCGCCATATCGAAGAAAAACTAACGAAACCAAATCAACACCAACCGCCAACGTTCACCTGCACTTGGAATTCTTCTGCTCACTAGATATCCCGCTCACGAGAATCCATTATGCCACCAGCCCCACCACCAGCCCCGCCGCCAGCCCCGCCACCAGCCCCGCCGCCAGCACCACCACCAGCACCACCAGCCCCACCACCAGCAGGCTTCGAAGAACTCAGATTTAACTCCGACCTCACGCACATCAACCTCCGCCGCACTCCGGCCAACGCGCTCTTCCGCCACGACCCCGGCTTCTACGCGCGCTCGCAAACTACCCTCGCCCTGGTTGAGCGCGCCCTCGCCAGCGTGCGCGCCTCCCACTCCGCCAACGAATTCCTCCTCAACGAGTACTACCGCTACACCTACGACATGCAGACCTCGCCACACCACGCGGCCTGGCGCGCCTGGATCGACCCCCCGTGGACCGCGGGAACACGCGCTTTCCTCGACATGCGGAGGGATGCGGCGGTGCCGCTGGGGGCGGGGGTGCTGCTCGCGGCTAACATTGAGGTGAGGGCGTGGCTGGCGACGGTGTTGGCGTATCCGCCGGGGGATGTGGAGTATTTGCAGGCGTGGAGGATGGCGACGTTGGCGGCGGGATTGAAGGATAGGGAGTTGGCGTTTGAGGTTGAGGTGTTGGCGGAGTTGGGGAAGGAGGAGACGGCGTTGTGGAGTAATACGCATGATATTAGGATGGGGGATGAGTAGAGCTTTTTGTAGAGGTGCTGGCGGGCTTGGTTGTGGATTTGGGGGTTTGCGGGGTTGGGGGTTTGGCTTTGAAGGTGGATCATATATTAGGGTTTTGGAACTCGCTTTGGGTGCTTCTTTACGAGTTTTGAAGTAGATGGGTTTTGCGTTTATGTGCCAGTATGCACCAAACACCTACTTGGATTCCCAAAAGCTACAGTCCCGTTCCCCGAGTGGTGGGTGGCTCGCTGTTACATTCAGTGCTCAGTCCTCGAAGAAATGTAGTAGTATTTGTAACACATCACCGGTTAGTAAAAAACACTTGAGAGAAAAGGGGAATGCACATTTGAGATCATTCTGTATTTATGGTATTGAGGATTGAGTTTGACCATCCTTATAACAATCTTCCAGATAAAAATTGATATATAAGTAGAAAATTTTTATATTATTATGTACTTACGAAATAGTATTAAATTCATATTGATGTTGATTTTACAAAGGAAGATATTTATTAAAATAACTCATTATATCAACTTTGATGTGCACATACCTATTTTTTGTATTGGATTCTGTCAAAATAACAGAATTATGTCTCTCACCATTGCTAAGGGACAATAATTTAATGTCACTTGCGGGGTTCTTGGTCGAGCATCACGAGATGTCACTCTGGTATGACCGTCTTGGCGGTAACCAAGCTTAGTACATACATTGCTCCACCGACACCAGCCCTATTTAAATACATTCCGCGCTTTACGTTTGTTTCCCTACATGCTTTCTAAACCAGTGCTGCCTAATTCCTCCTGTCTGTGTTGCTTAGCGAGGGATAGATTGCGAGGGTGTGTAGGCCACCATGTTGGTCGCTAAGGTACCTTGCTTACCCAGAACGTACAGTACACTGCATGCCAAACAACATGGATGTTTACGAAACGGATTCACGATCAAGATGTATCTCGGGACCAAGTTGAATCAAGCAAACACAGGCTGGGCACGAGACTACTCTGGACCTAGAGCTAGAGACAACCATTTGAACGCGCCCACTTGATCACCACCGAAGTTGCGCCGCCCTAGGTCAGGGCCAGTCTGCAGAAGAAAATATCACCACCCGCAATTTCCAAAGGCTCAAAAATACGCCGAGCTTCGTTTTTAATCCGCGATGCCCCTCAGGCAGCCTCAAATACCCACCGGGTAGCCTACTCACCCAACGAAGGTCAGGCAGCGGCCCAAGAGCTTCCCACTGCGCTGCGATGTCTCTAGGAGGGCAGGATCTTTCTTCATTCTCCCAGGAACCATGAATTGACTCAAGACGCTTCACGCTCCCTCTCAACGCTTGTCACCCTAAGAGAGCCGCACCGCACTCGCAAAAGCTCCCCAGTGCGCTGCACTGTAGCTTGTACCGCAGAGGGTCCCTTCATTTCTCCATACACCCGGAGCTTCGGAGCTCGCGAGACTTTTCTATGGTATTTTCTACACACACCAAGTCACCGGTTTTATTCATTCCCCAACCCCAACCCCCCCCCCATCCCGCGGACCAGCTTGTCAGTCGCTGCCACCTCACCCAAGGGGTTCAGGCAGCAGATCGGCGTGAGGGAAGCGCCGCTGGGAGTCCCAGTTCGTAGGGCAGAAGAGGTCGTATGGGCGAACAGGTCCCGGCCCATGCAAGAGTATCAACTACGCGTAGTTTCGCTGCATAGGAAAGGTCAGTGATTCAATCATGATATGGACTTGAACTACATACTAATGAAGCGGTTGTAGGTGCGCGTTTAGGGCGTCATAAATGGGAATGTTGTGTTTGGTTATGTCGAATCAAACCTCACGTGCTCGAGCTTGGTGGGCCGGATTTTTTTCTCGTTGAGGGGGTGGTCATAGCTGTGGAGGCTTAAATGGGGCCTTAGGTATACTGGCCGTAATGGAGCCAGTGCCTGGACACGCTATCTGGGAGAGGAAGAAAGGAACACCATACGTCAGTACGTAGGGAGAACTACACAATGGAAATTGAGAAAGATAGAAGGGCATGGCTGGTAGAAGTAAGAGAACAGGCTGGGATTTATGACAATATGGTGTCTTAACAAGTAAGTACCGTCACTTGCCACGGCTACATGCAATCGTAATGTAACTGACATTTCGTCTCTTCCTATAGATCTGGTGCTGGAGATGTTTTTGCTCAACCACCAAGTGGGTGCAGTCACAATGTCACGACAGAGAGCTCGTTGACTTCCAATGACCCATTCATGGCAGAAATATTTGGGATATGTGAGAAGCGAATAGCCTTTGCCTCGCCTCTGTTTATAGCTCGGGCTGCAGCCTTGGTGGTGTCTTTTGAGACACGGAGTAAAGCTCGACGGGTCATTTTTGGCCAATAGGAACGTGAAATTGGGTTTTCCTTCCACAGAGGAATATTATCAGAAGAGGACTGCCCTAGACGTGGGGTCCTGTCCGTTTCCTGAAAGCCCGGGGTATTATTAGGTGAGAAGGCAGGAGATCTCCCTTCACACGAGGACCGCTTACTCACGAAAACGTAGAGATGGGACAAACTGCACTACTTTGGGAGTGTAACAGAACCGTCATTAGTCTGCTAGGTCAACAATAGGCGGGTCTAAGAGGCAATTCATGCGGTATGGAGGACGACGAGACAGGCAAGGGGCTGTGGTTACCGTTGTGATGCTGGCTAAAATGCTTCATGAGGGTGCTCTAGTCAGGCAAGAGTCTTGAAACGGTGAGGGCATGCCATCCAAACGGGAACAAGGTGATTCGAGAAGAGACGCAGCTCAAGTAAGAAGTATGCACAGGAGCCTTATGAGGTGGAGTAAACTCTCCATGGCCCAGAGGATAGGGGTGAGGTTCAGGATATGAATCGACGCCGAGTAAGCTTTAGCTTCTTGTAGGAAGATCGTACTTGGCCCTAGGGGAGAATGACTGGCTGGAGCTCTGTAAGCTCATGTAACTATCACTGCGTCACTCTGCTGCTCTGTTCTGCCGCTCTGCTGCTCTGTTTCTCTGCTGCTATGTGCCATGTCTACGCGTATTTCTGTTGCTTTGTAGCTCTGTATTCCATGCTTGAGAGAAAAGGATGTAAAAAGGTTATTCTACTTTCCATGTCCCCTTTGCCCGAGCAATATTAGTTGCTCGCAACAGACTGTGGGCGAAGCTAAAGGAGCAGCTAGAACAAGCTCACCCCACCCTTCATGTTTACATGGGGAGCATCCTCAGCGTCTGATAAGCAATGTAAATAGAGACGTGTTGAGCCAGGTCTGGGAGAAACTAGAACTACATGTACGTACATGTAGTTTGTATAGCTTGCTAAAATGACTCTCTTCCTCGTTGATCATGTAAGGAGGGTTCCTTAAGAGCTCTTAAGATGAACATTCACTCTATCACTGTGGTACTCTGTGTATGAACAGAAGGTTTTCTGCCCCTGGTGGAGGATGCTGCGTGCCATTGTCTCGCAATACCCACGAAGCTCGCCTCCCCATCTATCTTTCATCGAATAAGCAGATGTACAAACAACATGGAAATGTAGTGAAACTTAGGAAATTATTGAGGCCAGTATCCTTGCAAGCAAGCAGTCAGAGACAGACCCCCATTGCTGCTGGTCAGCCAATATCCTGCACAAATTCTCTACGACCCAACGGGCCTGAGCTGCTTGTTGCTAGCTGGTTGCTGTGACAACAGACTTTGTTGTTCCTCGTTGCTCGTTGCTCACGACGAAACGCCAAGATTTGACGATAAATTTCCAGAGTACATGTACTTAAGCACAGGAACCCCCGGTCCCTTCTTCTCTCCTCATTGTTCTTACACGATCAAAATTCTGCTACAATGAGATCTTCATACGTTCAGAAAATTTTCTCTGCTGTGTCTTCTACCTTTGCCCCTTGGGTCAATCTTGGTAAAGATATGCTCAGCGCTCGTGTTAGCCCTTGGGTTGATGCGGGTAAAGACAAACTCACCATTGCCATGACAGTTCCGTCTGTTAAGTAAGTCTTTATTCCTTTCCCTTCTTTCTTTGATAGAATTTCATCACCGGTCCTCCAAGGTCGTTGATTCCATCCCGGTTTCTTATGATTAGAGAATGGGGAGGTTGGAAGAGATGTCAACGACCCCTCCCATACTTGCACTAGGAGTATGCAACCTTCATTTCAGAGCAGAAAGGCTAACACATATGTATGGCATTAGTGACACTTGCACTTCGTGCAATATCCCTCTCGTCTCCTACTGCTGTGAAGCAGAAGGAGTGAAGAGGGCCGACATTACTACTAACTGTGCACAGGAAGCTCCATTTTTTGAATTCGTCAACATCCCACAGATTAATGTTATCGCCAACTATGCCCACCTGTTCGTGGGCATCGACATCGACTCTATCCGGTAATTTTTCCCATCTGTTGCACTAGACATCATGTGAATGTGAGATAGGATTCACTTTGAACGTAATATTAACCTTTTTCTCCAGCCTTGCTCTGCTCCACCAGATCGTTGCTCCTTGCCCCCACAGAGAGAGAGACCCTGAGGTGACTACCTGGAAAAGATTGGCACCACCCCAGCACCGGCCCAAGGAACTGGCCAAAGGAAACCTCAGAACAACAGTTATGATTGCTGGCCTCGGTATTGGTGGTTGGTACGAATCGGCGGATACATTTCCAGGCGGATACCGTGGATTTCTGGACCCCAAACCTTATGAGCCCCGGCAGGTACGACGTCGCCTCTACAGACGCAGGACTTTCCTCAAGGTGATTACCGGCAAGGAGACTCCTGTCGAGGTTATGAAGCGACTCCACCACGAGAAGAGCCATGACTTTAGGTACAAATATATCGACACGCAGATCAACTACAAATCCTGTGCCAAAACAGGAACACCACACGTGCCACTCGCCGAAACTGTTGGACAACTCAATCGCGTTGAAACTCCAAAGTGGTACCGGATGAAGAAACTCAGCTTCCTGCACCCCGGAATGTGGCACCACGGAATCAGAATCCGCCCTCAGCGCAACGGAAAGGTCGACCGAGTAACCGGAAGCATAGAGTACACCGATGCGTTCCACGCGGAAGGCGTAAACACACAGTACCCTCGCTCTCTCAACTACGGCAAGGACCACCCAAGTGCACCCACCGCAATAGAAATGTGGGAGGCGACACCCGCCCGGAAAGGCACGCCACTTGCTCATCCAAGCAAGAGGCCAGACCACGGCCATCATAGATACTGTTAAGCAGGCTAGTGTCCTCGTGTGGCACTTGGTATTTCCCTTCATGTTTAATATTTTGAAATCGTGACTTTTGCAATTGCATGTAGGGAGGGTGCAGCCAAACTATATGTAATTGCAAAAATACTAACTAGACTTTTTGTGACTGTTGCTCTTGCGTGTAGGGAGGAGTGCAGCCAAACTACATGCAAGAGCATAAGTACTAACCTGCCACTTCGGTGTCAAACATTTTCTAACTTCGTGTCTTAGGACCCTGAGCAATGGACAGTACCTTGACGTGGTGCTTGGGCTTTCAAACCAAATCTGTCTCTCCTCTATCGATCCTCCTGTTTTTAGAATCCTCCACCTCCTCCCAGTCCGAAAAAAGTAGCTGACCAGCCAGATAAGTCGACCCTCCCCCTCATATCGAGCACATATGTATGTCACTTCAGTCTTTGTACCTTATGTTAGAACTAATGTAAGTACAAAATAAAAGTAAGTCACGAGAGATAGAATTCAAATAAGAAATGATATGTTCTCTGCTCCTCTCTCTTCTCTTTCCCAAGTGCGTCTATTGTTCGCCTGCCATTACTCCTTCGATCAGCTCTTTTTCAAGGCCAGCGGACTGAAAACGTTGTGTTGGTTACATGTGTATGAGCTTTATTTGGGTAGTGGTCTTCTTTGGGAAGATGCACTTCTCTCCTTCCACCACTTGGTGCGAATGAGATTACAGCGATGCCTAGAGCCCCATCGAAACCAACATTTATAGTAGCCGCCACACGAGAACTAAGAAGAGAATAGTATGGTAATCGAGTCGACCATCCTTGACAGGCATGAGCTCAAAAAGGAGGGCATGGAGGAGAAACAATGTCTATTCGATATCTATTCTTTTCCAGCTCCACCTACAGCTTTCTCGAGAAGCATCACAAGTTGTCCCTTTTCCACACAGCTATCGAGTTTGGTCTCTCTCACGCTGAATGCCTCCTAGCTAATCAAAGAGGTTCATCACAATACTTCTCAGCAAAACCACAATGTTGCAATAATAATGAGCACCACATGCTGCCTTCCGAACATCACCTCCCCACAGAAAGCAGCACAGAGAGAAACCCAACCAAACACCTACCCCCTCCTCACCCCCAACCTCCCAATCACCCCCTTCCCCATCGCCACCCATGTTCCCCTCCTCGTCAGCGGCTTCATCCCCTCGCCCTCCTCCTCAACCACAAGCTGCAACGGCGCAACACTCATCACCGGCCACTTAGCCCAGTACCGCAGTATCTCCCACATCCACTTCTCGTCCGCCACCGTCCGCCCATTCGGATGCGGCCACGGCCTCGACAGCGCGATGTTCGCCCGCGCAGAGTCAAGCGGATGCACCAGCCCAGGCACCACAGGCAGGGCAACGAGCGTCAAGAGTACCTCGCGGTACGCACGCTCCTTCTCGAGGCGGACGCTGCGCTCTGCGGTGTGTTCTGGGGTCGCGGGGGGCGTGCGTGTGGGCGGGAGGGAGGGCCCGTGGGCGGCGAGAGAGACGGACCGCATCTCGAGGTCGAAGAGGGAGATGTCGCCGGCGGAGGCGGCGGCGTGGAGGCGGGTGCGTTGGGCGTGCTCGAAGGCTTGGGCGGAGGAGTGGGTGAGCATGAGGGAGGTGTTGGAGGTGTTGGAGCGGATGGACATTGTTCGGCTTGCGTTTGTTTGAAGGTGTGAGATGTGGTACTGCTTGTGTTGTGCTTTTGGATGCTTTGGGGGCGGGGTGAGTTGAGGGTGGTGGGGTGGAAGGTGGGGGGCGGTTCCTTTATGTTCTGGAGGGGATTGGAGGGTTTCATCTGTGGGCTGCGGATCTTGAAACTGGTGAGTTGATTCAAGAAAGATTTTGCTGTGGGCATTCAAGGCTAACTTGTAAGTCGATAAACGCAGATATAGGAATATCAAAGTCCATCCAAATTCTTGAAAGCAGCCCTCCATACCAGATACCCCGGCCATCGGAACGCACACGGTGTTTATACGCAACGACACATAGATTCTTTAGAAGGAAGCACTCTTCGATTCACCTTACTAGGAAGATGCTGCTCCAAGAGCATATCCCTCGCGGCATCGAGTGCTGGCCCTTCATTTTCCAGTATGTGCCCATGTTCCTTGAAGATTCGAGGTGCATGTTTGACGACTAATCATTTTGACAGATTTTGAAGCTGCTTTCAAGAAAGGAGCATTGAGTCGGGTGGAAGCGGTGGGGATAGGAGAAGGAAGAACGCCATGCGGTATGCTGCAAACTGGACACTACACCCCGCCATAAGGCGTTACAGCAGTACCTCCGATATGGCGCTGCGGCAGTGCAGCCCTAAAGAACAATACTGTGGCCAGCAAGAGCCACATGTAGTTGCCAGAGAGTGCATATGGCTGTAGCGTAAGCTGAGGTGACCCAAAGATCAAACGCCTTACGCACAGACCCGGAGGCTTTCCGCGGTATGAGACATCACCCGGCCCCATTGTTACACGATGGCTGGACAGTACGATCCTGTGGAACCTCAAGGGACGTGATGCGTTCATCTGGCTGGATCGGGAGGTACAGCACTTTGTCCAGTTGTGCGTCTACGGATTCTCTCTGGACGAATGGTTAACCGTCGCGAATAGGAGGAGGGCTTCTTATGCTCATGCCACCTCATTTCATTTTTCACAATTCGTGGCCAGTGACACTTGGCCGCTCCTGGAAACGATATTCGGCTCTACAGGGAGGACATTTTTCACAAAGCTTAGGTAGAACACAGACCCCGGCACCTTCTTCCTTCTCAATCCTACGCTTCCCAGCAGCGAGTTTAAACTTTCTTTTCTATGCCCTGTTCCTCTCCCAAGCTCCGTACCAGCCCGGACCTTCGAGAAGCAGCTAGGCTGAACAGAACCAAACCCACCAAATGTAAGTTTTTAAATCATAACCCTGACTATTTCTGAGTATAAAACCTACTTTCATTTGAACGCGTATGCAACTACCGGTATCCAACTCAGGAGTGTTTGCTGGTAGGTGATTTGGAACAGAACAAACTCACCAACAGCTCGCACTGAGGTCACTCGGTGGTCATTTGATAAGTAAATTCCTTCATTTTAAAGCAACACAACCAAAAATCAACGCAATCTATCACTCAACCGATAATCAACGCAATCTATCTTTAAATATCACTCCATCCATATCAACCTTCGTTCTCGAGTTTTCGCAAACCCCTCCTCAGCCGACACTACTTTTATTTCCACTCCCCACATTTTTCCCCACGCGAACACTTCTCACAAACCTTTTTATGTGCCAAGAAATTCTTCCTCCGCCAACCACGGCACCGTCCACATGTACGCGATCCACAAACCCTTTTATGGGCCTCCAACTCTCTCGCCTGTTCCTCCTTCTCCTTCTCTCGCTCCTTCCTCTCCTGCTTTCGCTGCTCCCGGAACTCCTTATAGGCAGTTCTCCCCTTCCTGAGCATACCCACAACCTTCTCCATTGTTCCCGGCATATTCGAAGCTACCAGCATCCTCGCCTCCTTCCTAACCGCCGACTTACTCTTCGGTAAACTTGACATTACACCCCAGTCCTCATACCACGACATGACCTCAAGCCGCCACCACATATCTGTCTGCGAGGTCGCCTCTATATGGGGCCATGGGCGTGATAACGCCATCCTGCACCGCTCGAGATCGAACGGATGCGGGAGCTCAGCGTTTTCATGCTCACTGTTTATCATAACGTCAGAGAGGTAAACACGCCGGCTGTCTTGGCTCTTAATGCGTGAGACTTCGTCTTCGGGTGTTGAGAAGTCAGTGCTACTGGGCGACTTGCCGTGGCGCTGGCGGGAGAGGGCGGACATGAGGGTGTCGAATTCGACGTAGTAGGTGGGGTCTTCTGGAGGCCCCGCGAATGCGGTAGCGGTTTGTCTGAGCTCTTGTAGTAGATTGTAGGCAAGTTGGTTCCATGTCCTGTTTCCGAATTCTGGGTAGATGGGTTCTGCCATATTTTTGGTTTCTTGGTGGGTTTTGGAATTCGTCTTTTGTTTTTGTAGGCAAGTGATAGTATGTGTTGCACAAGTAGCTTCTGAATTGATGATGGGCATAGAAGTAGTTGAGAGATCCGTTATATACGGAAGCCAGTATTCAAGAAGAGATATAATGGCATCATGATTCCGCCCGATGCACGTTGTGCGGTTAATTATTGACCAGCGTATGGCGAATTCATGATACCAGTTGTGCTCTTGAAACCTTGGTGTTGCGCGAGTAAAAGAAGAGGTTTAGCCGGAAGTCAAGAGAAGAGGTGGTGTATCTCGCCTGTGCCGAGCCCTCGGTTCTTCATGGTTGCATATGCGGCGTGCGACATGGGTTGTCACTCGGTCATGGTCGATCACTCGCCTGTTGCTGCAGTTCCGGATGGTTGCCTCACTGCGTCATAAGGCATTTGTGTACGGCGGAGTTGGGTTAAAAGGCGTTCTAACATACATAAGCAGTATATAAGCTTTGTTCTTGGTATATGGGCTAGTTCTAGACATGGAGTCGTTCATGAGGGCCGGTCTCTATCTTTTTAGTCGTGCAAAGAAAACTACTGTACCTGGCAATTGCAAAGCGACAGTTGGTTTTGCGTGACACCCGCCCTTGACGACACTCGTCCCAAGAGAGCCACAGTTGCCAAAGATGCACCCAAATTTGAAAAGATCTACCATATTGCGGGAAGTATTCTTATTAACTGTGACCAAAAAGAATCTTGTTAGCGACAAAACGCCAAAGATTACTACATATATATATAGACAGTTTTGGAATATTTACTGCGGGTTCTAAGGTTACCGTGACACCTGTTGTCGCTTTGCAATTTCCCGGCAGTGTTTCCAGCGGTTGTAACCGGTTCTTATTTTCAGCAAAAACTGAACTGAACTGAATAAAAATCCCCCACAACTGAACCGCCCGAATAAGAACCGGTTTATACTGAAGAACAGTTCTGCAGTCTTGACACTAGTCTAGCAGGAACTGTAACACCAACTGTGTTCAGGGTTAGGGTCTCTTCCACATAGGGTGTTCGTTCTTTATGTGAGGAGTTCCAACTGCATACAAAACTGGTTTGGCCCAAGCCACAAACTGAACTGAACCAAGTAGTGAAAAGGTAAAACTGAACCGAACTGTTTTGTTCAACGGTTCTGGAGAACCGGTTTGAACTGGCAAACCGAAGAACCGTTGGGAACACTGTTGCCCGGTATAGTACTGCCAAAATGCAGAACGACCTGCTATATTCAAGGGTGCTGGGTCTAGTGAAGATACAATGACGGACGAAAAGGTAGTGTTTAGCAAGCTGGTGAGTATCGGGCAGGTGAGGAATAGTATTATCTGTTAGGGTTGAAACTGTTCCAGCTGGCGGTTTCGGGGCCCCAGCCCTCCTATTGTGGTGGCGGATGGGTAAGAGGCTAGGTTGCAGGGTATGAGGATGTTGGGGCGTGGGGGGGGGGGGGGGGGGGTGGGCATGCTACTGCCTCTACTCTCAGGAAGTAGTTAGTTGTAGCTGGGGATCGACTTTCTAAGTTTCTTTTCTAGGGGGGTAGAATCTGCAAAGAGTGGCCGCCTCGCTGGGTTTACGATCGTTTATGGTCAGTGACGTACCCCGTGGAGGCAATGATTAATCCTTTGGAGATATTTAGGGACATCCTCCAAATAAAACTGGGCGTGATCAACGTTACGGTCATTAGTATTTGTTTCTATAAGGGGAGGAGAGAAATATATAGAATGGTGAGGTACTTGGAATTGAAATAGTGGCGGGTTTACTTTCTATTTTGGCTCTATAAACGTTGGCGCCGCTATAAATCTCCTTCAGTAGACACGCTGTTCGATACGATATTCACTCACTGATTATTCAACAAAGCGCATACCCAATGACGAACTCCGAACCATGCGAAGCGGTAAACCAACTAAAATGGGCAAGGAACCGGGCAGCAAACGCGGTGTGTTCGCTGCAAATTATTGAGAAGCTTGAACAATACTTGACCTTTAAGCCTCGGGATTTGGGTATGCCCGACGATAGGGAATGGCCTCGGAATGCACTGCATGGAACCCCAACTGCAAGACACCATTTCTGCCTGCCATCGACCAAGATTTCTATCCGATACTAGATTACTCCGAATTCTTTACAGGCCATGTCATTTGCACTATTTTGCGTCGCGAGAACAGGGTTCATGCAACCTTGAGCCGTTTATGTCCTGTCAAATCTTCCGCCATCGATTCCCACAGAACTACGGCTCAGAAACTCATCGCTGATTGTCGGTTCATGCTTGGAGAAGTACGTGACTCTATTTCTTCTGAGGATGCTTGTAGCAAGTCTATGGGCTTTACCTTTGGCCTTGGTTGGAACTGGCCATGGAGTAAACATCGTGTTTCCGGTAACAAACCCCTATGGGAAATAGAACAGCAAAACCAGGAATTACAGTGTAGTGAAGACGGTTCATACGTAGATGTTAAATATCCATCTAACATCTCAACAGTAGTTACAAAAATATGGAGAATGTATTTCATACTCATTCAGCACATGAATCATCCAGCCCCATGGCTTGAAGATAAGCAAATCGCGAAAGAACACGTATACGTAGATTACCTTTTGGTAATCCCGTATTGGCAAGCGTTTGGAATTATTATTTAATTATAAATTATCATTTAAATTATATTTTCTCGATTATTTTCTTTTTTGCCTCTTCAGGAAATCATTTACAAGTGTGGGGACATACCGTTGGTCTTAGCTCTACTGGATAATTATTGTATATTTTGTTCTGTGATAAGTGAGTTTAACGTTATAGTTTTATAAATGAAGGGTAACTATGTTCCTTATATTAAAAATCTTATTCTATTAGTTTTAAGGCTATAAACACGACTGTTTAACTCAGAACGCACATTTACGAAACATTTTCATCACCTTCTAAATTCTTTCGTTTATCTGAAGATCAAAGTCTCAATAAACACGTTGATACCTTATTCCAACCAGTTTGTGTACAAGTAAATCATTAAAAGACTTGCACTTGGAGAAAATATTCTCTAGAAATTTGTAATTATCTATTGTAACAATTTAGGATTCCAGATTTTCCACCAACGATTCAATGAAATTTATGCGTTCTGTACGGTGAAGTAAATGCCTCCATTAGCATCTTATGCCAGGGACATACATCCTAGTAATTTCTTTTCGTTTTAGCCACAGTTGCCAGATAATCGACCATCTTGTAGGCATCTCACTAACACAGGGAAGCGACGAACAACACTAAATTATTCGCCAAATAGACCAGCTTGCCCATCAGCGAGCGTTGCCCTCGCTGATGGGTAGCGCTCGCTGATGGGCAGCGCTCGCTGATGGGCAAGCTGGTCTACCTAGGCAAGCGATGAACAAGTAGATATAGCGGAATATGGTAGGCAGTTCGCGAACACCAGGCCAGTTATTAGTTCGAATGACTACATGGGAACGACTGAGTCATGAGAACTCTGTACCACCCCATACAGCCCTTTATAAGCTGTAAACTACCCGATGCTACGCCCTAAGTAATCACTCGGAGAAAGTTTCGGGCCCCTCGGACCTCGCGTTCTCGGGATAATGGTTATTACCTTTCTTTTATTAAAAGAAATATTCGCGAACTACCTGGGATAATATCAGAGTGCGGTATAGGATTTGTTCGTGGCTTGCCTGGGCATCTGTCGAGCGATCTAGTTTCGTTCGTCGATTAACGGTATTCGCGGACTACCTACCACACAAATACCGCGCATGAGAGCGTTGAGACCAGGATCCGCGATGTATTGACCACAGCGCGCGCTTTACATAGAAAGCCGTTTGAAACCTAGTGAGCAATGTATCCGTAACTGCCATGTAGGTGGAATCATATGAGATATCACTTGGTTTAGTGCCGAAGACACCTATTTTCTGGCACCTCAGAGATGGAAAGTTGTATCAGTATACAGTGAGAGTATCACCACCTATGACTACATGTATTGTCGTCTGCTGTTTTAAACCGTCTCGGCGTCTCGTCCCGAGTGCACAGAACCAGAGCATCTGCGGGAACTACTAACTGGAGCAGTTGGGGGAGGGATTCTCGGCATACTGCGCTAGCAAGTCGTCTTTCTTCCCCATGTTTTGAGAACAGTCAGTCTTTGCGCAAGACATTGCTGTTGCGTTGTGCGTTGAGGTGCGGCTCGCGATGAGGCTGGGGAAGCCACTCGCATTAACTTCGTGACGTCATTAGCTGCCAAGCACGAGATATTTAGAGGAGGTTTCCGGTATTCGAAGAAGGTACGAATGCATAGAATAAAGAGAAGGTACGAATGCTTAGGATACAGAGAAGGAACGGATGAATTGAATGCGAGAAGCATACAGGTACCCAGGGCGACATGCCCGCCAATATCGATTTAGCCTATATTATTTCTGAACCTTGAAGCCAGAGTGAGGCCTGGGAATGTTCATGTGAGGGTCGTGAAGGTACCTCGAACCTCCCGGGAGCGGTGTAAAAAAGCCCCATCCAGAGCATCGATTTCTGCTCGGCGCACGAAATTATCCACAAGTATTTTTCAGGCGTAACGAGCAGCTAGTCGGGTGACCGGAAGTTAAGGTGATTCCCCTTTTCTTAGCTAATTAGCCCTTATCACCGTAGGGCTCCGACACGTATGGAAATTTGAACCACACGCCCCTTCCCTTAGTTGGGAATGGAGGTTGCACTCTCAATCTCTAGCTAGCGGCTAGTTGCTGTGGATCAGGGGGGATCGCCTTGGCATTTTCTAGCATTGCGGCTCATTCGCGGTACTCTAGGTAGACTGCGCATGCGTAACGTAACACATACACTGGTTGGCTGGTGACCGATTGAATTGGGTCGGCGATCGCTTTTAATCTTGATTGCGGTACGCCGGGACGTGCTCGGACAGCTCCGCCGGTCGTAGGGGTGTGGTTGCTGAATGGAGTGGCGCTGCGCTCCCGTGGGACTTAATTGGTGGCTGGAACCTGAGCGTGCTGGAGGGATAACACACGACCAGTAAGACATGTCTCCATCGACTGCGGCGCGGTTCGGCACCTACCACCACCTCCTTTCTTGACTAATTAGCCTTCGCGAAGGAGAATGCGCAGTCTCGTACCCATCTCCTGTGAGCAGCAAGATGCTCAGAGAATGCCCGGACTCGACGACTCCAAAGTCAGGCTTCGTTCTATGACCACGAGGTACCTTCAGAAAGTTATAGTTTTTCTTCTCTGAAATTGATAGCCCTCGAGTCCTGTTGATACTCCTCCTACTTGCACTACTATGGCTCTCTTAAGCGGTCTAGGCTCATTGTAAGTTGAAGAACTTGTAAAATTGCCCATGCTACGGAAGACCTGGCTTTGACAGTGTAAGAGGAAGTTTGTGGGGCTATGTGGTATACTATTAGCTCGTGAGATAGGTTTTCTATGCTGTTCCTTCCTTACCTTTTTGCGTTGGGGTCCAGCTGCGTCTTTCCAGAGTATGCTTTCGTAGATGTATTCTATGTTATTATAGAGTTGCAGCGGTGCTAAGCTCCCCATGCCAGGTAGGATATTTGACGAAAATAGCTCTTGGTTGTACAGTTGAAAGTCTATTCCAAGGCTGAAACCGAACTTCAACTTGTCTCCTGTTCGACTGAGGAAGAGCGGCGGACATTCCTGGGCAGGGTGAATTCCCGAGTTAGTAGAATGCGAATATCTCTAAGTTACTGGGGGATAGAGTTGGTGTTATATCAGAGGTTGGAGTTGCATTCACGGTGCAGATGTGACATCGCTGTCCTGCCCGAGCGGTTAATTTCAAGTGACGTTCCGTAGAAGGGCGACGGACTTGCTATTGGCTACGCCCGGGCCGGGTTCATGTACTGATTCAGCACGATAAAGTTCGCAAAGCCTAATGCCGAGCGCAAAAACACGTGGGTGTTCTACCAAATATGGACGGCACACCGCCACGTCTCGCCTGAATGCTCAGCAATAGGTGGCATATTCAAGATCGCAACCACAATTCATTCTTCCGCCCCTTTCATTATCCTCACATCTTAACCTCTATAAAATTGAGAAGCGGTAAACTTCTACCTATATGTACTGCCTTCAAGCACGGTCACTATATAACCAATTGTTTACGCTTATTTCTTGATAAAAGACATCGCCCCATTGTGGGTCCGGAGAGACCATGGCCTCCGCCTTCGTATGCCACAATAATCACCATCACCTGTTCGCTCACTCAGTCTTCCGAGTAATGTAGAGAGGACAATGGCGACCCATGGACCTTAGCCTATCATAGCGTCCCGCATCAATATTTCGCGCCAAAGACAGCAGCCAATCGATGGTATGTATATCTATATCATGATAAACACTCATTCATTATCATGCTAACAATCGGAATATCGTCCTACGAGTATGGCACACACTGCAGAATTGTCAGCAAAGTCAATCCGAATCACAACATCTCACTCGAGCTAAGATGTTCCACCCGCTCATGACACCATCTGATTAGCACAAAATGTGCGTTTGAGCACAACACGCCCATCAGGCACATACATGTCTGCGCATGCGTCTCTGCAGCAACCATCCCTTCAACACTACACATTATATTCTCTCCATCTCACAACAAATTCCCAGTGACAAAATCACTTCCGAGTCTTTGACCATGAGGCCCCTCCCCACCCGCTCCGGCGGCAAGGAAACAAGTGATGCCGCCCAGTCCCTCACCATGGCTCTCGACCAAACCATCGTCTTGATCGCCCAGATATCCACACGCGCACCAGTCTCGCTCTCCCGCATCAACAAGCTCACCTTCCGCAACGCCGCGGCCTACGAACGACCACCCGCGGAGGCCCCAGCGTCCCCGCAACTACCCATCAACAAGCACCTTTTCCATGTTATGCCACAAGACGTCTATGCGCAGCTGGACCAGCTAATCACCCAGGTCCGCCACAGACGTAACGGCGTCCTCGACGCAAGTGCGGCAGCCACCATGAGGCTCACGGAGTTTTATCTGGCCGCCGAGACGGTCCCGCAGGATACCGGGGACTTTGTGTGGGCGAAGGATCTGCAGACTGAGATTGCGGTACTGGAGGGAAAGGTGAAGGAGGAGAATGAGGTGCTAAAGGCGATGGAGGAGATGAGGACGGAGTTGCTGAAGAGGTGGAAGGCAGTGACGGAGAAGGGGTGCGTGCCGGAGCCGGACGTGTGGGTACAAGATCTGAATGAGGGGGCGCTGAAGGAACCATATGGGATGGAGTAGACGGCTGGGTGTGTGTTCAAGTAGTTACGGGTCACGATCGTCTGAAGCTTTTGGTGGGAGGAAAGGTTTAATGAAGATTCCATGCAAAGCGTTTTCTTTTTTCTTTTTCCTCTGTTTAATCTTTTTTGGTCTTTCATTTTCTTTTGGCTCTTTGTTTTTGGACGGTCCATACCTCTTGTGATATGCCCTTGCTTTCTTGTATTATCGCGATGGAAGCTGGGAGAATCAGGAGTTTATGGGGCGAGAATGATCAATAGAGTGTCCATATCAACTCCCGGAGCATGCTGAGTTGCGCGTAAACATAGGAGAACCGACGAACGCATAACACTCCGTCCTAGCAACGAGCAGAGAATAGGCCTTGGGATACGTTCCTATTTTCGAAAGGTAGATAGTTATTTGTATTTAATGAAGACCCAGACGTAAAGCAGCCTCCTATAAATGATAAGAGAGTGCGACTTTGATAACTAGTAAGGCCTGCGCGCCTGCGCGGTACGGAAGCTTCAGACGTTTAATAAGATGCTGTTCTTACATTATCATGCTCGAAGATTGGCGAGCAATGTTCGATGGGGAGGAAGAGGTTTTATATTACTTGGCTCTGCATGGTAGGAGTTGATGGGAGGCGTATCTAATTGAACGGGGGTGTAACTCTCTTATAATGTACACCGGAAATCACCTCTCTGGTAGACATTCATTAACTGCAACGAGTCCCAGAAGGAATGACTGGGAGTTGTAGGTGAATACAATAGTTACGGATCTTAGGTGTATCCTCGAAGCTAGGGTAGCTCTTACTATGAAAATTCGTGGAGGCATCGATGATAGTAGGGACCGGGGTTTGAAGCGCAGTGCGAAATTGCCTTTTTTTTTTTTTTTTTGTTTAATTCATTAATTGTATGCAGCCCTTAAGCTATGACAATATCGCACTGCCCCTGAACCACCCTTCTAACCTCCTCCGCCTCTCACTTAAAACAAATAACCAAGCCAACAAACAACAACAAACCAAACTAAACTATACCAAATAAAATAAAACAACTAATACTCGTAACTCGTAATTTCCTAACAATTTCCATAACCCTGCTTCTCACTCGTTACTTTCTTGTGAGCCGTCTCTCAGCCCTCCCCATCCTAGTCTCTCTTCCCTATTCTCTTCTTCCGCCTCCTCGTCCCTTCCACCTCTCTCATGTCGCCATCTGGTGAATTGTTTCCAGATTTCGAATGCTGTCTTAATTCCTGTCTCGGTCCAGAGCAGTTTAACGACTGTTTGGTGTTTCTGGTCGCCTTTTCTGACTTCCTCGGTTGATTCGCATTCGGTTAGGATATGGGTTACGGTTTGTTCCCCCTTCCCGCATTCGCACTCTGGGCTGTCCGTGCGAAATTGCCTTCAATTACGACAGAGTTTCGGTATCGTTAGGGATCTGTTCAGGAGATGTCCGGAAAAGCGTAGTGTGTAGGCTGGGAAATGGTAATGGTAGAAATTTGGTTAAGGGTAAAGAGACTGTGTTTTCTGCGCGGTTTGTAGCGCAGTAGGTATCGTTATAATTTCACATATGTATATATTGTCGAGATAGAGTAGAATCATGTTTGATGGATTACGGGGTGCGCGTGTACAAATATCAAGAAGCGGGTTGAATTATCAGTATGAGTATCCTATACTAAAACTATCGCAAAAGAGAACTTTCCCAGTGCACACAACTATTGCCAATAATTCGGGTAATACCCGAATTCCTCCCAGTATTTGTATACCAAACTATAACGCTTCTTGGGAGGATACTTAAGCTTTGGACATTCGAAATCGCTTAGTGTCGGCACTGGATGGTTCATATGATTCAGAAGAGCAAAATATAATTTCCACATCTTCAACACAGTTGTAGACATACTGTACGGTACTTTGGTCCTTGGAGGTGACAGATCATTCGAGAGAAATAGCTCTAATTTCCCCTTGGAGCTTTCCCAGAGAGGTTGATTCTCGCGGGTGTGCAGTACAGTCATGAACCCTGTGGGCGGGCCAAGTCCAATTTCCGGGCCCCCATGGACGAAATGCCTCCTGGTTAAGTTCAATACAGTTTTGAGCTAGTTCTTCAACCATTCTCCTCGTATCCCGAGCAGACGAGGAGCTTGTTGGATATACTTTGTAGTAGTGTCTCAAAGCCCGCAATTCATAATAATTTAAGAGCCAAGTGTCGTAAGCCGTAAAAACCGCTGGATCGGACTTTTCCCAATTGCAAGAAAGATCCGATAACAAACGTCTCAAAGGTTCCGAATTTTCAAAGTTTTCAAGGGACACATTGTCTTCTGACAAATCTGTATCTCGAATTTTGATATAATTTCCAGTACCATCGGTGATTTTTAAATCTAATTCTTCATCGGTATAGTTTAGATAGTTTTCGAGCTTTTCAATTAATTCAAGCAAAACCATAAGTCGTAATGAACGATTTTCCGCCCAGATTAGGCAACCCTGTTCCGTATATAATTGAACCATCACTTTATTGAATCGTATTTGGTTGTGTATCAATATTGATCTTTAAATATAGAAAATCTATCGTCGATTAAAATATACGGTTAGCTTTTGTAAAACTTCATTTAAAATACAATAGGTTTGGGATTTGCGGGATAAACTCAAGGGAAGGTTACATGTAATTACCTAATGGAATCAAAATAAAATATCAGACCGGATATGTAGTCAGGAGTGTTGTATTAGTCAAGTCTTTGTTGTTGTTCACAGAGTCTACGTAACGCAGCCTTTATATAGTCACATTTTGAGAATAATCATGATTCTATTACTTAACTGCAACTGTTTAAAATTCATTGTTAAATATGTCATGACCACCGGACTCTTAGCACTCTGCTAAGGAACAGAGTTCTGGCCGGGCTCGAGATATAGCCATTGGTAAAGGCCTGAGAAATGTCAATTTCGAAAAGTATATCATGGTCTAAAATATCTCCTGTACTAATCTACGGTCATATTGCAGTCTTATGCAGCCTCATGCAGTCATATGCAGTCTTCTGCCATCTCTTGCCATCCCCTGCGGTCCCACGATACCGACTCCAATCACCAACATGTACAGTCACCCACACTCAGCTACCTTGTTCCGGGTCCCCACAGGTCTCCGAACGTCATTTTTGGGCCGCTATTCTTAAGGACTAGATGGACTAACACCTACTGGCCGCCCGGTCCTACCCCACAACACAGCTCTGAACTGTGCCCAGTGGGGCACCCAGGACCGTTGAGAACACTGCCTGAGGCTTTATCTTGATACCCGTATACGTATTCAACTACCTCCGTATTTTGACGCCTATAGTTACAGTGCTACAGAATCATGATTGAGAGCAGTAGAGTCCCAAATCAAAACCCAATTGTCAGATAACTGTTATTAGATTATTAGGCAACTACACTAGATCGTCAGGTAATCAGCTTCAAATTGTCATGTCAAATTAGAACTAAACTCAGGTTAGTAGAGAGGTACCGAGCTAAACCTTTAGTCAGGTAGGCTCAGCAGTCTACAGGATAGGGGCAGAGGACGACTTGGGCCGGCCCATCAAACGACGGGCCCGGGCTAATATTTCGTGAGCCGGGCCGGGCCCGCCTGTTTCTTTCATGGGCCGGGCCGGGCTATTTGGTGATTAAATGGGCCCGGGTATTTGCTATATAATTTTGATTTCCGAAAGTATTCTTAGGGCTAAAATGTCATTCCCATCGGATCCTAGTAAGTCTTCTTGTATATCTCATCTTGAAAAGATTATCACAACCTTTTAAGGCCCATATATATTCGCTGCATGGCCCGGGCCGCGACTAAATGGGCCGGGCCCTACCTATATTTGGCCCGGGCCGGCCCAAGTCGCCCTCTGCATGGGGGCACTGCCATTCAAACTCAATTCAATGGGTTCTATACAGAATCGGGGGTTTGAACTTTAGCAGGTAATACTGTTTGCATGCGTACTTCGATTACGGGGGATAATATTTCCAAAGTATGAATTATAATTTCTGACCTTATTGTTCATATAGATTTATTGTATATCACATCGTATCATGTTCTTCCTCTTCGAGTTGGGCTTTAAAGCTTTGCAAATTTGTTAAAATTCGACAAATGCCCCGAGATTTGTGCATATTGATTTATTCCTCATTACTAAAATAATACTACATGTAATAATAACGATGACTAGTATTCGAATAACAAAAATTATCAAATTGATAAAAAAACAACACTATAAATTGATTCCAAATTTCCTCCAATCCTCCTTCAACAACTCATAATCGGAATTCTCCAACTCATAATCGGAATTCTCATCCAACGACTCATCATCCGAATTCTCCTCCAACGACTCATCATCGGAACTGAGAAAATACTTAATAGCCCTTAAACTTTCAAGCTCTGGTGTTGGATGATTTATATGACTCATCAAGACAAAATATAATCTCCAAACTTTCAGTATCGTTGATGAAATATTAGAGTCAAACAAGCAATCGCTTTGAATTCCACTGCTGGATAACACCATCTCCTGTTTTACATCCTCAGTTTCCCATTCAGGTCTATTGCTCAAATCATTTGGAATTTGAATATTAATTCCAAGAATTTCGTCGAATCTTGCGCCATTAGCATTAATCCCCATTTTGTTCAACTCATCATAACTACGTGTTAACGTATCGTAACAGAGTTCGAAAACCCGTTCTGCGTTAAGTCTGTTTCGGTATTGATCGATCGAAGAGGAGGGACATGGGCGTTGAAAGTGTTCAAGTACATTCCATTCGTAACACACAACCATAGAAGCATAAGAGTGTGTGAAATACTTGAGACCACCAATAGAGTCTGTCGGATCTCTATGGATAAGTCTGGAATGATTTTGATTGACTGCTGGTAACGCCAAATTAGAGGCTTCCCGATCTCTATCTTCCTTGTATGTTGCGATACCGTTCTCATTTATAAATCCCAAATCGAACGCCGTATATGTTAAATAGTTCTCAAGATTCTCAACTAATTTAAGAAACTTCCTTGCCCATTTTAGACGGTACTGTATCCGTCTAAAACTGTTCCGGTCTATTGGTGTTGAATATTGATATTCCATTAAATCGTCTCTTCGATATTTTGAATCGGTTTTGCTAGCTATTCCACGTTTTCAGCTTTCAGAGATTAGAACAGCTCAATCAAATAAGTAAAAAAATGTGTTTTATTCTTTTCTTACCTGTATCAAATCAACAAATATTGTGTAAAAACGAATAGATTATAAGTTGGACGAAGAGTAAAGATGGTTATTTGCAAGCAAGGACAGCTTTGGTTGGAGATGCATTTAAAACATTTCTTCGGGTGTTTTTCTTACAGGTTTGTATTTATCATTCTATCGTTGCCAACTGCTTCTTTGATATTTTTTTAACTGGAAATAGAATTACTTCCATATACAGTCGAATCGCCCTCTAGGGGTATGGGTTCTCGGGCTATAATAGCGTTCTGAAATAAAGGGGAACAAACCCGCGGGAAACACCCACGATCACTCGGTCCCGGTTAAAATCGAGCATCTACCTTCGAAAGTTCGATTAATAACCTAATGCTCCGATTGGGCTTAGTTACGGTCCAGCTCCTTAGGGAGAAACAGATAGAGTTATCTGTCATCACCGAACTCCCCACGTACGGAACCGAGAGAGACTCCATGCGTCGGGGGCTTCTTCGCCCGCCTGAAGCTATTGCAATTGACCCATCAATGTATGCAGCGGGATCCAGCAAGCGATTCAAAGGCCACCAAGTCCCTGACCACCCGCAGCCACTAAACAAGAAGCAACAATGTAAAAATAGAAAGACACACTCAACACTCACCACTCAAGCTCCCCGCACCATCGTCACGCCCACCTCAGAACCGGAGATATCGTCGCCAGCGCGAGGAGCATAGAAGAAGAGGAGAACCTCCGAACCGAACATCGCCACAATGGTTATATATTCTATCCCCTCCTCCCCCTCCTCGCAGGCCCATTTACACGTCTACACAGGTAAGCACCGATAGCTACATTTATATTTACGGTCTTTTCATCTCACGTCTCCCGGTGTTCCAATTTACACTCGTTTCCTCCTGATCAGCACACTCATTTCCTCCACCACCACCAAGACCCCGAATACTACCCTAAAACACCACATAAAACCCTCGTTTTCACCCCCCCCCCCAAAACCTCTTCCCCTCCAAAACCCAGACAATGTGCGAAATAACACGTATCCACTACCTCGACTGCGGTACCCCCCCCCCCCCAACTCTTCCCTTCCCACCTCCGCTTGCTTCCGGGCCATAAAACCAAAAGATAACAACCCCAACACAGCACACATCACCAAAAGCGTGAGCAAGTTCTGCGCGCCCTACCTCAACGGCCCACAGGACCGGTCCTGCACAGACCTCAAAAATACCGATATCAAGGTGCGGCCTGGGAGCTGTAAGCGTATGTCTTGGTTTTCCATACCCGCATATCGCTTGTGTGGCTTAGAAGGGAGGCTGGCTGATGTTTATCGCGGGATATATAGGCAGTGGTTGTAAACCGAGTGTGCAGATGTTGTGGGTCGAGGCAGGGACGTTTATGACGGACGACAAGTTCCCGATCATCCAGTCGATGCAGCAGCTGAAGATTGCGATCCGGAGGAAGCCAGCTGCGGGGGGGAAAGGGAAGTGACGGCGCATGATGAATGATGGGATTAACGTTAGAAGTCATTTTATTGGATCAATCGGCTCAATTATATCCTGGTGTGTCAACTCTTTGCAATTCAGCCCAATATGACCATAATGATTGCAAGCTGCGCACGCCAAAACTATCTCTATGACAGACTGTTGTTGAGTATATTGTCCACAAAAGATATGAGCGCTATTTCTCTTATAATTCAAGCTGACTGAATTCACCCGTTTCATGTTAACTCTAGTTGAACCACGCGATATTCAACTTCCAAAGGATAAGCAAAACGAGAGATTCATACACAGCAAATGGCAATTAGACTGGTGTGGTCCCTCGCCCTGATTGGGCAAGATGATACCGAACTTAGTCGTGCACAAAATCTACTGTAATATGTGCCAGGATCGGCAAAGGATCAGAAGGAGTGTATTAACGTGAAAAGGATTGTAGTAGGTGATTTCCAAATCTAAACGAAAAGAGTTCTATGAAGTAACTATCTACCTACCTCCGCGCCTACGTGCCAATTCGGTGGCTAAATTGATGTTTATTTGGTGCAGCGTCAGGCGTTGATTTGATGAATAATCAGGCGTAGATTTTATGTCGATTCACTGCCGATTAGGAATCTGTAGAGACCTCAGTACAGGTATCAAAATACGGAGGTAGGTGAATATGTATCCAGGCGTCGAAGTAGCCGCTGAGGCAGGCGTTGAGGTAGCATGCGAGATTGATACGGAGGTGGTGACCCTCAAGATCGGTCATATCTAGTAATCGTGAACGCCGTGGCGCATGCTAGTGGGGAAAGCTTACATTTACATGTAGTAATAGATAAAATCGTTCAAATGAGGGTCGAAGTGCTAGTACCGCATTATATAGCCGTTTTTATAAACCTTTCTGCGTCAATTTGAACATACGTTTTGGAGCAAACAGCAGCTTTGTTTTACGTGATTTTTAGTAGACAAAAGTTTGGGCTTTGATGATACAAATGAAGTTTGATTGACTATGATGATGATAGGATGATGAGAAGAGAAGAGAAGAGTTGAGATATGAGGAAACTAAATCTATCTACATCAGACGCAGTTTCTTGTTGTGACCTGTCCTGACCCACAGAGAGAATTACGTAATCCGGTTTATGGAAGAAAGAGTTCGTACCAAGTAATCAAGTTTTTGTAATTCGAGCAACCTAAAGAAAAGAAACTACATGTACCTACAAGTCAGCTTATATAAGAAGCTCGCCATCTCGCGTCAAGCTGTGAAGACCCGCGCTGATACAAAGGAGGTTAGACCGAAAATTGCTCATACATACATGTAGTCCGTCCCGTTGTCGTCTTCTGGCCCTATCCACCTCCTAGTAGCTTGTGCAATCTGGATGGGCTTGCTAGGGCACCCTTCGGAAAGTTCAACTTCAGATACTTATTTAAGAAATGTGAAATGCCTGTCTGGGTAAAAGCTTAAGTACATGTAAGTACTCCCTCATTGAAATAGCCGTACTATCCAAATAATGTTTGGATAGAACGTACTGTTCGGATAGTAACTCCCCCCCCAAACCATCGGTGTAGAGTGACATCTCCTACTGATGGAAAGGGAAAAAGAAAAGGAAGGCAGCAAGCTATGACAAGATTACAGAAAACTAGAACAGGTTCATATTTTCTATCCTTCCGTACCTCAACATCAAGACTTCCACCTACTCCCACATAGATCCCTCGAGGACACCTTGGACAGCTATTACTACCACGATAGATATGAGCTGTTGTTGAGCTTTGGAATATAAACTATCACCAGGAGTCAGAAAAGATGCAATTTCTTTAAGCAGAGAGCAGTCGGTAACCCCCACCCTGAGTGTAAATATTGATTATATTTAAAGAGGCATTGGTTTCCTTGGTTCCGGGCGGCGAGACTTATGCAGGGCTCAGTCTCACTCTTCCCTTGTTTGGCGCGGATAAGAGGGAGGTGCACTTGTGAGGTTTTCTCTTCTCCACAGTAACACCAAACACTGATACACTAGGACTCTTGGTGCAAGGGGAGGATGGCAAAATATGATCTAGAAATGGTCTTCCTTCGTCAGCCAGAACTATAAACTCTCGGAATACCGAATAGAAAAGCACCTACCACTAGTCACAACATACTACCAAAGCTCAAGCTTGCTGCTTGCAAGACAAGATGCAAAGAGATCCGCCCACAGCATGCCGCAGCGATATCTGCTGTCCCCGAGCCCGCTGAAATTGCTTGCGCCCCCAACAGCTGCCCGCACCGGATCATCTCCGGGCAGCCCGAAGTCTCCAAACGTTCCAGCCCAGGATCTTTTAGGCATTTCGAAATGCTTTGAGTTGATGAGGTCTACCGATAGAGTGGAAACGGGCTGATGGGACATGTATTACAAAGGGGAGATGCCTTGAGTAGATACTTCCTGCGGATAGGTTTGTGATACGTTTAAAAAGGATAAGGATATAGACGATAAGGATATAGACTTAGCTTAAGCACTGCCCGAAGGAGGATTTATAGCTCGGTTAATGATGAGTGAAAGGATGTGGGGGGAAGTACCTGGTTTTATAGTCGTTCGAGGGGTTGAGAAAGGTTTCGTTGTCCGGATATGTTGTCCTTACACATTTCGGCAAAGATGTGGGATACCGACGTAGGCCTCTACGTCGTGTCCAAATCTGTATGTGGTGATCTGGCCGGCATTAGTGTCGGGCCGCGCGAGTGATAGTTCGTGATTAAAATTCGAGGTGTCGAAAGGTGGCTTCGGCCATAGCTCCCAACATTTTTATGAACGGGATAGGCTAGAATGATTTACCAAAAATAGTCTGTTTTCCGTCTCCTTGGAGTCTCAACATACATGATGGATCGGGCAATTGCAGGGTTAGGGTTCACTGTTGAATGCTGTGGAGGAAGCCCCAAAAAGGCTCGCACCCGAGACCATCCAGGCCACTGACCGCATACATATAACTACCGCTTCACAGTTTTCCATCCTTGAACATCACTGTGATAGCAAGTCTGGGATCTAACTCATCGTCTACAGCCCGCCCGGCCCTGACTGCATTCCCCCAGCTCTCTCTCTGGTTGCTCTCCCGATCCCGAAAATAATTATAAACCACTACCAATTCACACAACTACAACCCTTAAACCCCGAGAGGAGATACAGTCTCTAGATGAACAGTATGCAATGAGATAGGAGGAGTGCCATACACTTCATTTCATCAATAAGTTTATCCCCAGGATGGCGCAGGTGAGCCGTCGGTCACCTGGAGGGCGCCCTAAAGTTCTACCGCTTGCTTAGACGGTTTCGGGGATCGAGGGCATCGATGGTGCGTTGTGTGTTGACACGGCGATGGCGGCTCGGGGTGATTATTCTGCTCGAAGTGCGTTGCGGTACAACCTCGGGAGTGTCACTCCCCTTGGTGTCATGGTAGCTCCGGGGTAAATCTGGCAAAACCGCTATTCTTTTGTTAAAACCACCAATGACCCCCTCTCAAACTCTCCACGATGCCTCACCTCCGGACACAAGCTCTAATGTGCATATATCGACACCATGCTATCCACCCTTCACTATCACCGGGATCTCTACGCTCTCCGCTATCCTCCCATCTCCAGCTTGTGAAACCTCTCAGCCAGTCCCGGAGGCCCCGAGCCATACCCGCTCTGCCACCGTGACAGGTCCGACTCACACATTTGATCATTAACGGCACCCCTCACATATATTTATTGTGTATGCGAGCACAAACAAGCTGTTTGTAAGTTCATTATGACAGAGTACCTTTGTTCCCGGAACATTTGGTGGTGTGGTGCTGATAATCGACGTTTTGGGAAGTCACGCCGCGAGTAATCTACCTTGCAATCAAACACTCTAATGGGTGTTTGAGCAACAGACTCAAATTTCGCTGCCTAATGAAATCTATATCATCAGGCCCTTCCCGACCTCCGGTTTTAATACCACAAGCTTTTAATTAAGCTACACCTTACATTGCAGGTGGCATCGACCCCAGTTACCGAAGCATGCAATAGACCTCTTCTTTTACCACTCGAACCTGCAGCTGTGATCTGGGTCAATTGTTTACGCCAAAGATTTTTCTTGCTTTATCAACCACGCTTACCATCAGCGGATACATACTTGAGGGCGACAAGAAACGGTTCGAATGAGTTATAGACTCGGGTGCCTGGAATAGAAGAACATTTTTATCGGTGTAGTGCGCGTATACCTGCCACCGCGATATATTTTATCCCCAAGGTAACAATTACTATGATCTGCAAGATCGGTTTGTTTCAAAAGATTATGGTCATATCCGGAGCCGCCCCCACGAAGTTTTTAGATATATTATAACCAGTCGTTAACCAAACTCCCTCTCTCACAGCCATTCATTCATTGAGCCATTCGAAAATTATACAGTGAATTGTGTCCTTTGTTCTCGAAAATCGGCCAAACAGTTCTTTGTTTGCAAACCTCTCATAACCCACCACTGCGCCATCAGCGACCTACGTTTCATCAACCCCCCCCCCCCCCCCCAAACTCAAGATTCCATCGTCGATACGCATCGTACAATCAGAATTCAACAATTGCAATTCGGCGGAGAAAACAGAAGCAATGGCCCCCAACCCCGCACGAACGCGCAGGAAGCAGCACCTCCGAATGATATCCACCAACACAAAACCCACCCTATATCCATCGACACTCTCACTCCGCGGCGGTGGCCCCGCCCCCGCTCCCGCCCCCGCTCCCGCTCCCGCCCCTGCCCCTGCCCCTGCCCCTGCCCTCGCCCTTATACCCGCCCCACCTCCCCCCTACCTCAACCCCCTCACCATCCCCGCCATCGCCCCCCACCGCACCCACAACAGCACCCGCCACATCCTCAACCGGCAAATGCGCAGCACCGTCACCGACCTCGTCACGCTCCACCGCTCCCTCTACTTCCTCCAATTCATGCTCCGCAGCCTCTACCGCCGCGTCGCGCGCACCATGACCACCAACCACGCCGCCCCCGACATCACCCGCCTCACCCGGCGCATCATCTCGCAGCGCCAGACGCACGCCTCGCTCCGCGCGCACTTCTCGCTGCACGAAGCACGCGCCCACATCACGCTCGACTTCGCGGCCAACGCCGTGCGCTCGTGGAACACGATGCCCGGCGTGGCCGTGGACGGCGTCACCGGCGTCCGGGCGTTTCCAAGGGTGTTTGGGCGCAGCGAGAGGCGCATGTATGGCCTTGTGCGCAGGCTGGTGGACGAGCATGAGGTCATGTATGTGGGCATTGGCGAGATGCTGAGGGACTTTTACGCGCATGGTTCGGCGCTGTATTGTGGGATGCAGTAGCAGTGTAGTGTTTCGTCGTTGCTGCTGTTGCTGTTGCTGTTGCTGTTGAGGTTGAGGTTGTGGGTGGGGTTGGGGGTAGATTTGGTTGTGTGTGTGGGTTTCTTGTCTTCTTCGTGGGGTTGGGAACTGGGTTTTGTAGTTTATTATATGGGTTTTTAATATACATGTCCGGAATCTATCACTTTCCTGTTCTTTTGCTTTACTTCCGGGCTTTCAACACTTAAACTTGTAGATGCGGTCAACATCATAGCCGGCCAAAAGACACACACACAGGAGCTCTTGATCCAAAAAGAACGAGCATACTTCCAATCCCACTTTTACCTGCACACATATCATTACCAGGGTGAGAGTTCCAGCAACAACACAACTCCACAACCACAACCAGAACCCGCTCAGCCCAACCCACCGCACATCCCAAACCTCAGCCACAGCCAACCAGAAAAACAGCACCACACACATCTCCTGTTCCCTCCCCAGAAACACACCACCCCTCCTCCACATGACCTTCTTTGTCCCCTCCCACCGCTCCTTTGTTCCCCCCCCCCCTCCTTCCGCCCCACATGCAACCAACCCGAAACACAAGCCTAAACCTCCAACGCCCGCATCACCTCCCCCGAAAACACCTCGACACTAAAATACCCCCCCACCGCCGCCCCCATCTCGCCGACCTGCGCCACCACCTCCTTCAGCCGCTTCTCCAGCGCCCCCGGATCCGCAACCGCGCGCTGCACCTCCGCCATCTCTTTTGCGAGCGCTGCTTCGCGGGCGAGGATGGACTCCCTGGAGTAGTTTGCGAGGGCGACGCGGATGTGGAGCTTTTTCTCGGCGAGGAGGTCGTCGCGTGCTGCGTGGCGCTCGTAGCGGGCTACGGTCTCGGTGTTGTAGGTTGTGAGGTCGTCCAGGTCGCGGAGGAGGCGGGCGGTGCGGGTGGAGAGGGAGGTGAGGGTTGCGGGGAGGGTGCTGGGGTGGTGGTGGTGGTGGGTGGGCATGGCTGGTTTGTTTGTGGTGTTTATTTATTTTTGTTTGAGTTCGGTACTGAGGCAGCTTGGTATGCAAGTTGCGGGAGAGTGGTGGTTAAAGTCGGTGTTGAGTTTCTGAGATACAGAGTGTGCGTGTGAGTCTCACTTATATACAACTCGCCACAGCATTCATAGCAACAAGACCATCCCTCTCACTTGAAACTCTAACCAGAACTCAACCCCCCCAAACCAATTCCACATCCCAAACCCCACCCCCCCCCCCCCCCCCTCTCAACATCCTCACCACCCCTCCCTCACACCATACAAATATTCCTCCTCCCTCCCGCAGCCATCGTATACCTCAGCGTCTGCAACAGACACCCCACAACCTCCCTCGTCGCCACCAGCAGCTTCACAAGCTTGTCCTCCTTATCCTCCAGCTGCGACACCAGCGGCATAAACTCCGCCACCTCGGTGAAATACACGCGCAGGACATCGTACGTGAGCTCCAGCGCGCCGCCGACGAAGCCGTCGCCCTGCGAGAGGTACGTCTTGAGCGTGGCTTGGACCTGCTCGAGCTGGTTGTCGCAGTCGTGGAGGGTCCTGCGGGTGCGGATTATGGCGTCGTGGAGATCGTCGATCACTTGGAAGGGGATGCTGGGGGGGGCACTGGAAATATATACGAGCTTAGTAAACCGAGCTAATATGTATTTCGTGTTATAGCTTAACGGGGCGGAAGGCCTTACGGGTTATATTGCTGGTGAAAATTGTAACTGGCCATGATTTAGTTTGTTAATTCTTTGTAGCGAGTCGAGGAGTGAGGAAGAGGCCGCGGGTATATATACCACCAGAACTCGCATCATACGTGGCGTCGCAATGCTATATATCTGGACTCCGATACGCACCCAAGTGTCATCACTTTACAGAAGACCACCACCGCGAATCGCCAGCACACCCTGGCATATCCGTAATCACAGAATATCACTCGCCTAACCATCTTCCTGCAATCACCCCCAGGCCGGTTATTTGGGCCGCCATTCCTACATCGACTTTAACTCCCTGTCCAGGTCTACATCTCAATCTCTTCCTCTCCAAAAGGATATCTTAGCGCTGCATTTCGTAACACCTATACAACTCTCGATACATCCACGTATCGCCAAGCCTAAACCTTTTCATAACATACGCTTTCCGAGTGACCATTCATGACCAACACCCCCACTCCATGCATCAAACCGATGGAGCTGTTCAACGCTTATTCACGACGCACCATCGAGTTGGCGTGTACATGTAGTTATCTTGCAAGATGGGCGATGGTTCATGCATGTATTACTTCAGGATCCCCAATCAACGTATGTATCCAACACCCCCAACACCCGCCAAAATCTACAACACCACAACATCACAAACGAGACGCACAAAACACACCTCAAAACGAACATTTCAGCATTCCTTGTCCCCTCTCTCCGCATCATCCTCATTACAAGTAACCACCCATCAAACATCCATGATATTACGCAAAACTCTAGCCATAAACAACATGCAATCCACAATCACGCTCACAAACTAAAAGAAAATGCACAAAATCATACATCAAGATTTACGTCCCAACTAATATCCATACGGCGTGCTCCCATACGGCGAGCTCCCTCCCGACCCCGTATTCCTCATCTTCGCCCTCTCCAGCGGCGTCATCCCCATCTTCCCCGGCCCCGGCCCCGGTCCCGGTCCCACCACCGGCGACCCAACCCTCCCTCCCGCCGGCGACCCGACTCTCCCAACAGCCGGCGAACCCGTTCTACCAACCGCAACAGCCGGCGACCCAGTCCTACCCACAGCCGGCGACGCGACTCTTCCAGCCGGGGTCGAGATCCTTCCAATCGACACGCCGCCACCAGCACTACCACTCGACTCCTCGATTTCAGCCTGCTCTTCCAGCTTCTTGTACGCCTCCTTGACCGCTTTATCCACGATGTCGAAGTCGCCCTCGACGACGGCGATGCGCTCCGTCAGCTCCTTGTTGGTCTCTTCGTCCGCCGTGCCCTTCTCGCCCGCAACGGCTTCAACGACCTCTTTCGGCGAGCCGGCAAGATGTGCTTCTGCGAGGTTGACCTGGTTTGACGACTCGTTGATGAGGAGCGAGGCAGCGTGGAACACCTTCATGAACTTGATTGATGTTTCCTTGAGGTCCTTGAGCGTGTCGTACGCGCAGGCGATTTCTCGCTTGGTCAGGGCCGTGTCGCTGCCGGGGGAGGGGAGGGTGTTGACGAGTGCTGTGACGGCGGCAGTGATCTCATCGGTGTAGTTGAGTTCCGCGTCGAGCCCGCGCTCGATACTTTCCTCGATGGTGTTCATGAGCTGCTGTGTGCGCCCGTGTTTCGCTTGGGCCGCTTCCAGAACACTAGAAATCACATACGAGAGTCAGCATCGACAGTTACACTACCGGTCCAAGGACGAAAGGGAAAGGGGTTACATACGCTTTCTTCTCGCTCTCCTCAAAGTGCTTCTCCATGCTCTTCATTTTACCGATGTTCCCACTTGCATACAACGGCTGGATGACCGTCTTCTTGAACTTCTTATCCCGTTCGAGAATAGCAGACTGGACCTTCCCATGCCTGGTCTCAATAAACTTACTCAACTCCAGCAAGCCCTCCATCAACTCCGTCAGCTCAACACTGTCAGACGAAACCCATCTATCCTTGCCGGCGACCGTGGTCGGGACTCTCGATTGAATCTCGTAATATTTCTCCATGAGACCGGTAATGCCCTCCTGGATCTTATCATAGACCTTCGAAAACACCTCCGTGCAGTATATTTCATACTCGTCCTCTTCCTCCTTGGCCTCCTTCCTCGCCTCTTTCGCCTTGAACTCGCCTTCCATTTCCTTGATATCCCCATACCCAATCTGCTGATCTGCAAACAGCTCATCCGTGACTTGCTCATGCTGCTCCTGTCTCGCCCGTCGCTCCTCATCCAACTTTCTCCGACGCTTCTTCGCAGATTCGGCGTAGGCACGGTTGATGTCCTCGATGAAGCTAAAGTCTTCACCGATACTATCGATTGTCTGCCTCACATCATCCATGACCTTCGTCTCCTTGCTCCTCGGAGCACGACTCGCCGGCAACACCGCCGAAAGCGTATCCAGAGCCGGATTTGGGGCTGACGCAGCGGGGAAATAGCTCTGTCTCTTCTTATCCAACACCTCATCTCCACCACCCGGAGTTGAAAAGATGGTCGAGCTCCCACCAGAGCTGGGGGGGTACGCATCCTGAGAATACAGCTGGTATCCATCGATAGAGGTCTTAGCACCCTTTAACGGACCGAAGGGATGAGATCCCCCTTGGCTAGTAGGACTATCCACCATCGTCTCGGATCTCGATAGAGGATAACCAGGGCCCATAGAATTGCGCTTTGGTTGTTGCTGGCCCGGACCACCGGCCATGAAGGTTGACGCTCTCTTCGGGTCATACGCGACAAACTCGCTTCCGCCGGGAGCTGGCGACGAGTTCCTGCCACCCTGCACAACCGGATTGTATGGTTTGTAAATGCCCGTTGACTCTTGTGTCTGCTTCGGCGGCGACGCAGCTCTGGTTTCGGTACCGTTGAAAGGAACATATTGACTCTCGCTAGCTCCGGAGGAGAACCTGGTCGGCGAAGTCGGCGATGCAGGATTGAAAGCCTTGTACTCATTCTTCTGCGCCGACGGTGGTGAAACAGGCTCTTCGTTGAAAGCGGCATGTCCCTTGTTCAGACTTTGGGCAACCATCGATTCGGGCCGCTTCCGAATGACCAGCGGCTCGGGTGATATTGGCGGATCCTCCAAGGTTACTGGCTTATGCATTGGTTTCGGGGAAGGCGGCTTGGTTTCAACGTATGATACAGGTGTCTTAGGCTTTTCCGGCGTCCATTGGGTATGTGGTGCGGCCATCTCGATATGCTCCGATGGGACTGGAAGTATAATCTCCGCGGGTGGCACTGCAGAGGAATTGCTTCTAGACCTCTGCGTTGGCCCAAGTGCGCCTTCCGGCAACAATCCAAGTTTTTCCTTCGAGTCCCTTTCCTCATCTCGCCCACCATATTGGGGCAACCTTCCATATACGCTGCTCTGCCGGCTGGGCGGTTCACCAAGGGCGAGAGGATACCGCTGACCACGGACATAGTACTCGTGTTCCATGAAGTCGGTAAAAACCCTCAACTTCTCCTCGTCCCTCGTTGCGGCAGCCTCTGCTTTGATCATGACAATGTAGCGCTGAACGGAGTCTTGATAGAATGGTTCCAAATTACGAAGTGGGTCGGGCTCCTGCTGCTCGTGGCTAGGTGGCTGAGTCATGGTCACCGATGTCGCGGGGGTGAGGACTGTGGCATCCGACAGTGCTGGCGTTCCACCTCCCACCGTCCTAGGTGGGCCTGAGGCCTCGGAGTGATCTTGAGACTGGATTGGTAGTTGCGGCTGGTGCTGTTCCTCTGTTAGCTGCGGCCAGCCTCCAGGAATATTCGTTTCCTCCCCCGGAGTAGGAGTATACGACTGAGGCCATCCCCCCGGAACATTAATACTAACTTTAGGATCTTCAATTTGCAAATGCTGAGGCTTGTGCCCCTGCGAGACAGTAGTTGGAGGGTGGTTTTGTGCGGTCCATTGCTGATTGTCGCCCTGCTTTTGTTGCGTCTGACTATCTTGAGGCCAGTGCTGTCCATTTCCGTTATTCTGCGCGTGCTGATATTGATCTTGAGGCGGCTGCTCCTGAGTCCAGGTTTGGCTATCTTGATGTTGTACCTGCTGCTGTTGTTGCGACCACGCCTGAGTATCATGCGATTGCTGTTGTGGCCAGCTCTGTTTTTGTTCCAACTCTTTCAATTCCTCGAACGCCGGCACCGGCGCACCGCCTGCTGGAGACTCCGACCAGCCAGCTTTCGAGTCCTTATACGCATAATCCGACGTCTGGGTTGGGGGCGGCACAACACTAGTCTTATGAGCACTAGGTGTTCCGGTACCCTTCCTCCCACCTGCCCCACTCGACGGCCTCTGGAACCCACCATGTCCCTGGAAGCCACTGCCGGGTCTGCTGCCGGGCCTGCTGCCAAACAGCTGGGCATGTTGAAATGCATTTCCGGGACCTTGCGGATGCTTCGCATCAGGGCCAGTAGTATAGGCTTTCGCCGGAGGTGGTGGTGGCGGCGTAGAGTTATACCCCTCGGTATTGTTCCATCTACCGCTGCCTGTTGCTATCTCTACTGGACTGTGCGGCTTCACCGGCTTCGGATGGTGCACATCGACAGGTGAGATCGGCCTGCTGACCACAATGTTGGCATCTTCGCTGTTACCACCGTAATGCTCCCAGCTTCCTGGAGCGCCCGCGAATGTTTTCGTCTTCGCCGGCGGCTTGGGCTTCGTAAATAGCGGCTCAGGCTGGATCCCGTGGAAGGTATCTTTCCTTTTCGCGGACGCAGGCGAGCCGGTGACGGGTGCCGCTTGGTTCTGCTGCTGTTGCTGCTGGTTTAGATGCTCAAGATATGCAGATGCACCAGGCTGGGTTGGGGCAGCAGCGGGCGGTGGTGTGGCATTTGAGAGCGGCTGATTATATTGTGATCCGCTAGTCCAGTTAGATCCCGATTGTGCATTCTGGAATTGCTGGGACTGTTGCTGGGGTTGCTGGTATTCGCCTTGGTTTTGAGGCCAGTAGTTTCCTTGATCATTTTGGCTTGAGGCTTGGGCTGGTCTTTGCGTGTTATGGTCTTGTTGGTACTGCTGCTGATGATCGCTGGAATTGTACTGTTGCGTGTCTTGATACTGGTACTGGTGTTGTTGCTGCGGCTGCGTCTGCGTATCTGTATATTGGCCTGTGGTGGGAGCTGCATAGTCGGGGTGGAGAACCGGAGGTGTATAAGTGAACGGCTTCTTCTGTTCCGGTTCTTGGGTGGCACCCCAGGCCGGAACTGTAGTTGAAGAGGGGTAGGCGCCAGCTGTAGGATTTATACTGCCCGCTTGGTAACTACTCGAAGTGTTCGAAGCCAACGAAGGTGCAACATAACTAACAACCCGATTTCAGGTCAGTTCTCGATACTACACACAATATTCAAAATCCGGGATACTGACCCTGAATGATCACCGGCCGGGCTCGATGTCTCACCTTGCCCATAACCACCGGTGGTGATACCTCCATCGTAATATCCATGATGACCTTGATTCTGGGGCTGTGAATATTGCTGCTGAGGCGTAGATCCCCACCCATGGCCTTGACTCTGATGAATTTGACCAGTCGCCGATGGTGGATATTTGCCCTCGTTCTGGTACTGCTGTCCGTATGAAGTGTCCACAGGGGGAGGCGGCGGCGGTGGTGGTGGTGGCGGCGGGGGTGGGGGAGCCTGTTGCGGAGTAGAGGACTGTCCGTATGGAGAGGGGCTATAGGATGAGCCGGGGTTGCTGTTGTAGTTATTATTCAGGGGATTGTAGACTACGCTCGAAGGTCTTGGTGGGACCGGTGGGCCTTGCGGCTGCCATTGCTGCTGGGGCTGCTGCTGTTGACCCCAGCTTTGCGGGGGTGGGGGAGGCGGGGGTGGTGGTTGGTGGTGCTGCTGCTGGTATGGCGAGTGCTGCTGGGTGTAAGGTTGTTGCGGAGGGTATTGCTGGTATTGCGCATTATGGTAGGGGGTCTGTTGTGGGGGGTATCCACCTAAATAAGCCGTTAGGAATCCAAGCCAACCAAAAACCAGCTCACGGCACCACCACCGCTGTAAGCTACCGTGGAGATTTCGCGGTCATTTGGGGAAGTGTACTCCTGTGTCACCCGAGAGCAAAACAACCAGCACAAACATCCTCGCGGCAATGGCTCGTTCCATCTTTTATTGCTTCTTTCTCCCGCCTCTTTCGCCCACAAAATGGGATGAGCAGATAAGACTTACTAGTGTAGCTTGGTACCCCGGTTGCAGTTCCAGACTGAATCCCACCCATCTGCCCCTGCCCCAGGTACTGCTGTTGCTGCTGGCCGTACATATTATGCTGTGGTTGCTGCTGCTGCTGCTGCTGCTGGGTTGTATCAACTCTGTGTCCAGGCCACGGCGGTGGTACTTTGTAGATATGGTTGTTCGAAGTCATGGGAGAGTAGAGTATTTTAGCTCTCTCTCTCCTTATTGTGCTTATTGTGGTGTGGTTGTGTTTGTTGATGCGGTGGGTGGTGGGTTGGTCGGGTTCAGCCGCAGCCTTGGCCTTAACCGATACGGAGAGGGGTTAGTCTGCAGGACGACAACGCGCGACGTAGCCGCACTCTATTCTGGGTGACTCTCTTAAAAGGAAAATTGGCGGCTCGCGATGCGAGAAGAGCTTCGATCGATGCGAAGATGAGAAGACGATGCTCCGACTTTTCTTCGAAACGATTTCCCCGCCGACGACAGGATATCAGGGTCCAGGGCCTGTCCACGTGGAACTGGCGTGGTTTAGGGTCGAAGAAGGTCAGGCAGGCAGGCAGGTAAACTAAGGTAGGGGTGTCGTTGGAATAAGGTAAGGGTGAATGAAGAATGCACGGACAACTTGCAAGGGTCATGTTGACACAAAAATACGGTGTGGCGAATCACCAGGTGGCTGGTAATGATCAAAGCCACTCTTTTATGGCCAACTAGGTAGCGGTGTTACCACCGCAGAGACCAAACCAAGCAGCTTGTAACCTGGTACCGTGTGAAACTGGTAGATCGGTCACTGGCATACAAATTTGGCTGTGAATAGAATAAATTCGGTCCAAGTCTGACAGTGCCGGAGATGCCGCGCTGGCCCATTGCAAGTATATATAAATTTCAAGCACCTATCAGAAAGAAAAGGTGTCTTATGGAATAAGAAATCAAGAAACAAAACCATGACACCTAGAGCAACTTGTGATACAGAAATAATTAGAATGTCCCTTGAATCTCGGAAACAGTGATGGTGGCTTGAGTGGGATGTATGATGTAGTCACTTCATTCAGAGATTCTGATTCGCGATAATCATGAAATATGACTCGGTTATAGTAGGTAGTATTTTCAATACAGTGCACAGACAAGTTCGTACATGTATTTGACCCAGGAAACACCGCACCTACAACCTCAGTCCACCGAATCGAAACCCCGCGCGACATATAACCATCCACCGGAAATGCCCAAACACGTATTTCTGGGCTGGCGCCCTCAAAGGCGGCCCGACCCGCTTAGCCACCCCAACCACTGAACGCTGTGGAACTTACGTGTTACACAACACGTTGCAGAGGTTGCGCGGCTGTAAAAAGTTAGAGATACATGTATATAGGTTAATTAAGCTCTGGCAACCGAGGAATTCATTCCATCCTTCCGTCCCTCCTCATCTAAGCAAGCTTCACAGCTAGAGCTCGAGAACCAAGATATGCGAATCAGAACACTGAGATTCCGAGCCTCAAAACGCCAAGCATCCCGCCTCTCCCGTAACCTGGTTATAGTAAGGCTTGGCACGAACGAGGCAACGCCGCACCGGATGCCAAGACTTTCCAAAGTGGGAATCGAAAATTCGACCCGTGTGGTGGAGATAGACACAACATGAGGCGAGTAGATTGTTTTGCAGCTCTCGATCCTAGAAAGCTTACCTAACGAAATTATATTAGCTAGATTCCCTGTTCCTTACAGCTCCCGATTTACGGTGATATCAAGAGATATTTATCTTGAAATCAAGGATTCTGGATACCTGATAGATCACTCAATGAGAAATATGGGGCGCAACACAAACAAAAAAAACTCCCCATTCCGGCAGAAACCGCAGCTTCTTAAAGAAGGAAGGAAATTTAACGAATTCGGAGCATGGGAATACCAGATTCCGGAGGTTATCATGCAAGGCCACAGCTTCAAACTCCAGTGCGCATACCGATAAAAAAAAATCAATAAACTACAATCATTGGCACTATTATCCTCTCCCATACGATATATATACACCCCCTCTCACAGAATCGTCCCCTAGCTAATACGGGGCGAGTTCAACGGTGACGCCACACATCTATATCCCATCCCAAAATCCCACACGCCCCGTCCCCTCAACCCCCACCCCAACACTCAATCCTCCCCCCCCTCCTCGCCCGGGCCCGCCAGGAACGCCTGTCCCGTCTCCCACACCTTATCGACCCCCGCCTCTTCCATAACCCTCCAGGCCTCCCACTCATTCCGCTCCCACTCACCCAATTTTCTCTCGCCCCCGCGGCCTCCAGCATCAAACACCCGGACAATCCTCTCGCCCTTCTCATCATACGCACTCCACGGCGCCTCGCCATACACGTAGCTGCACCACGCCGCCGCCACCTCCTGCTCCAGCTCCCGGTATCCCCCGGTCTCCGGGAGCTCGTCGTGCTGGTTAAAGAACGAGAAGACGACATCCACGCCGTGGTGTGCCCGGCCCTTGTTCGGTCCCTCGAGTGGCGTTGGCACCGTGAACTGCGCAAAATATGCTTTCTTCTGTGGGTGGTCGGACCAGTACCTTGTGAACATGTACGCTGGGAGCCTAAAGCCGTAGTCGGAGATGAGAACGTAAAGCTTCTCGATCGTTGTTTCGCGGGAGTCGCTGGAGGAGAGGTGGAAGTGCGACAGGAGCGAAGCTGTTTGTTCGGGGGTGAGCTGTCGGGAGATGCGGCGCTTGAAGGTGCGGAGGGGGTTGGAGTAGTCCTTGATAGCTCCACCTTGTTGCATCACGCCCCACTATCTTGCATGTCAGTCCTGCCTACCTGGAGAAACAGAGAGAGGGCGGGGGGGCGGGGGGGGCGGGTGAGACTTCGTCTTTGCAGGTGCCGATCACGAGGCTGTCACACCAGTCCGGGAGAGGCTTGAAGTTCTCGTGACGGATCCACTCCTTGGTGGGGATGAACTCGCCGTCACTGGTCGGGCAGATTTCGACCTGGAAAGCGATCTTTGCGAGCTCGACGGCAGGGATGTTGAGCATGCGTTCTGCTCGCTGCGGCGGCGGGAGACCGGCGAAATCGAGCTTCTCGCAGGTCTTGAGATATATCATCTCCTGTGCGTCCGCAGGCCGCGGCGGAAGCAATCCAGCGAGACCCGAGAGCAGTATGGCCCGCTTGAACAGCGGTACCTCAGAGTATAGGTGCAGTGACCCAGCGACTGGGAGAATCAGTGCTGCGGGGGATTATAACTGCGGACGGAAAACTTACTCCCTCCGGCGCTTTCTCCCATGAAAGTTACATTATCCGGATCACCGCCGAATTCTTGGATATGTTCCTTGACCTATGCGTTATCAGCAAACCGATCATTTCCCCACGTTCTGCACGCCAAAAAACAACCCACCCATCTCAATCCCACCACCTGATCCTTCAGCCCATAATTCCCCGTCGCCCCGACCTCCTTACACGCCAGATACCCAAGCGTGCCCAACCTATGATTCAAGCTCACCACAACCACGGGCTTGCCCACAACGTCGATGCTGTGCTTGACAAACCTCCTCATATCATACCCCACAAAGTTCGCACTCCCGATCCTATTCGCGCCGCCATGCACCCACACAATCGTCGGCAACAGGATCGTCGTCGGCGACAGATTATCCTGCTCACGCTCCTCGTGCATCGCCGTATACGGCGTCACAACAACCAGGTTCGCACACTCAAGCTCCGACATCGTCTTTCGGTCCGCCGGCATCGGCGTGAGCTTGTGGTTCAGCACCCGCGCATCCACCTCCTCGGCATCGGGCTGCTGCACCGCCATCGGCCTAGTACGTAGCCACCCACCGACATTAGCCAAAAAAAAAAAAAAAACGCCATCCCCCCCAGGCGCAAATTGCTAAGCACTCGCAGAGACGGGGTGTGTAACGCACCCCCATTTCGTCGCGTCAAAGTCGCCGAGGTGGTTGACGGGCCCTACCGGGTCTTTGAAGCGCCCGGGAATGCGGGCGTAGGGGATGCCGCGGTATTGGACGACGTTGTCGAGGACGGCGCCGGTGATGCGGCCGAGCTTGGTGGTGAGGATGCGAGTTTTCTCCATCTTTTTTTTATCTTTTTGCCGGGGGGGAGATTGGCTTGGGATTTCTGCGATTGGGAGAGGTGGAGGTTGGTTGTTGCTGTGGCGGCGGCGGCGTTTTAGTAACTATGGGAAGGTGATGTATGACGTCTTCGGAGATGTGGTGGTGGTGAGGATGTTAACTATGCCGTCATAGCCATTGGATGGTTTTAGCCGCGATTTAGAGGAATGTATGTAGAGAAGTGTAGTAATTGAGCGTGTTATTCCAACTAACTAGAGGGGGAAATGCCCCATATTTATACTAAAGAAAGGTAACACAAAACATAGTAAATCATAACCGTAAATAGAAAGACATGACTAATAAATACCAGAGAGAGAATGAGTCAAAACCCGTGACTCATGATGACAAATGAGAATCCTCCAATACTATGAAATGTGCTGAGCGTACGATTTAGAGGCGTTGGGTGTAGGTGGTTTTGAATGGGGGATGGCTAGAGATTCTGGTGGGCTCGTAAAATCACGATATATCACTCGGATAGGGCGGCGGTGTGGTCCAAATCTCGGTTTTTGTTTTTGTTTAATTCACTAATTGCATGCAATCCAAGTCTCGGTGCTTCCTACGAGCTCTTTGGGCATCCACTTCTCTGCCGGACGGACCGACTAATTGACTCCATACAGTTCTTCATTGGCGCGTCATGGAAGGGGCAATTATCTCTAGCCAACTCGATTGCCGGGCTGGATGACCTCCACCTGCCTGGTAACGTGATTATAGGATGATTTCTCCGTCCTAACCCGCGTACGTGTATAAATTAAAGCATGCATCTCCATACACGCTTCCTGCTCCCGCCCGGCCAGCTTTCTATTTTGCGGCAAACCACCCCATTGAATCCGGCACAGACAGTGCGCGTTGCCTCGCGTGTACACAGTTCGTCCAAAGCGGGTTCACATTCCACGTCCTTTCAAGTTCCGGCAGTGGGCGCCCGCCACAGTGGTACGCTAGACTTCATCACGTCAGCCCTAGTGTTTGCTGCTCCTTGCATTTCTTCTCGATGAAGCGATGCAAACATGAATGCCTTGAGCTGCTAGCCAACGTAATTTAGCCGATGATCTATCGATCTTCTATAACAGAACGAACGGGCAACTGTCAAACTACAGGTTTCGCAAATGATATTTGCTGAGTTGTGCAGACACAAAGAAAAGCCAGAACTGTTGCATCTCCACAAATATCCAAAGGACACATAGCATAACCCCCGGCGACCCTCTCCTCTACATGTATTCAAGAAACAAACTTTTTGATTAATCAGGTAGGGTTATATTGGCCGCGGGTTCATACATATAGGCGCATAGAGAAGCCATGTGATGCAGAGGCCTTCCAATATGGAACAAATCAGACATTCCATAAACAAACATCCCACACATTCTAAGCGGGAAGAAAAGAGAAGGGAAGGGGAGGGGATGGCGATTGACCTCTGTGGGGACATGTATAAAAGAGAGGAAATAATCTGAATAGAGTTTTCTTTTACAATATCGACCATAATCATGATTAATCACTCGCAATCACGGCTTTTTTTATGTTCAAGTGATTGAAAATCTTTTTTTGCTCAATTCATTAAGTTTAACTCATTAATGACCGAGGGCCGTAACTACATACTACCTCCACCCGTGTACTGCATGTACTCATAGTGAGGATGCCGAACACGTAGTCGTCTACTATAAGTCCGAGTATAAACTTCCACCGGCATACACAACCCCAGCTACGACACCAAACCTCTACGAGAGCTCGCCCGTATTCCTGCCTCCACCAGACCTCAAACTCCCTCACCTCCGGCGTGTATCTCACTCGTACCCCACAGGATGGCCTCACGGCAATGGCGCTGTAAACCGCATGTACAATGCGATCCACAACCCCAGCCGCACCTCTACCTCGTACCTACATACATATCCACTCAGCCCACCTTCTGTACAAGGCCCACCAAGACACACAAATCTTACCTTCCTCCTCCTCCTCCTCCTCCTCCTCAGCATTACCCCGCTGCATCCTACTGCCAGTAGTATCTCAAAGTCAAATGACCCCAGCTGAGATCGGGGCGCGGAGGGCGGCGAGTTGATCATGCTCTCGCATCAGGGAATATATAGCCCCGGGCTGAGAGCACTAGATCTAGACCGTGAATCAGTCCATTGCAAGCAATCGACCAATTCGGTCGCGAAACCTGTGTACAAGGAAGAATGAACAACAACAATTACCAGTCAACCAATCGATCAATCGCGCATTCGCATGCAACAAGGGCATGAACAACAACAGTCAATCAATCGATCAATCAATCAACGCATCAAGACAAAGCACACGGCTAATCAATTATCAATCAAGACGAAGATTGTCCTACCCTCCCTTCTTCAAACATATAATCAACCAATCGATCAATCAAGACGAAACACAGAAACGAGTGATATTCCATGATTCAACCACGAGTCATATTTCATGACGGAACATTATAACGCCACCGCGGTCCTGGAGAGACAATAGCTCTGAATAGCTTAGCATATCTGAGGTTCTGATTATTGCTAGCTTAGACTTGAGAGCTGGACCTATGAATGAGGCCGCACAGGGCCAGTTGCATGCTATAGGATTGGGGACCGTACCCTGTCAATCCGGATTCCAATTGACCAGGGGCTTTGTTCGTTTCTTCTAGTAGCTAGAGCGATCAGAGTCTTTCGGAAGAGCTAGGCATATCACGGGGAGCGATTCCCGCGTCATTGCTATGTGGTTATAAAGCTTCAATCACCTAAAATGACTCGGAAATTGTTAGTAGGCCGGTTTATAGTTTTTTTCTATGTAGATAGGACGACAACTGCGTTCGGTCGTAGAAGGGATATATTGGGTTGGAGGGGTAGCTTGGGGGACATCGAGTGAGCTCCTCTCCAACCTCTCATTGAATGCTGTCAGTCACTTTAAAGAATAAAAGTGGGGGGTCTCCGATAGTCCTAAGCCTCCTGACACCATATTATCCAGGCTGAGAACCACCATACCATTGCATACGCATACCAAAGCTTCCCGCCACCAACAAACACACAATGAGTAATTATAACATCATCAACACCCGCCTCCCCGCCTTCCCGCACCCTCACCGCCCCAACTACCCCACCAAAGACCTTCTCAACGACATCGTCACCCCCTCCACTACCGACTTCCTCGTAACCCAACCTTGCACCACGATCCACTCCTGCCGCCTGCGCACGCTCGAAAAGACGTGGCGCCAGGCCACCATCGCTATGCGCGAGATCTCGCGCAATCACCGCGGGATCTTCGAGCCTGGCTACAACCCTAGTTCCTTCGGCATCCGCCAGAATCTCCTGATGCTTGGAAACCTCATGCTGAGCAGCAAGCATTTCCTGCGGCAGGTCGAGAGCGACATGGCGTCTATCCAGGCGGAGTCGCCCGGGTGCTATGGCTTCCACGGGATGATAACTGAACGGCGCAGCATTAGCCTACTAGAGATCGATGTGCTATACCATATGTATCTGTGCATGAAGAAGGCGTGGTACAAGTTGCTGCAAATATTGGAGAGATATTTTCACGCAAACATGATTCAGGATCTGCTTGGAGGGGAGGAGAGGAGGAGGGAGGGGAATTGGGAGAGTGATGAGGCTTATCAGACGTGGATGTATGATACCTTATCCCGCTACCGTGTAGGAATTGTGGTGGGAAGGTAATCAAGGAGACAGAGCGAGTATTGTGGTTGGTGGCGTCTAACCATGGCCAACTATAGGAAACAGGAGTTATGTTTTTCTTTATCTCTTCCGTTTGTTGCTTCGTTGGCTTTTAGCGATTAATTGCGATCGTCTCGTGGCTAGGCTACACGTATTGTTCTTCTTTTCCGACATACCATCTAGTAACTGTTGACTTCAGAGCTGTCGCCCATTATTTCCTCACTTGTACCTTATATAATTAGTCTTCCACATACATATAAGCGCATCTCTTCATGGAGAGTCATAACATACCGATACTTAAAATATAATAAAAATCAACATATAACACACAATCACATCCTCAGCGTAGTGTCTCAAATCAAGCAAACCAATGAGCGAAACCTACAATTAACAAATTAACGAACTACCAATCAATCCATCATCCACCTACAAGTATCAAATGCGACATTTCGTAGTCCTAAGAATTGACCCAAGCCAATATCCGAGATGATTGGCCCAGTTTTTCTCTGGTTAAGGTTATGTATATATAGAGCTACTACATACTGTATAATCAGTGATATCCTAAGAGCTAAATTCTCCAATACGTATGTACGCCAACCGGGAAAGAGAAGGTCCATGGAATTCAGGTGTCTGATATCTAGCGTAGCTGATTTGAGCTTGACCCGTCATGTTACGTTGCTCCGGGGAAGACATATAGCTTGCAATATTGGCTTTGAGCCTCGATCAGGTATGCCGGTCTAAAATGAAGCTTTAACAACATCACTCGATGCTCCATGTATATGTTTGCTGCTGCTGCTGCTGCTGCCAGTGTTCGCAACGGTCAGGTCTGGATTATAGATATCTACAGATGCCTTGGCAGTGCCTCCAGAATGGACGGACTATATTTTCGTGGTCCGTCTCGTCCCTGATTTTGTCAGGACTATAGATAAGGCGCCGGACTATAGATATGTATCGGTCATGAGCGATCACTCGGTTCTAGCGACAATATAGAAGTATACGTGTGGGGGAATTAATATATTGGGCTCATATACGCAGCTTGTAGGTTGGAAACCAGTTGAGCCTTGCAGACTGCAGATAGGTGCTAGAACCGCAGATATCTACACCAAACTGTGGATGTCTATGCAGGACTGTAGATGTCTATGCAGGACTGTCGATATCTATAGGGCAGCGCCGTAGTCTATGCCAAGCTGCAACTCCATAATCCAGACTATAGTCGGTAGTCCTAGCCCCATAGTCGGTAGTCAGTCCCCGCCGCCTGCTCAAGACCGACTACAGCCCGTACTCGGTCCGGTCCTGACCTCCAGGACCGACGGATTACCCCGTTGCGAAGTAACAGTTTGCAGACTGGTTGTCACTTTCAATGTGCCCAGGGGTTGGAAAGTGATGCATATTTTGGCCTGGCAACACCATTTTGGGACTGCGCAAACGCTCCTTAAATTCAGATCTCGAGTACAGCATGCCTAATAGTGCATTTGGCGATATTCGAATATAAAATAACCATTCCTCAGGTAAGAGGTTATCAGTAGGTAGCCAAAACATGTGGTAAAGAACCCAGAGAGGTATCGATGATATACCCTTTTTTTTGATTTCTTCATTACGAAAGGAGTCTTCACACTTAGATTGACCTCAATATCGACTTGTGTGAAGAGGTGTCCCCTTATCGTTGAGATATCACCTAATGTGCATTATTTCCCGACACTCTAGCCTGGGTACACCAGGCCCAGGAAGTATAGCCGGTCTTCAACCTATGTCCATGCATGTACTTCGAAGAGCAAATGCAGAGCGACAATGAGTGCCACGGTACGTCCGGAAATTAATTTTTTCACGATATCAGTAACTAATCCCCGGCAATGCGGCGCTTATTGAAAAGTGTCGGCCGAGTTACACAGAATATCATTCTTATTCCATCGGCTGGCTCACACTAGCCAGGCTGATTGATTGGTTGTTGTATGAACCCATTAACTGTGGGTAGCTCTATTATAAATCCTTGATATGAAAAATAGATAGGTTGATTGGTTGATTGGTTTGATGAAGCGGCTCGTTGGGCATTAAAGACGGGCTGTACTTGTACTACATCGACTGTGCTCCCAGCTGCTACATATATGTACGGCATTTCCTTGTCTCTCAACGGGATGTTTTGCATGTTATGCAATATCGTGAGAGGCGACGCTGGTGGTCGGTGGTGGAGGAATCCATCCTTAATTAATCTAGTGATTTCCAGGGGGGGATAGGAGTATCCCGGAAACATATCGGGGTGGGTTCCGCGATTCCAATATTTGTGATATATAAACAGATAATATAGTATGTTTTCCCCGAAAGTACCCGTTCTTTCTGCGGCCTTAAGTCACAACTCGCCCTACCATGCATACGATGGTGACATGGTTTGTTAGTGAGTAGACGTACTAACTAGATATATCCATAGAAAACTACGCATACTTTCTATGAACATATCCGCCAAGGGGAGAAATGTAAAGGCCGGCTGTATATTGAATTCTCAAGATATATAGTTTCCTGACCAGGTCATAGAAACTCTGTTTCGTATCTGTGATTCTATGCGCAGACCGCTTAGATCGGCTAATGCCGTATCTATTGCTCTTTACTGCAAGGCGCTGTGTATATCCAAGGTGTAATTAGCATTGGGAGTCGACAAATCCATTGCATCTCGAAAATGTCGTTGAGGGCGCTATGCACCCTCGATCTTTATTCTTTGGTGTTTCCCGGTAGATCTGTTCTGTCGCTGTTTGGAGAATGATGCTCCTTTGTCTTACATAGACGATTCCCAATTTGATATTCACCAAACTCTGGTACTTCTTTCGGAGAAGTTTATTTAGCTTCACGACGTCTAGTGGAGCAAGCCGTACCTTTCTCAAGGTCGTTCCCCTTCCAGATCTGAGGAGTTGTAGTTCTCGATGAGGTATAGAAAATCCGGTCGAAAGGCGCCCGAGCTCGCGGAATTAACGTTCTGCAATGGTTGTCTTTTTTGGTTTGACAAGTGATCTACTCATGCGTTAATTAAGTCCTGAGAATTGGGCTTTGTCGCAACGGCCTCACAAAATTTCGCTGGACTCATGCGCGAGTATAACGGCCTAATATCTTTCAAGATGGGGCCGGTCGAAGCTGAGGAGGACAGATGCATACATGTATATATAGCTTATAGAGGCCCGGAAGGCGGGTAAGCACGCGGCATGTGTAATGCGTGACTAGCTTGCTCGCTGGCGTCTCGTAACCAGCTTTGATCTACTAACCTGCTAGCTGCAGACGCGGGACGGAGAAAGGACGGTTCTCAGGTTTCCGTGGTATTGCAAACCACATAATACTTTGCCTTTGCGCAACTGCGGGTGTGTGCTGACTGGTGAACTAGTAACTATTTATCGTACAACTGATGTATGTACTACACTCGTTTGTCATATTAGCTTATGGGCTGCACACAATTAATGAATTATCAATCAATCAATCAACTAGCTCGCATACATAATCGAACCGATAGAGTGCAAAATACATGTACATATATAGGTACTGGTCTTGGGAAGGCCGTAAAGATCATTCAGCGAATAGTGGATCCGTGAGCTTTGATAGCACTGCGTGTACGTAATTCTTTCGAATTAATTTGAGGGATATGTTGGCCGGCATAGAGTGGTAGTGGAAAGGGCTGTCCTACTAGTAATATGGTCGGAACCATTTCTAAATCAATGATCACTACGTGTATTTAATATAATGCTACCCTCTCGAACACCGAAGCTATAGGCACAATTGAGAAACACACATCAACTGCAGACAAACTACGTAGATATACAAAGCAGCTTCCTCTGGAGGAGAGGTACGTGGGGGTTAATTCAACAACCCCCCGCAACGCTAGACAACTCAAAGACTGAGCTGATCTCATCATCGGCAGTGCATCCTGGCGGGGCAATATCGGGACCTCTTAACAACTCAACTTCTTAAGAACCTTGTTCATACCCACTCTATCTAAGACTAAGATACATGTATTTATTTGTCACCCGCCCCTGAACGCACATACGGATGGCAGCCAGCCCCATGAGTACATAATGTGGGTGAAATTAATCTTATCCAAGAAAGCCCCGGTAAACTTCTTTAATTACTTCTGGGGTAAATATTCCGTCACCGAGCATTTCTCAATCAGCACCTGCAGGATGCTCTGTTTGTTCACGTCAGCTTTGTAGTAGTTTCCTTTCCCGGACCACGCAAAAAGGTTAGGTTTTATGCCACACGAGAAATGATAATCAACCTGTATTCAAGGAATTGTGTTAGTTAGTATTGAAGATTACTTACTGAGCTCTTTAAGTGGTGTCACCCTGCTAATATATCATTACCGCAGTAATTCGTCTCAGCGGACTGTCACGCAAGGCGTCGAAGTTGCCTTTTACAGCGAGTATGAGGGGAATTCCAACGTCCGTTGAGGCGAATTAATGCGGGAGTCCTAGAGTAGATCAATAGAGTTCTTAAAGCCTTTTTGCGTGGCATTCTGGGAAGTTAAGCGAGATCATATCACGCCTCCTATATGCGTTATGCCAACACTACTACTCGTAGTTTCCTGGCGTTTTTGGACTGGGCCACTATTGCATACACCCAAAATCAGGATCTTGGCGTATTTTTGTATGGTATGCAATATCAGTCGCGTTCAAAAACGTCAGGAAGTTACGAGTACATGTATATGTAGTTACATGTAAGTAGTTAATTAACGGCGCCATAGAACGGTAATTCCCAGAACTAGTCAAATTGCAAAGTTTCGGCAGTATCTATTGCCTATAGCTAATTAAATATGTTCGGACTACTATATATGCATGGCATGTGTTATGAAGCTCTGAGCTTAATTGAACGTTAGCTCAGTCTCCCGGTATATATGAGAGTCGATCTTTTGTCCAACGGCGTCCGTGAAAGGATATAGCGATACCTAAGACCGCCCTGCATGCACGAGGAATAGGTACTCGTAAAGAATTATTCTAAGATACCTATATGTATCGATATCTGATACGCATCCTGCAATATTATGGTCACATAGTACCTATGTTCGGACAGGGTGTTGCCAAGGCCCCCTGCAACAGTGCTACTGTTCTGCGTAGAGTGCAGCCGTGTCCGCAAAGTTTTGGCACCCCCAGTCTCGAAGCTCACGAGGTTAAATGGTGATATCAACAGCCGGATAAGAACAACTACAAAGAGAAATTTATAGTTAGATACTTCCATACTGCTATTTGATTATAATACTTTGTATAACTACATTCTGCGGAAGAGGACCAAAATGTTGTGTTTGTTGCAATCGCGGATTTTTTACAGGGTGCCAAAACTTTGCGGGCATGCACGGCTGTACATACCTACATGTAGGTATGGTGCTCCCGGTCTTAAAGGTTACTAAATTTCAATCGGTTATAACTTCACCACCACAAGAGATATCAAAGATCTGTCAAGAGAAAGGCTAGAAACAATGATAAGGAAGAGATTGTCTTGACGGATTTTTGATATCGGTCATATTAGTCATGAAGTTTTCTAAACTCTTAGGCATTTGGTTGGTCGAGAGCAACAGGGGTCGTTTAGTCAGCACAACACGTCAAAGCACTGATGAGCACTCATGACGGAAGGGAGGAGAAGTTCCCCCATTGAACGCCTCCCTAAATTAATTGATACAGTATAACGTGGCATCCACGGAGCCAAGAATATGCGAGCTGCTCGGGCCAACGTGACTTCTACTCCAAGGGAAATTGCAGATTAGGACGTGCATTAGAGTCTTTTAGCTGCAAGAGTTGGACAGAAAGTCGAGCACTTCGACAAAAAGTCCTGCACATCTTATTGGTTGAACGGCTGCAAGTCTCTCCCTAAAACAGCTAGACTTTCTGTCCAACCTGCTCGACTTTCTGCCCAACTCGCGCAGCTAAAAGACTCTATTTTCGGGTACTTTTTACCTGCAGCGAGTACCACACTCCATATGCAGCCAAGCATGCGCCTGCCATCGCAGCTGACGTGTAGAATCGATCAAAACTCCTTGTATGGGTAACTTCGGATGCAGATTGCAGGGAAAAAGAAAAAGGTGACTCTCTCCCTCCAAAAGCGGCTATCGTTGCCCATTCACGCAGCCTGGACCATGATTGGATTTGAAAAGATAAATACAATTCACTTCGTTGTAGCTATTGGATGTTGTTTGTAGGGAATGGTCACAGGGAGATTGGGCCCATGGGGCAATGCTTAATTTCAGCGCAAGAACTCGGCATTGATGGACTAATAGCATCGACATACTCTAAGACAACGGAATTCAATTGTGCGACCACGCAGACAGGGATTAGATGGATCTGCAGGTCTTACGTGGGAAATTGGTATCTGTGTGTAAACTTCGCCATTTTTTTTTCAAAGAACCAACCTATCAACCAACACACTAATGATGTTGATGTCTAGGCTAACGGTCTCATTTTCTCTGGTTTCCATACAAAAAGAAAAACCTGCCCCCTGTGGCTATAAAATGGTACGGGTATATATCCGAGGTTTAGTACGGTGAAGAGAACATGTTACCCTATGATTCTAGTCTCTTACTTTCACTATCAAAGCCTTTACTGACTCGGTTTTGCAGGAGAAGGAGGGAAAGCTGAATTCTGTCAGACAGCGGATAGATTTCCTGCGGTAGGTACAGTCCCCATCTACTATTCCCTCGCATGCTGTCCCACAAAAAAGTAAATTCTTGTGTGGCTTTACTGATAGATCCATCTCTCTTATCGAATGATAGATCTCTCATATAAATTTCGACTCTATATTGTAAGGTGGGCAGCATCGCCAGACGAAAGGATATAACGAACCTGCATGTTGGGCAACGTTCTGCTCGGTATAGCAGATCATCCGGTACAGCAGACCAGACTCTTCGCTGGGGAAAGAAAAAAGCCAGCACCTGTGTTTTGATATAGCAAATGTTCGGTCATGTTGCATTCGAGTTAATTCCTCGAGGTTCCAATCTTAACACGCCAGCAGATAAACATTTTCATTCCAGTGCTAGCAAATAGTTGGTATACTAAGGCTCACCTGTATCGCAGATGAGTACCAACTGGTAGCTGTAGGATGAGGGTGGAATGAAAAACTCGGTACACGGTGAGTCAAGTCTTGAATATTACTTCAGCGAGTAGTCCTAACAACGAAAGAGACACTTTAGCATACACGCAAAACTATTCGCGGGCTCATGTGACAACATCTTCGCAACGTTCCCAAACCAATTCATGCGCTCGTCATACCTGAGTAACCAAGTGAAATCATCAGTAATGGCGGATAAAGCTAGGCGGTAGTGGAGTGGTTGTTTTGGGGCGGAGATATATTCAACAGTTTTAGCTTCTCCAACATGAATAGAGGACGGAACTAGGCCCTTTCTTGCCTTCCGACTATCGCCGGGGAGCCACCGATCACAAAACACAAAGCTTATAAAGACAGTAATACATCACCGTTTTCAAAATCCTTGGGAAACTTGAACTTTATGAGGTTAGCCACCTATTTCGCGGGGCATGGATATGTAATCTCCCTCCAATATAATGAACGTGCATATTGAACGCCTTCAGCTTGGTATAACCGATCATTTGGTACAGAAGACCAAACTTGCTGGGGAGAAAAAGATAAGCCCAAGTGGTTTGATGCAGTAAATATTTGGTATGTTGGTATTCGTCACAGCGGAGGGCGGTTGTGGTTTAAACTGTTTTTTTTTTGTTTTTATAATTTAGTATTGAAGGCCGTTGATAGTTTTAGCTCAAACTTGGACTGACTATTCAACATTTATAGAATACGCTGTCTGCGAATCGGGCCGATTGAAATCGTACTTCTATCTCATATACTTATTAAGACATGGAACTTAGCAAGGCCGGAGGTTTTAACAGTGCATGGCATAATTATGGGGACTCACCCTTAAAAGTCATTCATTAACTTGTTCCATATTCTGGTATGCACAGTACTCTATGTCGCGCTTAGCTCTGCGTTCGTTAGGATTTGCTTGGTATAAGACTCATACCACCTATTCATTCAATTGGATCCCTGGCGCTAATAGCTTGGCAGAACAACGTTCTGATTCAAACTAACTCCTTTCTGTGATAAGGATCTGATATATACACATTCTGGTTGCGAAAGTGGGGTTTCCGTGACCAGATAGTCCTATTGGCCCTTAAAGGAATTTTTGCAGTGAGCACGGTCCAAGAAGCCACTCTTTAGTTCTAACTTTCGCAATAATTCTACCGGAATGTGTGCAAGATCGACCGCTGCGCACAACTGGGTGACACCTAGGCTTTACTAGCATCTCCCGATCTACCCAGTCAACATCACGAAGAACTCAGTACCCACCTGCTAGCGTCAGAACCAGAAAATGCGGCTGCCAAAGTCGAGGGTTATTTGTATGGAATTACGTCGCAAATCATCCCCGACCCTGTCACTCGAATTTTCTGGTTCTTAAGCTGGTGGGTAAGTACAACAAATGGTCGTCGATCTGGCAAAAGGGACCTGTGTGCCAACGAAATAAGACCTCACCAGTTCGCTACCGCACTTTACAGCCTCCAACTGATGGGGAAAATGGTTCCCAACATTATTTTAACTAGGAAGTTTTGGAGTTTATCGGTTGTCTGGTTATTTGGAATAAGGATTTGGCTGTGCGGACAGCATAGACCAAGATTGAATATTTGCGAATGACGCCGAAGCTCTAGTCCCATCAGAGACGGTGGCCTTGACGGCCTGGCTATAATGACTGACTATGGTTCAACTACCTTGTTGGGGTTGGCTGGAAGTGTACTCGCGGTAGGCATGAAGAACCTGAACATCGTTTTTCTGGTAGCAACCACTTTGACCCCTGCTAGCGCGTTTTTATGTTCAGGTTCTTGTTACCTGCCCCGCGTAGTACGGGAGGCCCGTGCGAGTTCTGAGACACTAATAAGGTGCTGGCCTCGATCCCAATAACACGAGCGCCGTTCCCTTCTACAACAGTATTTCATCGTTTCCTTTTCAAACACAAATAAAGAATATAAATGAAAGCTTCTTGGTAGCTGGACATGCGTTTAATCAATAGGATATGCTCGTGGATGTTAATCAAGTCATTAAGTACACGCGGAATACTGGTCGGAATTGCTTTTCTTATTTACCCCCTTCCTTACATTTGTTGAGTTGATTTGGATCATCCAAATTACAACTGCATTATAATGTAGTTGTAAGTCACCGTGGGTCTGTGGGCACTTCCCTTCAGGGAGCCTTTGTGGGGGCGGGTTCCGCCGCAGGAAACTTGTTCCTGCCAACAATTCACCATGGGGATTCACACGTTTAGACATCTCGGCACTTGATGGTTTTAACGAACTGGAAGATAAATGCAGGCGACTCACAGATATTCGTCGCACGCCTATGCAAGCGACAAATTGGAAACTAATTATATATCGGAATACCGCGGTCGGTTCTTGAACAGATTCGCTCGCGAAGGAAACATTCTACCGAACACATTCAATTCCAATACTTTCAACAATTTCATGATAAACTAATTGGGATAATATAACTCGGCACCGATTCTGCCCCCCACTCACAAATTTAAGCCCGCAGCGACAAGAGAGAATGGAAACCAATAAGAGCAACCCTATAGCTAGTTATGTATGCCCCAGGGAGGGGTCTCCCTCCCACCCCTGCTTGTGTATTTACTCGGATTCAATAGGGGCTCCCCATGGTATATCCTGCCCGTGGTATCTTCTCAGGTGATAGACCAGGTTGTGCCTCTTCCAAAACCCGTTGTCTCCCCACCGTGCCTTCTGACAATTCTCAAAGCAGTCAAGAAGATTAAAATCGTTCCTGACCTTCCGATACCCTGGCAGGTTCCAGAATTTGTCTGGGTCTCTCCTATCCGACACCGAACCAGCTTGAGACTCTGCGGTCTCTACCAAGCTATCCCTATAGTTGATAGGAGTGCTTTCCGCTTGCGTTTGAATGGGGTAGCGAGCAAGTCTAATGTTTCCCGAAATATCGGTCAGAGGGGGAATCACCGAGCCCCGCCCATCATACGCTGTTACGGAGTAGACTGAAGTGCTATTGCCTGCATCATTGAATACAGTCGATGGGTCCTGGGATTCACCTCCAAGAGCATAGTTTGTCTCAAGGTCAATGGGGCTGGTGTGTATCTGAAAGCTTGAACTGGGTCATACACACGTACGTTAGTAAAATTGGCCTTTAAAACGGGAAATAGGTTCATACTCAAGGCCCCCAGAGAACAAGGATCCGTATATATTCAACCCAGCCTGATTATCGCTACTTGGAAATTCTTGTTGTGTGCCAGTGCCCGGGACAATACTATATGTGTTGATAGCATGATCGCCTTGTTGCCCGAAAGGGCTGATAAGAATTATTTCCCCGGGACGTTGAGCCAATAAAGATGTCAGAAGGAGGATTGTTCTTCTATTTGGCTCACTAAAAATTAGATTAATACAGATAGAAGCACTATTTTAGCTCCAAATGGTGGAACCTACGTGGTATTGTTGGGCTCATGATTACCATCAATGGTTGAGTTCGAGGAGTCGCGTGAATATATGGTATCCTGGCTATTTCTGTCCATCACTATCGACACGGATGAATGGAATCGATCGATAGTAAACTACGCGAGAGCAGGTGAAGATAGAATAGCTTAGTTGGTTGGGATGTGGGTTCAAGACAGGGAGTGTAAGTTTATATAGAAGGAGGTCAATTGAAATCCAAAGATCGACATGACCTGGAACTGGAGGGATTACCTAATTGATTGGTTGTAACCTCATTGAATTGATTGTTTGCAGTCCGGGTATATACAAGGAAATCCCACTGAAGTACATAATTATGTATGTCTCAGTTCAAAGCTAGTAAACTATTTCGCGGGATAAAAAGCCCAGATTGGTATAGTAGATGTCTGCGGGACAGTTTTTTGCTTCGATACCAGTGAACATGAGGCGGGCGACATGAAGACGAAATTCAGCGCATGGATTAAATTATTCAACACAAAGGTAGTTGAAAGATGCAGGACCTAAGGTACATGTTACTCTTCAACTCCCATTGCCACCACTAGTGTTTAATTGACCGATCGCGAGGAGTAAATCCCGGATCCTGGTGTTGCGATTAATTCGACTGTGCCATGAACGTTCTACATGCAATCATATATATAGAGAATATAGCAAGATGACGGCTGTTGCTCACGCCGCTCTGGAATTAATTCTAGCTCTGATGTCTTCTGTCACTGTCTTCTATGCTCGTGGTTTTGTATTGGTCGTGGGTGAAAGATGAATTTTTTTTTTTTTTTTTTTTTTTGTATAATTCATTAATTGCATGCAACCTTACAGTTATGGCAATTGAAAGATGTAGTTACCACGCGGATGTGGGATTGCTATTGCTCGTTAGCATAATTAGATGTAGGCGGGCGAACTCTCGAAGCTAAAATTCAGCTGTAGATACCATGACTACCTGCCGGGTGATCAATATCTAATATTTCTAGCTCTGGATCCTTGTATGTAGTTGGGGACAAGTTGCAACGAGTGCAGCCGGAATACCTGCGACAGTCAATCGATCCTTCATTCCAGTGCAAATACCTACATAAAAAAGAAAATAACGTACGCGATCGGGAAAGCTTTGCTTACAGGTTCGAGTATGTTCAACTCTTGATCATATTCCAAAGGCTTCGGTTATTTGAATTCTTTTCTATTCAGGAATATGTTTTTTCAATGGCCTCAGAACCGAATATTCGAGATTTTTATTACTGCCGATATCGACATTGTGGGATAGGTCAGAACATTAGCCAAGAAAACACGTAATCAGCAAAATGGCGGAGTGGTGGAGCAGGAGGCACTAGGCCAGATGATGAAACGTAGCTAGACGGACATACCTATGTAACGAGAAATTCCTAAACTAATATAACCATCATGCCTATCTTTCGTTCAGCTTAGTTTTGAGCGAGAACGAATAACAATACGTGCAGCCTACAACGTGATGACCCTTGATGGTGATTCGATAATCTCTAAACAGACAAGCCAATCGATAAAACAAAAGAAAATGATAGCAAAAGTGTCATCCCCACTAAGCAACATATGGAGGATAAAAACCGCTAAAGTCATCGAGCTGCTAAGAAGCGGTACCGATCATAGAAGATGTCGACACTGAAGCACAAACAATCAGATGAGCGGTACCCCCTCCTACACATGATCATCATCAAGCATATTCACAAACGGGCCAAACACAAGTCCCGACGGAGGAACAACTCTGAAACCCATTAAACCAATAGAGGTAGAATTCACCAAAAAGATGAAACCATGGATATCCCCGCTGGAAAATTCTAAGGTAAGAGGAGCGAGAACGTTGAAGCCTTGATGACATCAATTGTACTCAAATTTGCTTCAAAGATTGAATATTATGATACTAGGGAGAACCAAGAGCAAGCCAAACCAGCTATCCTTAGGAGCAGAATCAAAGGCAAAGCAGCAGATTGGATATTGAGGCGATCCAAGACAACAACGTCATCATGGGACGAGGTAGTCAAGGCCCTAAAGAATAAATATGACAACGCAGACCGAAATGATGAGAGTAGGCGTAGCTCAGAGAACCAGCTGCTCAAAATGAAAGAAGGAAAGTTGACCCTCAAGCAATACTTCAGAAAAGCAACTCGTATCAGTGATAACCTAACTGAAAAGTGAACGAGACTGCACCAAAGAGCTTCATCCTAGGAATCAAAGATGAGAACACGAGGGTATTGGTCATAGCATTGGGTTAGCTGGAGGAGACATACACCCTCTCTCAAGTGCTAAGCGTGACGAGGTGGATGCTAAGAACCACCTCGCAGAAAAAGAAGAAGAAGAAGAATAGGAACAGGAGGAAGAATGAGGAAGTGGGGAACACGTCTAATGGTGAGTCAGACATTGAGACAGAGGATAGCAGTAGCAGCGAGAGTAGCAGCAGTAAAAGCAGCAGCAGCAGTAATAGCGAGAGTGGAGAGTCAGAGAGGAGAAGGAAGAATAAGAAGAAGCAGCAGAAGAAGAAGACGAGGATAAAAAAGATGTCGTTCAATCAAGATGGGCTCCAAGCCATGTTAAAAAAATGATGGACATAGCAAAGAAAAGTCAGGAGCCTGAAAACAGCACTTTTAATAGGAGAATTAGCCTAGCACCCGAAACCGAAGTCTTCGCGGGGCAAAGAGGTAGGAGAGGCCCACCTAATGGTCCCCAGCACAATCAGGGCAGCTACAATCACACCCATCTGAGCTACATCCAGGGCAGGCAGAGCTTTGGACTGGGGTATAGTTCTCCTGAACATTTTGCTCAAGCTCCATATGGTTCAGATCCGACGCAGTATCCTGAGCAACGAAACTATCAGAACCAGTATCAGTACCCTGGCGAGAGGCATCAGTATCCGAATGAGAGACAATGGTCGAACGAGTCGAGGAGACCGAGTGGATTCCAAGGCGAGCAAAGACCTCCCGGAGTATGCTACAAATGTGGTTAGAATGACCACTACAGCGGAGATTGCATGAATGCTCCGTTAAGTAGAGAAGAGCAATACAGAATCTGCCAGAAACACTAGGAATAAGTAGCCCATAGGATTCTCGCGAAATACCAACCTCCTACTGTTGACGCCGGCCTTGAGTAAACGAGAGTAACCGACAATCTGGTGATGCAAGGGCACAACATCATCATAACCAGAACCTTCAGAAAGTTCCAAGCTTGCCTATTGCTCATGGAGTCGAGTACTGGAGACAAAGCATGGACAAGATGCATACTTCTGAAGCGAGCCTGATCGAGTGGATCGATGCACATAATATCGAGAAAAGGGTAGGCAAAGAAGCATTTGGTAGCAAGTGGAATATAGTGGCATCAAGAAAGAAGGTAACGGTAAGAGAGGAAACAGAGGAAGCAGAGGGGAGTGGACGGGGCGTTGATACTTCTGAGAATCAAGCTAAACAAGTATCAACAAAAGCAAACGAGTTGAAAGAAGAAAGCAACTACAACCCACCCGAGAAAAAAGCAAAGACACAAACCCGCACAACGGTCAAAGTAGCGTTGGACATCAAGAAACCTATCAAAATGATGAAAGGTCAGCTTTTAGATGATGTTGTCGCCAAACTAAGAGATACACCAGTATCAAGAATGACTTGAGGGCAACTCTTTGAGCTTGCTCCCGCAGCTAGAAGGGACGTTGCAAAAGGACTGGTACAAGAACGAGCATCAAAACCAGCAAAACTTAAGGCCGACAAAAGCAAAGATATCGAGATGAAGGATGCCGAAGAAATCACAGGAGTTGATTTGATAGGTTGCAAGAGAGCTAGTGCCGATGATAGGCCTGTGCTTAACATTTGTACATACGGGAAAGTCAGATTACCTAACAATGGAGGGTACTATGAAGTATGAAAGATTCTAGTTAATGCGGGTCGGTAATAAATCTAATCCCCGAGGAGGTAGCAAAAGAAATGAATCTTGTTCGAAAAAACAGCCCAAAATTCAACATCAAAACAGCAGATGGAGGTATCGCGGTAATCAAGTCAATGATCGAAATGTATCACGAAATAGCAGGAGTCATAGCGACAGTTGTTTGCCATCTAGTGTTCGACAGATGGGTATTTTAACATCCTTTTAACATGTACATTAATAAAATATAAGAATTTAAAGATTACAGTTATCGATATTTTATTTTGTAGTCGTAATGTTGTCATTCTAACTTGTTATTAACCAACTTGAACCAGAGAAATTGATTCATAACTGCGGAGTTTTGTAACCAGTTAATTGCTGTTAAAATACCCACTATTGAACACTAGTGCTGTCTAATGCCAGTTCCAGATAAGCCTACCTACTTAATCCTACTAAGCAGAATGTAGTTGAAGAAATGCCAGGTACAAGGAGACTACGAAACGGACACGTACATCATTAAAGATCGCGAAGGGAATGACTACTCAGTTCCTGCTATGAAAGGGAAAAATGTCAAGTCACAGCAAGTTTCATTAAGGCGAGAATTGGCGATCGTCAACCTCAATGAAATAGACCTCGACGAAGAAATAATCGAAGAACATGAAAGCGGTCAGGACCTGATGTCAGCGATAATTTATCAAATCGTGAAGCAGACCGAAGAACAAGATATTGAAGGCTCTGAGGTAGAATCAATTGCACCCGCACCCCTACTTAACAAACAACAGAGAATTATTACAAGCATGAATTTAAAAGCCAGCTTCTGCTAAAGCCCTGGGAGGTTAGCAGTGAAATTGAGCATTAGCCCAAGGGAAATGAAAAAATAAGAGAAGGGAAGGAGGAGAAGGAGTTTTGGGGAGAGAGTGGGAGCATCGGCGGATACAAAGAGAGGTGCGAATTGAAGTGAATGGAAAAGGGTGAAGGTGAACCTCTCATTCAACTGGAAGTTCACCCTGTATGGGCAGATGAAATGCAGTGGTTCCTAAAAGGGGGAGCTCAGAGGGAAATATCGGTGTTAGAGAAAGAGAAAGATGAAGGGAAGAGAGATATGAGAAAAGTGATAGACCATAACGGAAGGGCCTATGAATTCATTAACTAGGATGACCAAGTCTATGGTATCAATACGACTGGGTATCCGACAGACGAAAGGCCTGCTGACTACCATAGAGAAATGGATAAGTCCGCAAACGATACCATGATTCAGGAGTGGCATGAATCGTGCAAAACCACAATCAGGCCTGCTGCGGCAACAGAGGAGGAATGGAAACATGCAATGAGGCTTCTCTACACCTGTAGAGACCGGTTTGTAGTGTTCAACAGTGGGTATCTTAACAGCAATTAACTGGTTACAAAACTCCGCGGTTCTGAATCAAAATCTTCGGTTCAAGTTAGTTAATAAAGTAGAATGACAAGATTACGACTACAACATAAAATATCGATAACTGTTATCTTTACATTCTTATTTTTTATTAATATATATGTTAAAAAGATGTTAAAATACCAATCTGTCGAACACTAACCCCATTTACGCAATTCTGATACTTGCGTATGGGAATAGGACCCTCGAGGGCAATGCATATTTATGCCAGGATGAAGGACATCTTGATGAGGCCAATGTCTAAGCCCAAGACTGAGCCCAGAATCGCAGGATCGGATGGAATATAAGCCTTCGATTATTTTATGTACGATGATTACGGAGCGAACACAACTTTCAGCGTGCAATTGGAATTTTTATATCACAACTATTTTACTAAGAATCTCTGATTGTGACTTAAGCTTAACTCGAGCAAAAACTGCTTCTAGATGACAGCACTAAAGCTCCTAGGCTTTGCAGGAAGCGGAGAAGGAGGGTTGCATCCTTCCATAAATAAAGTGGCAGCAATCCGAGACTACCCCACATCAATTGACGTAGCGGAAGTAGAAAGGTTACTGCATATTAGCACATATCTGAGCCAATGGATTTGAGCTCACGCGGAACATGGTCGGATAATCACATCGGCGATTATATATCACGGTAGAGTAAAGAGCAGAGATGCAAGGAGAGAGCTGGAACCGAACTGGAACCAAATAAATGAGCAGTCCTTCAGGCATATCAAGTGCAGCATCGAGTACAAGGTGGTCTGGGGCGGACATCCTAGGGTTCAATACCAAATATCGACGGACGCTTCAAACCAAGCACATGGAGCAGTTCTATTCGAACTTGTAGTGTTACCAGCGGGAACAGTGGCATGACCCAAGCATAGGGAAGCAGAGCATATCATCATGTTTATGTCAAAGTCATGTACCCCCGCTGAAACTCGATATCATACTACTGGGAGAGAAGCTTTAGCAGTGGTTTGAGCGCTCAGCGAGGTTAGGTGGCTAGTACTGGGATCAACTCACCTGGTTAAGATGTATACATATCACCAAGTGCTAATATCTGTGCTGAAAGGCGATGAGGCAAAAGAAAGGATTATGAGTTGGCAAATGCAGCTATCGGAATACAACCTCAAATTTAATCATATACCTGGCACGCAAAATATATTGGCCGACAGAATCTCAAGATTGAGGATCAGGTGGAAGAACCAACTCCAAAAGAAGGGATGGTAGCTGTGGTAGAGGTAGGTAAAGGTGGGGAAGATGTATGGAATAAGTGGAAGAAAGACGGATGGTATGGACTACTAGTGAGATATAAACTTTCAGGAGAGCTATCAAAGGCAGAAGTTTTAAGGAGAGCAGGAAAGGGGGAGATATCTGAATTGGAGTTTGCGAAGTAGAAGAGGAGACTCAAACAGCAATCAGCCAGGTTTATCATCGTAGGAAATGACAAACCCGGTTCGACTCAGATAGCACGAGGACTTCTGTACCCAGAAAAGAAGGGCAAAGCGGCAATATGCATACGCAGGAGGGATATCTGGGAGTTACTAAAATGGGCGCACGATATTCACAGATACTTTGCAGAAGCAATAACGCTAAAGAACCTAATAGGGCGATACTATTGGCCTACTATGCATTGAGATATGTCATACTTCTGCAGATCATGCGATGCCTGCCAGAGAGTAGGGCCACTAAAGCCATCGCAAGACCTATTACCTATCTTTCAGTTACAACATATGGGTTTGTGGGGAATAGACTTCATCGGCACAATTGCTCCAATCTCCAAGAAGCGAAGCAGATACCTCCAGATAGTGGTCAATTACTTTACAAGTTACCTGTTCACTAAAGCGGTACCAAATTCCGAGAGCTTGGAGGTAGTCAACTTCCTGACTGAGCTGAGTGGCTTCATAGGATGGCCCAGAGGAATATATCATGACAACGGATCGAACTTGGTAAACAAAGAAGCGCGCAATCTACTGACGCCGGTAGGGGTAAAACAATACCCTGCACCAAAATCGCATCCACAGTTAGTGGGCCTTGCAGAAAGATATGTACAGCTAGTGGTAGTAGGATTGCGTACTTTAATGACAGCATCCGACGAGTTGAGGAAGGTATGGGATAATGTGCTACCCCATGTCATGCATCTGATAAAAACAAAGGTGATCTATACCCATGGGTAGATTTCAAGCCAATTGCTCTATGGTTAAGATATCAGGAAGATATGGGTAGCTGCAACGCCCAGAGACCAAATAGTGTCGGCAGTAATAGCATCGGCAAGAACCGGGGGCTCAACCGAACAACTTGATGATGAGCTCGTTGAGCAATAGTGCTATAATCAAAGATTGTCAAAGCTAGAAGAAATAAGGGAGGAAGTGCGAGAAAGACTGATAAAGAAAGGGTTAATAGCAAGATCTGGATGGTTCTGAGAAGTACCGCAAGATGCAGGCTTAGTGATCCTGAGGAGGTTTGAAGTCGATAGGTAGCACGGTAGGAAGCACGGTAGGAAATTTGAGATGAAGTGGGAAGGACCCTATAGATTGGGCAAGATAGCGTGGCATGGCACAAGGGGCAGGGTATTTGATTTGAAGAGTGGTGAGGAGGCGAGAGTGGTGAAGTCAGGGCTGCATGAAAGGGTGTATCTTGATGACTGAAAGGTATTTGTGCCGCGTAAAGAGAGGTGGATAGGGTTTGACAATGATATAAGAGAAAGTAGGATGATGAGATTTGTGGGCATGTGCGAGGCATTAGATGGGATAGAAGAACAAGGAGTCAGAAATAGAGGAGAAAGAACTGTATCGTTTGAGGTTAAAAGGTTTGAGTTTGAGGGTAAGGACGGCGAAGAATGGAGGTAGGAAACAGAATGGTCAGATATAGGCGGGAACAAAGGAGAAGGATAAGGGCGAAATTTCAGAAGGGGCGAAGAACTGAGAGAGAACTGAGGGAGCAGATTGAATGGAGTTGTTCCTGCTTTCCTTTGTACTAATCGCTTTATTTCTTTTATTGGTCGGTTGATCGCTATTACTTTGATTGTTTCGATTTTGCTTACTTGGACGGATGAAGTGTAACGGCAGCTTTGTATTTCAGCTAGGTGATGAACTGGAATATGAAGAGGAGGTATTGCGCAGTGGGATTGGGATTTGTAATGGGGATTTCTATTATGTTCTTTTGGTTTCTGTTACGCGGGAAGATGAGTCATTATCGGACTAGGATATTGGATATATAAAGGGGTGTTGTCTCGTGCTTTTTTCTGTTTCCTTTCTTTCTCTTTTCTCTTTACGCAACCTCTGTATTTATTCTACGAATATTACTTTTGTTCTACGCTACGTCATAGGGCTCGTCTTGGATCTCAGATCAGGATTGAACCGCCTCATAGTCTATAGTCTCGAATCTATTGATACCACGTCTTCGCCTCGGTTGTATTCCTTGGCACTATAGTCCTTCGTCCATAGACCCACGTTATACGTAGGTTGCGTCCTCTATCGCCAACCAATACAACACCATAGTTTACAATGTCGGAACATGCCCCTATTGATTACCAACAACTCAGCAATACTCTCCGAACCTTTTTTCAAGCACACCCACAGGTCGATGATGTTGTTGGAACTGAATCCTATGCGCTTCTCCAACAGTGTCAACATGGTCTTGCTCAATATGCAACGGATTTACAGGAGGTAGAAGCGGAGGCTGAGGGGGCAAGAAGAATGTTTGAGCGAGATCTTGCTGCTGCCCGAGCTCAACAGGCTCCTGTTGGGGCTGTCGCCCCTGTGCAAGCACCTGTCGAAGGAAATGCTCCACCTGCACCCCCAGTACCACCCGCCACAGATACTACCTATCGGTCAGAGAAACTTCCAGACCCTGAGGTGTTCAGGGGGGATCGCGATCGAGAAAGATTACACTTATTCAAGCAACAAATGAAAATCAAGCTACTGGGAAACACCGATCGCTATCCCACACTACAGTCTAAATTATCCTATGCGTTCAGCAGGTTGGAAGGCGTTGCTGCCAATCAGTTCTTACAGTATATCGGAGAAGAAGGTATTGCCTTACCTTCTATGCTACGGTTTTATGAAATTTTGGATACAGCCTTTGGGGACCCCGATCGAATGCGTACAGCTAGGAGGAACCTCCGGAATATCCGTCAACGAACTCGAACCTTCGCTGACTATTTCGCTGAGTTTCAACGGTATGCTGCTGAGTCGGGTATGGATGAAGTCTCTCGGATTGAGGCTTTGATGGAAGGTATTAATACGGAACTTGATGAATCAATGATACACCATGATACTCCTGCGACGGTAAATGCCTGTGCGACACTTTTGCAACGGTTGGATAATCGTCGTCGAGCGGCAGAAGCGAAACGAGGATATAAAAAACCTTGGAATGTTACTACTACTCCAACCCCTCGCCCCCCACCAGCGAATCCTATTCCTGCTCCTCGCGTTGCCGCCCCAATCGCCAATGCACCTGCTACTGAAAGTCATCCCTCATCCCGTCCAGGAGGTGATGTACCAATGGATCTATCTGGAGGACGTCGTCGCCCTACCCCTGCTGAAAGAAATGCCCGCTTAGTTGAGGGCCGATGTTTCTATTGTGGAGGAGTTGGACATATGGTTAGGGATTGCCCCCAAGCGAGGGCAACTGGAAATCAAACAAGGAGGCCTGTGATGAGGGGAGCGGCATTGACGGTGGAAGAAAATGCCGGGAGCGATAACGAGTCGGCAAAAGATTTGTCCCTGCACTAAGTGGCTTAGCCCAGGGACCATTTAAGGATTTTTCTAGGATGTGTATTTCTGGTTTTTCGGTATCAGAGGAGGAGATGGATGGAAATCAACTTGTAATAACTTGTTCGATTTCACAGAATAAAAATTCTTTCATACCTACCTACGCCCTTATTGATACCGGAGCATCAGGATATGCTTTTATTGATGAATCTTTTGCACGCCACAACA